GTATGCTATTGCACCTATGGAATTTTTTTTTGTTTCACGGGTAGTTAAACCCATACTAATCCTAACCCATGGGTTATAGCACCCGCATATAGATTGAACCCGTGGATATACGCATGGGTTCAAATGTACATGGGTTCAAATGTACGGTCACCTTTCTAAACACCTACTCGCAGATTGTTTTCTCTCTTTTAGGCTACATCACAATCATCGAATGACGTGAAATATGTGGAAAAGTATACAAAGACTGACTCTGATGAATCTTCCGTGTCAATCTCGAAGGATCTTATAAAAAAACATCCTCAATTCTTTTTATCCTTGCTCACCCCCTAATAACCAATATGTTCCAATAACTACTACTTAGTACCAATACCTAATTTAATAAATTTTTACTTAAACTGTTACCGTTAGCATTTAATAATTGATGCAATGAATACGTAATAGTAGATGGCTTCAAATGCAAAAAATTCCTTCCGCGGGAGTGGTACACCCATACATGTGGAAGGTGCCTAACAACAGGGCACGTATTTTCCGTATGTTAGAACGAGGCTGTCTGCAAATATTGCAAAGCAACGGGTCACATTCGAAAAGATTGCCAACGAAGAAAGAGTGACTACCCAGCCGACCAATGGATGGAACAACCCTCGACAGAGAATCCCCATGCAAACAAGCTCACATGAACAAACCCAAAATGTCGTCCAACCTGCTGAAGCAATTAATGACGTATGTGAGTTTTCTACTTCCGACTCCAATTTAAATTGCTTAAAAGAAATTAAACACTGGTCCGAATGCAAGGATGTCAACAACGTCGTCAGTCCCATCAGAACACCATCGCCTCAACTACTATCGAAACCATCGAGGCAAATTTACAGATTAAAAAAGTCCTCAACCATTGGGAATACTCTGTTCCACCTCATTCCGAAGGGCAACGCCTACGTGAAAGTTAAAATCAATAACTTCGAGTTTTGTGACTCCACGTGTTCGTCGGTCTTCGAAACAACACCGGAAGCCACAACTTCAGCACCAGCAAACCTCGAGACGAACAAACCGCCGCCAATTGTGGACCTTACAGACGATAACAGCAGAAGAACCAGAGAGGATACAACAACATCCACAGAATCCTCAACAATCGTCAAAAGAACATACGGTAACAAGAAAAAGTAACTACTAAGTTTCGGCCCCAGATAATCAAATCTCTCTAATGTCTCTCATTTTGGTACTTTGGACATTTCATAAATCAATTCGGCTTCTCAAATCCATTGTATATAAAACGCCCAGTTGACGGCGTAAAACCCAAACTCAATAAATACCATAAATTAATTGTGATGATAAATTAGTTAATCTGATCGATTTTCATTGTACTAAAATAAATTTTACGTCGTGAGATTACACCGGTTTAATCTTAAAAATAATCTGAGTGGCAGCATTGCGATTGAGTGGATCGGTGTTACAAGTACAGATTTCTCTAATTCGCAAAATGGCAAAAATACGGATTTCTAACGGTGATAACGAATTAGCAAGATTGCAAACATACCTATCAAAACTAAGTATAATTAGACAGCTTATCTCATGTGTTTATGTCCACATATTACATCTGTTTTTTTAGAGTAGCAATGTATTTAAAAGTCGCCACCGCGAGTTACGTTAGACACAAGGTAATTACCATGAATTGAGTATTTATTGTACGCCACAGAAGAGTCTCACTGAAAAAGTCGTTTTTTTTAACGAGCGAATGATCACGACGACTGTTTTATGAGGGAAACGAAATATATATAGACAAAATATCTGGTGAATGAGATGTATGATAAACATCTCATTCATATGAGAATATTTCAAACAACCGTAATCGGGATGTCGAAACGCCGAAACGATCGCCGTGACAATTTTATTTTTCGGAATTTACTTGAAGACTGAAAACTTCGCAACAATGCGGCGTTTTTTATTCAATAATTTTTTCATAATCCAAGGCCGCAGTAAATATTTTTGTCACCGCGCGAATTCTCATGCAACGGCGGATATCGTAGTTAGGCTTTTATTTTTTGGACAAAAATTTGATTTTACATCGTCGACGATGTCAAAGACAACTATTAAAGAGTGCATTCACAACACAAATTAATTTTATGCTGCATTTTATCTTTTTTGTAGGATTTGTATTACAATTTGTAAATTAAGGTCCCGATTTTGAGCGAACAGTATTACCGACCCCGGAATGCGATATTTGTGAAGTTGATAGTTGACTTTTTTATGCTTTTAATTTTATATCGTGTTCATGTTACTTTCGTATTAAATAATAATAATTAAAAACTCCGCAAATTGGTAATCTCTTGAACACTCAGTGTTGAGAATTCACGTAACTCAGCTTTAGAATAAAACACTGATAATAAACACTTGAATAAATCGGCAATAATGGCATTTCTACGTGGTCAAATTAATATTTCTCCCCGTCCACAATATCTTGGAAAATTTTCATAGAATACAAAATTTACCAATTGTACTTATCTGGTTCGACAATTCTAAATTTACAAAACGGTGTTGGCGAGCTTTATTCGAAATTAGAAATTGAAAAATATGATAATTCTTACACGTAACTCGTTGTGAATTAATGGTAATAGATTCTAATTTGCTTTTCAATGCTCTAATTAAATATATAATTAAAGTGATTGAGTCGGGATTGGAGGAAAGGAAATACCCTTTACTGAATTACAAGTGGGACAAGCGGGAAAAGTGGGACAAGCGGAACACGTGGGACACGTAGGACATGCGGGACAAGTGGGACACGACATTTTTGAGACACCCGGTATGAAGACTTTGGGCTGGATTCCAGACTCGTCATGATCCGTAAAAAATAAAAATAAAAAGATGGGACAGACATAAATTGCTATGGGATGGGACAGAAAAATATGTCTCATGGACAAGCCTGTGGTTAGATATATTTAATAAATTCATGTGATTTTATTTTCCAGAATATTAACAAATACTACCAAAGGAAGAACATGTTATAAACGCTATTAAATAGATAAAGTATTCCGTACGTTAGACCGTTTTCATATATCAAAATAAATAATTATTTTCATTATACAAAGTTGCTGTCACAGCTTCAGTAGAACTTTTGCTGTCCTCATGATCTTCAACCGGCAAGGAAATTTTAATGTTAAAGGTTTCACAAAAAACGTAAAGCAAAAATACGAAGTGATTGAATAATGACTAAGTGATTCAAGTGTCTTGCAGCACACTACCACAAATTTATTCGTGTACGTTTCGTCTGAAGGTCAGAATTCCTCGAACAAGCATTTATCAAACTATACAACAAGAAGGGAAATTGCATGTACAATTAAACAATGGGTGTCATAGCAACATAACAATATCGCCAAATAATGTTGTTATTATTGTTAGTAATAGTTCATAATGTATTATCTATTTTGTCACAAATTTTTCTCCATTGACAATTTTTTTGATTTTTGAAACGATAATATTCAAGGGCATCGTCTAAGTCCCATAGTTCTCCGGCTGGTTTATCGAGCGGCATGTTAATAAATTTCTCATTCATGAATATTTTCAACTTCTTCTTTTTATCTTCTGAAAAATCACACAACTTTAAATTATCGTTTAATTATAGATTGCAAGTAAGAAAAATGTAAACGTTGTGCTTGGTAGCTGTGAAATATGATTTTTGTACAATTTTGCAAAAAGTGGGGTTGTGTACCACCAAATTGAAGTAAGCTTATAATCGAGAACTTACAGTTAATCTACTGAAAGAGCCAGAAATTTCTATGAAAAAGATGTCAGGCAGTTCATGCTAACTTGAGTGAATACTTTGTCGATGATAAGATTTTGCAAGACTGAATCTATATATCGATAAAAAAAATTCCATACTATCACCCACCTCCACATTCATATAAAAGAAATATCAAGTTTGCGGAACCAGGCGTGTAAAATGAAGTTCTGTACTTCCTGTTTTTCTTCTGTAAGTAGTTAGCACTTGTAAAAGGACCATCATTCTAAGAAGTATAGACCCGTTAATGAATTGGGATTTGTAACATAAAGGTTCAATTTCATATCTTGATATTTGTTTATATTTCAGTTGCCTGATTGGACTTGATAGAATACGATGTTTATACTGTAAGTAATAGGATTTGCTAGAATATAAAGGGAATTACTTAATTAAATAATACAAAAATTTTATCCTGCAAGGATACTTACTATATTTAGTTAGACACAACGGACTAACCAGTGGCCAGCACCTTTTTATATATTATAATGTTGTTTTTATTTATATAATTTTCATTCCATACTTCTATAAAATATGTCATCATAAACTGCTATAATTGTCACCTGTATGAGTTTCATTTCAGTCATTGTAGACATTAACGTGAAGGAATGGCCAAATAAAAAATGACCAAGTAATTCACTGTCAGACGACGCGTTGTTCAGCGCAGATAATATGAAGTTTTTCAATTGGCAACTTTGCTTGTAGTTGACTTTATGAGGAAAGCTCTTGGTGAAGTAATTCTCTAAATCTTCATAGTATTCAAGAACTGAATTAACAATTTAAAGAAGAAAGCAGTGAATTGAGTGATGTGAACATTTTAGGCAAATTCAAAGAGCCTCGAGCATGACCATGCTGGGTTATTTATTAACATTTTCCCTAGCAGATACATTCAACAAACATGGACCAAAACAGATTCCAAATTTATTGGCGGAAATTGTTATATATTGCGTTATGTCATTTTAAAAAATCATCTTTCTATTAATATATTTTGCCCAAAAATGTGAGCGCGAGTTGTTTGTTTCATAAATCCTCAGATCTGTTGGAAGCCTCTATAAAGTCGTTTTCTTACATAATTATTTAGTTTATCATAAAACTACTCTATAAAATTATTGCTACAATAACAGCGTTTTCAAGTAATTAGTCAATCTCTCTTACCTTGTAGATCGGGTTTCTTGAAAACTGAGCACCACGGACTTGGCTTTCCAGTTGCCCATTCCTGTTCAGCGCATCCTTCCTTTTTCAAAAATTGTATTAGTTCGTTTGATAGATGAGATTGTTGAATTCCAAGTCGCTTCGACACTTTTTCAACAATTGAAGAAACATACGAACCTCAATTTTTAAAATCATTTTTAAGTCAACAGTAAAAGGTATGAATATATTTCTTTCCCCGAGGACAATGATAAAACAAATGGATTGATATTTCCAGTGCCTTGTGGGTAGACATTTTGATTAATGTGATCCTTCACATGCTCTAATTTAAAATTATGGTTATTGCTACTTATCGATCTTAAGATCGTTAAGTATGTTGATAGGTATTTGTCTGTTTGTTTGTTTGTCTGTCTGTCTGCTAGATGCACGCGATATCTCATGAAAGCGAGGTTGAATCTGCTCCAAATGTGCATTCATTATAGCTCGGATCAGAAGTCTATTGATTTTCGATGGATTATGTCGTATAATCAGCGAGTTATTAATTATTTAGTGATGGGACACACGGTGTCACTATGAAGTAAGAGCGCTGTTTTGGGGATCCTCAAACCTTCGATCGATAAGTCTTCGGTCTCCGACCGATATTCTCGTTTGTTTAGTTTCATGCTATGTACAAAAATGACAGATATTCTAGGCTAAATCGTCAAACAGTGCGAGTTGCCTTCATCACTTACTATTTAAAAACTTTTGGGCCTCGACTGTCACTGTTAAATTTTCCCTGACTGATTTTATCCATTTTCTGCAATGTTGGTCCGAATGCAAAAGCATATCGTCAATTTCAATGTTAGGTCTCGATTTTGCCGTATTGAATATTCCGTCGAGAAATGCTTTTGAGGACTGTATTGTTCTTGTCGTATTGGATGATATAATTCTGAATTTATGTCATAAAGGATTGCAAACAAAGAAATTTTTCTTTTTAGAGTCGAACCAAAGTTAATTTAGGATCAGGACCATTGACAGTTGGGTCGGATAAGGAGACACAACCATATGTACGTCTATTGAAAATTGAGCATATATATTTGAAAAAAAGTATAGTGTATTTGGATTATCAATTTCCATTAATTAATGAGAGATAAGACTTTATTTAAGTCGAATATTGATGGTCCAAGTATTTTGTAGAAGACAACGATATGCCTAGTAGTACGTGGTTTGATACCAGATACTGCACTGTGGAATTACAGTGGTAAAGCCTGCCCTAGACTATGCCAAATCACACGTGAAAAATATTAAAGTTTGAAAGGTTCATTTTTTGAATTTTGAATATTACGTTACATTGTAAGTCACAATGACATTTTTCGGATATGAATTTTTCACCTGTATTTATTTGCATCAAGTTTTTCTTTGGACAGAATTTCAGGGAATGCTTTTGCTAATCTGCGGGTTATTCCATGTATTTCTGAATATCCGGTGGGAGCGAGGGTTTCGTCGTCGACTGTGTCATCAAACCAGATTTTCCAGTTTCGAAGTTTCTGAATATGAATTTGATAAATTTTTCATTATTATTTAAACTTGTGTTATATGAAAATTAATAATATATTCGATCACACCGAATGCAATAACTAAATGAACAGTCATCCAAAATGCTGTAAAATGTTGATATATTTATATATAATATGTAATTCTGAAAAGAAAAGGGTTCAGGCATGCCATGTCATATGTAAATATTCATTTACTGTATTTCATATTCAGTCTTGCATATTCATATAACAATACATATTATTTGTCTCGGACTTTATATGTGTGATTAAAATGTGCATTCCTTGGTAAAGGGTGGCGTTGAAATATACAGAATTTGAATAAAAATGGCTTCTACCTGGAGATATTTAAACGATAATTCAGCATTTCCTGTAGAATTTAATATTGCTGTTATATCATAAAACGTTTTCATAATTTCATAATCCTCTTTGCCGGGATATCTTGATCCATGACGCGATAATAAAACAATGTGAACCAGGTTGCATCCTGAAAATATTAGTTTACACAAATAGTAAGGATGGAATGTTCCAATCGGTTCCAATCGGCAATTTTTTTGCAAATTTCCTCCACAATCAACGTGTTTTTGTGAGAGAGTAGCGTTTATGCCAATACACAAACAATAGTAAAAACAAATTTGAAAGTGTCCCAGAAAATATGCACAAACACATGAATTTTTAAAAATTTTCATTGCACACCGCAATTTTTATTATAGATCTTACTCAGACAGATGAATAATTACATTTTTTAAACGCCTCAAAAACAGAACGTGAGACAGTTCTGCGTGATGTGATAATAGTGAAACCTAATTCCACGCAAGGTAAAATTCAACCCCTTCGCCATCTTGCCCTCCAAGACCAGAACAATCTAACGGTAAGTGTATCTTTCACGAACGTAACCAAAATACCTTTGGGGACTTCACTGTGATCGTTTGGTAGTTTCCCTCGCACTCTGTCATACAAAGTTTTCGTATTAAAATATTCATATGGCTGACTTTTCTCGTTCGTATGTCTGTTGATTACGGCATCCACATGCGTCGTCAGGCAGAAGAGAATAACCAAAAAGTTTCCACACATTTTAAATACAAACTGAGTGATATTGGAGCCTAAACGCTTCTTTCACATTAAAACTAACTTACTTGTAACGGCTAAACATGCAGCATAAATTTATCTCAATTGACAATGTCGTGTTCTATGGCATCTTGACAGATCAATCAATCGTTTTTTCGCGTCAACATGCGTGCATACGCAGTTTTGGCGCTAATGGGAATGAACAGTGTGCTGTGAAGAATTGACGTAAGATCTCAACAAGTACATAATAACTATGAGGTGTACACAATTTTATGAGAAGTAGATCTTTTGTGGTGTTGCCCGAGACAGATACTATATAATGTATCTAACAGTTGCCTATCACTTCCATTGGAATACAATTTGCTCATGACGTTGACCCCGTTTTAACATTTAGTCTATATAATGTAATGTTTGAAAACAATTTCGCAATATGCCAAAGGCACGAACCCAGCTTGTAGTAAATAACAAAATTTAGAGTTTTACCCACTGGTCAGCGTATTTTTTGTAAACACCTACCTAGTTTTAGTTTCACAGTTCAGCTTTGAGTGCTTCATCTATCTAGCTTATCACCTCCGGAAACCAAAGTATTGATACACACCAATAACAATGATAAAAACTGAACAAGATCAATCATAATCGAACGCATATCGACATCGCGATTAACAAATTGTAAGACTCATCAAATTATCATCTTCCGGTGTATAATTTCCGTGCTCCTCGCATTTTCCATCAAAGTATGTTTCAGGACTTGGTAGTCCGGCAGAATCGTGGCCGAAGCTCGTTTTGAAACATAAAGTTTTTTTGATTGTTTGGATATAATATCGATGACATAAATAACGATACCCAGGTGAGTGTGGAGGATATATTGCTGAGCATTTTTTCTAAGTGAATTTTAAGACGTCCGGAAGTATTCTTACCAAGATGACGTACATCCTGAACTCCAACCGGGTACACATACAATATTCAGGTTGTGCGCCATCTTGGTACGAATACTTCGGGAGCATCTTTTTGTTAAAAAAAATTATTTCTTAATTACATGAGTTACTTTTGAATACATAGTAACATTAAATCTCCTTACAATGTCAGAAATTCAATTTTAGTACAATGAATGGTAGTTTATTGCACTAATATAAGCCAAGATTCATTGCCAGCATCTAGCCACTTTCTTTTGCACTCTTTAAACTACATTTGTGTTGCCGCGGGCATTTCGTTTTCCTGCTTAAAGCTTCGGGACTTGGGAAATATTTTATTAGTTGAAATGGATTGGAATATTCGACCTCGTCTTTCGCTCCGAACAAGGCCATGTAAAACCATCCACTGGTATCTAACAATGTGTAACGTGTTTTCTTTTGGAAGAACCGGAAACTTTCAGGTTCAGCATTGACTTTGGGCAAATTAATATATCCTTGTGGAGATAGAGGGTATGCGAAACCGAGATGTGCACCTGGTATGCCAACATAGTTGAGTCAAACACTTTGATCACTATAGTACACAACACACATTTTCCTGAGTGCTTCGGTTGTACGTGGTAACGCGCACATGCATCAAATTCCACTTGTTTATTGACCTATAGGTTTTTGACGAGCTTTTGTGTATGATTTCATGCCATAGAATTTGTATGTTGTTCTAAAGAATACTAGTTTCAGCTTTTTCATTAATTCAAACCGCGTGTTGGGAGTATGTTTTGTAATATTGCGTGTTGGTTTTCAACTGGTTTATTGATATCCATCATTTGACATCCTTAAATCGATGATGCCAGTGAATCTTTAATACAAAAAGATCAGTATTATCTGCAATATAAACAGCAGTACCCGCTCAAATGACAGTTGGGGAATGGATACTCATTTCATCTGCTTCATCCCGTGGCGTTTTAATATGAAACCTGCCTTTTACCAGTTTACATGAGTGCCAATTGGTATCTAAGCTCAGCCAGAGACAAAAAGTTTCGGACTGCGGTTGGCTTGATGAAATGTTATTAAATATACATCCTACAATAAGATTTTTTGATTGCATATCACTGAAAGTTATGCCTTATATGTTTTTTTCCCATTGCACTATTCCTTTACTGATATTCGATAATATGACGCTCATCTGGCATAGCTTTTTAAGTTTGTAGACAAGTATAATCTTTTCCACGCAGTTCAGATGAGAATGCGCAAATATATCTAACAATCGCTAATATTGGTTTGCACTGTGATGAAATCCCATCTTGGCATTTCCGCCTCTCGCAATTGCTGCGTATATTTATCGGAGAAGTTCTGTGGCGTGGTTATCAAATGAAGAAAACATGGGAGTATTTTTTCTACTTCTCCACTACTCTCAAACCTTGACATTTTGTGAAGCCTTTTTCCATTCAACCTTTTTTTTAAAAAACATCCCCAACAACCACAACTGATTCTGTCATTAATCTTCCAAAACAAACACATAAAATCATCAACAAATGCATATCACCAAATAGTCAATTTAGTGTAATTTTTTGGCCTCATGTTTTTGATGTTTGTAACTAGATCTCTTGGGGATCTGCCAAACAAAGTTACATACAAAATATTCATCATGTAGTTGGAATAACTTTTTTACCACCCGTATATCATTCATGGTCAAGAATATTAAATGAAATAATAAAATCTAAAACCCGTTTTCGTGATTTTTTTTTGTTGTAACTGAATTCGAGGGACAGCATGACAACAGGCAAGAGAACCACGGTCGCCTCTTTTAGTGTATGACAGGGTTTCTTAAAAGGGGACTCCGGATCGGTTATCTGAGAGCACGAACAAACAGATGGGAATGCGAATATATAATATCTATGTATTTTTATAGAAGAGAAGAAGCAAAAGTGTTGAGGGTCTTTGGTAGTTTGAAAAGCATTGGCATGCAACATAAACATGAATTACATTCTTTCTCACGGATATACTATAAAATGTAGCAATTTTATCATTCGTGTTCCCGTGATAGCATTATCTTTCACTGCATCGTCGTCATCATCCCGCTGCATAACAATCCTTGTTAACAAATAATTGACTGTTTTCCACCGAGTATATATTTGCGGACAAACTATGCGCAATCCACTTGAACCACTGTCGACTGCATCAGCAGGCCTGTGTTGTTAATTGCAACAATAGCGGGTATTTTGAAATAGTACTCTTTATTTTACGCGTGTGTTCCAACAGTGTTTCCCTGTCTATGGTTCGCGAGTCGCGACTTAAAGCTGGATCGCCTGAAAATATTTTCGGTACGATTTTTTTTTAACAAATACCTAATAGTTATTGATTTTATTTCCTGGTAGATTTGGTGCTTCCGTAGTATGTGCACCAAGATGGCGCATAACCTGAACATAGTACGTGTACGAGGTTAGATTTCAGGTTGTGCGTCATTATGGTGCACAGATTTGACCAAAAACACTAATACAAATATCAAGCCGTAAAAAAATTGCTCAAGTCTGCAAACCTCACACCCCCGTAAAAATGATAGGCAATGATCCCAAGATGAATAATCACAAATAAAAAAAACTTAATGTCTGAAAACAATGTTGGACCTTAAAAGGCCCCTTATCTGCCGAACTATGAAATGCATCAGCTAGATTAAGTCACCAATTTTTGTTTAAGTTGAAACCATGAAAATTTGATGAAGTATGGGGAAAAAGCAACTTCATATAACGGACAAACAAATCGTCGCATGAAATATGTGCAAGGTTGATCAAAAGATTGTTGCCATCGAAGAAGGGTTGAAAATATGAAATTCTGAGATAACGAAGTGATTTCTGACGAAAATAGCGCGAACCTACAACGCAGCAGGTCGTGGAAATAAATATAATGATGCAAAAACCCGAAAATACTTTGAGAGGTTATTTTGCCTTTGTGACGTCACAATAGTCCAGCGGTGACAATGATAATTCATTATGACGAAACAAATGTGCATGTCATACTAAATCTCCAATTTTATGGGTTTCGGAATTCTTAAAATATAATCTGAGTTAACAGACAGGTGCGCAGCATTACATAAATACCTATTTTATAAAAAACTCAAAATCGCCAAAACTGACTTACGCAATTCGGTTATTAGCGTGACGATATTTTATAAAGTAATTTTTTATTGAAATATCGCATTCATGGAGATCACTATAGTAATCAGATAGCGGAGTTTCATGGTTTCATACCTAAAAATTTTACAGATGGAAAGTATACTTGTCTGTATGTTCTGTTAGGTGTGTCATTTATACCAAATTGCTAATTTCTACAAATGGTATTACAGTATACAATCATCTGTATCATAAAATTCATAATCTTGCTAGCTTATGTATGTGATGTACAAAATTGGTTTTATTGAACCCTCATGTCTCTACCACATATCTGAACATTGCTCATTGTTATCTAAATCACTTGTAGACCGATGAACAAAATCGATGATAAAAAGAAATGTTGTGAAAGAAATCTATTTGCGGCGAGCATAGTTCACGGAAGGCGAATGGTGGGCTTTTAATCGTGGCGATGTATTTTACTGATTCAGATTGCGTTGTAAATATTTGTTGTTTCAAATAAAAAGTTGTTTGGGAAAATGGATTTCGTATTCCCCAAAAGCCAGCTCAGTTGTTGAAATAGTTCGCCTATTGATGAAATCAATCAATCATTTGTGGTCTTTTTCCGCTCAAAGAAGTGGTGTCTCAAACCTAATATCATTGCTTAAAATTACAATATATATTTGGTGGCTTCGCCTTCGCACCAACACGACACAAAGGTGAGATTTAACGCACCACTGCACAAAATTGGAAGAAAGCGTGCTACTAGCTTCGCACTAATCAGCCTGGCTGTGAGATTTATTCCTACGCTGCACTCGTCGAGTATGCAATAAAGTGGAACAATGGCTTTCACACCTAAAATTGAGATCAATGCGGACAAGACAGCAGTAAATGTGTTGTGGGATCCCACTCATACCAGCAGGTATGTAGATATAAATGAATTGAGGAATATGTCACGAACAGAAAATCGATCCAAGAAAGCGTGTTTTTCAAGTTTATGCATGTTGGTATCGGTTGTCGGTTATCTAATTTTGTGAGAAAGATTTGCATGTACGTACGTATGTGGATATGTTTGTTTATTTATCCCAATGATGTAATATCATCTTCATAATAAATAAGCATGGAAACACAGGTTTGATGTATTTACGAGGCTTCGTTGGCCGCAATACAGTTGCGTGATATGCAACTTTCAAATGTGTCAAAATAACAATTCATGACTGCCACTAGAACTAGCGTATATTTTACTATTAGTACGCAGCAGTTAGAAGTGTAAGCTCGACAAAAGCTGTAAATTTGGTCCAGCGACATTTAAATTATTAACCGTAGTTTTCTTTTTGAGAAGAGAAACATTGCATGGTATCGAACATTTCGTAAAATTCAAATTGGGCGTCTTCACACCAACTGACGATACTTACCCTCACGGTGACGTGTATAGTATTTAATTTTTTAAGAAATGTTCCGAAAGCAATGTCATGTCCACAAAAATGCCAACAGCTACAGAGACTATAAGGCAGTGGTTTCCGATCGGGAGCCCGTGGCCCACCAAGGGGGCCCGGAGAGCAGTTGGAGGGGGGCCACTAGCCAGGCGCAAAACTGATTTTTCTTTAACCAGTAAACTCCCCGTTTTTCCTAGTTTCATTGATAAGGTTATTTCACAGGGTGTTTTCCCTTAGTTGAGCATGGATTGTTTGAACATAATGGGATTTGGAATCTACTAATCAAAGTAACACTATGAATACCACTGTAATGATAAAGGGAGGTCATGTGTGCTTAAATGCCTTCGGAAAGGGGTGATGAGATATAAAATGTTGTGAATCACTACTATAAGGAATCACACTGCAAAATTGCGAGTTAAGTACACGAAAGCTCACGTCCAACCGAGTCTGACGACTAAAAACTTTTTATTAGAGGACAAGGTCAAAAGAACATTGCCCGTTATAATATATATATAGAGAGAGATATGTTCAATAAAATAGCACAGTGACCCAACATTTCGTCGATGGGAAAATACTAGTTTGCTGCAACTGCAACTACATGCAAATGATGCGAATCGATCTTAAGTATTATGTCTTATCGAACAATTGCACTTTTTCATACATATCCCTCTTGCTTATAGATGCAATGTCAAGTGGCTACGGTTTCACTGTCGATGCAAACGATGTGTTCCTGAATTTTCTGGAATGTTCCCACTTGATAAGGATGAATTTGACGACGAACTATATTTAACAAGCGCTCAAGAGAAAGGCGAGTTCGAAATAATTAATTAACTCTAGTTTCTACTTTTTGATGAACAGGTCGAAGCAGAAATCCTATCGGCTGATCATGAGCGATATGATTTATTCGTATAGACATAGGGAATGTGAAAACATTGTCAAACGTGCCGAAATTGTATTTTGCGGCGAGGCGTTAATGGTCGAGAAAACAAACGTATAGATTCGAACCGGTACTATTTGTTGACAGTTCAAAGTCTCACGGGCGAGGTTTATCCGTGTAATGTAATCTCATTATACCGTTTTTTTTGGGGGGCCTTGGTGAATCTAGGTCATATGACGATTTACCCTTAGCTCTGTTTGTATAATTTCAAACTCTGTTTTGCTGAATTGCAAAGTCTGTTCGGCACTATTGTTGGTTTGTGGTAGATGAATAATATTTGCGCATGTTTCGCAACGTGCACCACTTGTCGACTAGCTCAGAGATGGCCAACACGTCGATCGCGATCGGCCGGTCGATCGCCTTGTCTCGAGTAGTCGATGGCGTCTGATGTTTAGTGAATTTCACAACATACATCAAAAATTGCCTTGAACCAGTTCCATGCAGGTAGAAAATTGTAAATTAGGAAGTTTCAGCAGTCATTTAACATTTATGGTTTGGGCATATTGATTTTTCACTGTTCCTATAATACATGGATACTTAGCGAGTTTTTTTGAGGGATTTTTAAAACTTATGACTAAAATTTAAAAAGGTCTCAAATCTGAATTGTATGATTTGAATAAATCTTGAATATCATGATGATACATTTACTCCTGGTACAATTACATAATCATATTAACAAATGGAATGGGACATTAGGAATACAAATTTTTGTGACAATTTCATTAAGAATGTGCCCAAAGAATATTTTGTATGCGTGTGTGCAGTGCAGCTATCTGCATATTCAGTACTCATACGTTTTTGGACACGTCAGTGTACATAACGATCGTTTCAATATTATGTTGTTGTTCTTGTTGACATTCTTCTTAGTCACCATAAAATCGCTTTTCTCTTCGAATACTGGACCAATTGTTTTAGAATTTCAGTCGATCGCGAACTATTTTGACGATTTTAGTTGATCGCGGTCGAAAGCAGGTTGGCAACCCCTCATCTAGCTCATTGTTTCCCAACCTCAGAGGACCGGTAACATCTGACATAATGATTTCGCGGACCAGCAACAACATATCAAATTTATTGACACGAAGCATGAAAAAAATGGTGAATGGTAAGTGACCAAGCCATTTTTTTCTCGGCTTTGTGGAAGCCGTCAACACTTTTTTGAATAATGGGACATTCTTTGTTCGAAAGTACTTCGATGCTTGGCGTACGGTGCAAAAAATTGGGAATACTCCATGCTTAATATTTTTGCTTAAAAAACATTTTTTAATATGTTGTCAAGTATGATATACTTATGTAACTGACTGTATTTACTTTTATGGAGGGGTGGTTAAAAGTTTCAGGTCTTTGAAACTCGCGGGATTCAACAAAGCGATTTCGCGATGATTGGGAATCTGAAAAACGATTACTCGACGCCAAGGCGTCGCCGGGAAATTAATACCACATATCAAACGCGCGATATAACGGCGGAGAGAAATCGCCCAATAAAGCAAGGCAGCGTAGCGGTTGCGCCCACAGAAAAACAAAGAAACGATAAAAGCGTCTGCCCAGCGGTTGAACCACTGGTCTAGCTTAGTGCCGAACCTTGCCAGAACCACGTTTTAGTGACAATCGAAAGTGAGTTTTGCTGAAATTTGATTGGCTACCTGCGCTATTCAACGAAAGTACTTCACAGAGGCGTACTTATAAGGTGTGATGACGGGAGTTGACAATCAAAATAAAAGGAAAACATCAAAATACTAATATATATGTGAATGTGATATTCCTCTATTTCACTAATGGTTTTGTATCAGTATATATGGCCATAACTTTTAAGTACGTTTTTGTATTTTTCCTTCTCGTTTTATCAATTTGAGTTAGATGTCATTTTGGTCAATATATTCAAGGGTTTAGAAGAAAATCCAGGCTATATCATTAAATGAATATGTTGTTAACAGATGGCGTTTTGCATGTGCAAATCGACAAAGAGGTTATGGAAAATCACGAGACAGCTATACCTTTTGAATGGCTGAAGGAAAACTGCAACTGTGATTCGTGTCTAAAAGCCGACATTGCTCGGAGCAACTTCAACTTTGCAAACCCTGCAACCACTTCTGTTCCAAGAGTTTGTTATGACTCTCTACAATCTCAAGAGGGAAAGTTTGAGTAGGCGAAAAATTAAATTTGAATGGCACAATAATTGTATTGCGATTCTATTTCGACTTAATTGTTCATTTTAGATGCCTTAAGCAAATTGTTGACGTTGGTTTCTGCGTGATAGAAAATGTCACGAGGGAGAGTCTAACAGTGCTCAAGGTGAGAATTTGGTGTGAATTCAATCGTAGAATATCCTTAATGTGCAATACTTTTAAATTGCGTGCGCATAAGCACGCTTTGCTAGTTTCTATTCACTTTGGGAAGGATTAGGACTTTGGGAACTTCGGTTAGGATTAGGACCATACATCCAATTCTCCATACTGTCCTAGTTATATGTTGGCGGAAACGGGAGTTGACAAGAGCAAATTAACCAACCATTTCAGCATCATTTAGACACGCAAAGTATGCTTAGAAATTTTCATCGAACGAAAATAAACGTTTTAGGTTTTTTCGTCATCATTCTAGCATATGCAGTAAAATCGGTAATATATTGTTGTACTTATATATATATATATATAGGACTTATTCAAAAATCTAAAAATTTCTGTTTGTAGGTTGGCGAAATGTTTGGTTATATTCGATCGACTCTGTACGAAAAAGTAAGTGCAGTTGAGAAAGAATCTCGTTTTCAATATTGAGTTGTTGTAGTTGCGATTGTACAATTGCGAATTTGTTATTTATTTTTGTTATAAATCAATGATACAATCGCCGGCGTCAATGGATTGCTATGGTTCCAAAAGCAAATACAAATTGTGACGATAATCTGAGTAAGTACACAAAGTAGACGATCAAACTTGGCCATCCCCTAAAAGAAATTTAATTGAAATAGAAGGGGTGTGATGCTCGACGATCAGCGTGTGTTAAGGATGTTGTGAGCGTAAATATCTGCTATTTTTATTTAGTTTTTCCAATACCATATTAAAAACTTTGCAGTATTTGGATACAACAGCGCAAAATAGGATTCGGAAATGAATATACATACAAGTCAGCCGTAAAGCTCAGAAATCGATTTAGGCACATATCCCGACCTCTGGAACCATTAATACGATGATGCAATTTGCTTACTGTTTCGTTTTTATTTAGTTCTTTGATGTCAAGTATGAGCCGGATCCTTATAACTCGGCATATACCAGTTTGGGACTTCCCTACCATCAAGATTTACCGTACTATGAAGCAATGCCGGGAGTCCAACTTCTTCATGCTCTTGAGTAAGATTTCCGAGTAGGCCTACAACATTTTCATTACGATACTATTTCCCTATTTTAATAATTTCATTTAAAAATTATCAGATGCGAAATTGGGACAAAAAATTATTGTAGTAACATAACCACAATGTGTAACATGAAATTTTGTAATCTTTATAAAAACTTAATACGAAACTACGCATGTTTTATATATCTATTGATCTGCCCTTGTATTCGCCATGTAGCCACATACATAAATACATACTTGCGCGATTGACGGCGCTCCCGAAGTATGTGCATCAAGATGGCGCACAACCTGAACCCTAATCTGGTACACATACTATGTTCAGGTTGTGCGCCATCTTTGTGCACATACTGAGCTCCCGATTGACTTGGAATGTGAATTTTGATATCGAATAATAATTCCAAATTGTGCCTTGTTTTCACATTTACAGAATACAACAATTATCCTTATTTTATATTTCCTAAGCTGCTTTTTACTTCCAAAATAATTTCCAGTAGTTGAAACCAGATGTCTGTGTAATGCATTAGAAGACATTTGAAGTACATATACAGCTACGAGAATTTGCCGGCTTCCGGGTTTTTATTAACTTCTGAGCCGATACTTTGAGCAACATTTTTGAATAAATTTCTATCGTATTTGATAGCGATGAATATAACTATATATAAGAGATAAGATACGCAAATTTTCGAGCATAATGTAAGTTCTATTAGGGGTGGATGAAGAGATATACTATGGCGAGAATTGCTCTTCTATTTTTGGTACAGACCCATATATATATGCAGATATAGGTTTCAACCGACTTTTCGTCCACACTGAAAAAAAATACATATATATACATATGTTCCGTGTGTGCACTAGCATTTAGAATTTTACGTAACTATGTTCAGATTCGACGATTCAATCAAAGGTGGTGAATCACAGCTGGTAGATTTATTTCACGTTGCGGATATATTAAAAAAGGAATCTCCCGAAAACTTCGAAGTGCTCTGTACAGTTCCTGGTACGTTTCAAACAAAGGATTTGAACCGCCCCAACCCAGCTTGGTACGAGCATACAAGGACGCATATTGAAGTTGATTACTTTGGAAACGTAAGTCAAGTCTAAGCTTTGTTGAACTGAGGCTAGCACTTGCAGTCGTGGGCAAATTTATCCAATTCAGAATATTGCTGTAGAACGGCTTTGAATACTTCGGTGTATTCCAGAACAGGGGCCGAATATTTAGTATTGATCAAATCTGAATGCTTAATAGCATTAGAAATCGGCTGACTTCCACATGCCGCAATCGCGTACAATTTGAATCGTCTCGGATAAACTCGGTCGTTTTCATTCATCCAGGAGATCGCGCCTCTTCGTCCTGTCAGACTATGGTAATAGGTAACCTTTTTACATATATATATCATGCTTCTGTGATAGGGCTAATTTGGGACGTTTTTTCGTAGTTTTGGTGCAAATTATTATTTTGGTACATATACACAGAAGCTCGGTGGTATTGCGCATCGTGCCAACGTTAGAAATACGCGCCTCCGATTACCCTGTGCGGGTTCAATTATCCTGCGGGAGACAATTTTGCGTGAGGTGGAAAGGTGAACTCGTCACCGCGGGGTGGTTCAGGTGGCCGTAGCAGGCCGGTTTGAGGTTCCTCCACCATCAAGTCCATGCATCTAAAAAAAATAACTGGCCAACTAATTCTATGCCCGATATGGACTGGTACCGATAAACCTACGAGAGGCCGCGGTACACCATATGAACAAGCTATCTTAACGACCTCCCCCGTGATAAATATGAAAATCCTATACAATCTACAATACTGAAACCGAACTTGCTTCTTTTAGACTGTGGCAATCTACTGGAACCCGGGTGTGGAAGGAGCGTTAAGAGTTCGATTCGAAGATGAAGAGAGATACTTCAAAGCGTATGTGCATTTCTTGAGAATATTACGGAGAAAGGAATTAGAGGTATAAATGAAATCTATCCATTCTATAATCTTACTAAATCTTATTTTTGACATAATATTCATGCCATCTTTGGCGGGCTTATAAATAGATCAAGATCCCATAATTAGTGATAACGTGTTACAGTAAGGGCGCACTGGTGGGTGTGAGTAAAGTAAGTAAAGGTTAATTAATACGCATTGGAACACCGAGTTTTGTCACCTAAACTTCTTCGAACAAAAAGCACGATAGCGAGGTGACTTTGGCCAGTATATTCACCCCGACAAGACATTATATCAGCAACATAAGACTCTAATATTACTTTGGAATATGATGGCTTTTCAATAAAATACTATAAACGTTTGATTCGATATATAGTTTTGCTTCCGAATGAAGCCTGGAGACTTGATAATCTTCAACAACAGAAGAATGGCCCATGCTCGTAAGGAATATAATACGAAAGAAGGAAAACGTCATTTACAGGTGACTTGAGTTTGGGGGCATATATAGTGTCCAATCACAAACTTGTGAAGCAACTAGGATAATTTTGTTGGATTGTTCACCAGCATCTAGTGATATAACACACTAACGCAGAACTCCCCTATCACTATCCATTGCACCAATTATTACAAATAACAGAGCTTATCTCAATGTTTTATTTTAAAAGAGGGCAAAAAACAGTATATATTTTCAATGGTTTGTCACTAGATTTTAAACTTGAATTTCATCAAACATTAGCCCTCAAAATAGTATTCTTAAATTTGACATCTACCTTACCAGGGTTGTTATATTAATCTTGATGACATGAAGAGCACTTATATGGTGCTGGCACACAAGCTTGGAAAAAAGGTTGTTCCACCCAAAGTCGGAAATCGGTGCTGGTACTAATGAAACTGTGTCCATCATCCTTTAACTTTTGAAATTCATTGTTGTATGTACTTATGTTTTTATGTAATTATTTTTGATCGTCATGATTTTAAGTTGCAATAATGCCAATATGATATATGCCAAATGTTATTAAATGAGTAAATAAAATTTACGAAAGTATATGACAATTTCTACATTTTGAATGTAACAGATGGATTTCAGAGAGTACATGGGCAATAAGAATTTATAATTTGCCTCAACACTGTGATACCATTCTTTATTAGTCTGGTGCTTGAATGATTTTAGCTCAACATCTTAGTATCTTTAACCATACCCCAATTCACTCTTCAGACATTCATGTCATGTCGTGCACAGATCAGCAAGTCAGTACTCATTGGCTGGTATAGTAATCAGCTTACAGAAAACAGTCCTTACTCAGCATCGCGCTTTCGTTTTCTATGCCTGATTACCATTTCAGAAGCAGTTAATTTATGGCTAGTTCCCACCTCCCATTTCATATGACTATGAAGACTTTTTTGTCCAACTTCAAATAAATTTCGTTCAACTTCATCCAGTTTTTCTTTATGTCTATTACTGTCAAATTTGAATGCATTGGTTGACCAATCCATTATCCTGCGAAATCTATCAGCAAATGCCTGCATTGAAGAATGAAACCTAATTCAAGATGTATTTGAAACTATCCCCTCAGATTTTTACAAGGAAGTGATATAGGTGACATGGAAGCACATCATATTGGGCCCAACTATTGAAATCTCATAGGTCCAAACCCTACCCCAGTGCGTGTGAAACAAATTAGGCTGAGCATTAACAAATTGAGAATATTTTGATCCCTTTCACAGTCGCTTTACTAAAATCATCTTTCGAGAGGAATATGTGAAACACCTCCTAATGTAACAATAATCCTGTGCCTAAGAAAAGAACATGAATAAGTTACCTGAACTAGACTTCTTGCAACAAACACAGATTCATCTGCATTAAAAACCAGCATTTGTTGTCCCATTGCATAATAATATGGACCGAGTTTATGTAGATCTACAACTGATGCATCAGCCTATGTTGTTGAATGTAAAGAGAAATAACCAAACAGGGAATGAACAGAGCCACATGCAAAATATGAGGAGAGAATGCAGCAAAACCAAACATAGCACACACAAGGTTCATAAATTAAATAAAATATTATTTGACAAATTTTTGTGTTTATTAAATGAGGGACCACGACTATGGCTGGAAAAGGCTAATAACAGAGAAGTGAACTATAAAAGAAGTGAAAATCGAGCTTCAATAGTTAGCCCGCTAATCAGCTTGTTACCATACCCATATTCCTATGTAAATATTCAATATGAATTGTTGTTTGTACAATATACACATAATACCTTCTGTCTACAAAAATTTCATTAGAATATTAGTTTTCAAAATACCTTCAGAATTTCTCTATAGACTTCTCTGTAAGGTTTTGTTATTTCTACAGATACAAGTTTTCTTTTAGGATTTGCTCCAAGTGATGATGCAAGCCATAATGGCAAATCCATCTTTGTACCTGAAGATTAGCTTTGCATTATCAGAATGTGTGAACCAGGTATTATACTACACAGTTTATATAATAATACATGTAGCTAGTGGATAGCCAGACAAACTCAATGGTATTTTGTTAAATTTAAATAATGCATTTCACAACATTCGAGCTAGCTGGCATACTCGTAAGAGAATGAACCTTCATAAGTGATATGCACCAGTGAAAGAAATAGGTTCAACTTAATCTATTAAAATTGGATTAAATGCGAGAGAAATAGGTCCATCCCGAACGACTAACGTAGATAGAGATTTATGTAACAGCCTGAACAGTGGCTTCTTAAAAAAAAGTGTGATGAAACTTCATAAAAACAGTCCTGTAATTTAAAATTAGAATTATGTAAAATTTGCATACTGCAACAATACATAATATTCAACTGCTGCAATACCTTCGGTTATGTCCTTTTTACCACTTCCTGGATCCAGAAAACCCAAACCAAACACTGGCAAAAGAAAGCTACATGGAACTTTTTCACTTGACATTAAAATATCATCAATACTAAAATAGTTTTGCTTCAAGCTTCCGCTCGGAGGAGCACAATCCATAAGTATAATTAGTAATTATAGGTATATTATCTATAGACAAAAGTTTGATAACATATTATTCGCTCATTGGAAACTTTATCTACTTGGTCCTTTAACCATGCAGTGAATATGATGGCTAGTATAATTCAAATGAATAACCAACTCCTGAACTCTGTTAGAAATTACAGAACATCTGGTTCAGGCTTGTACAGCAGTTGTAAACAAGGATTCATCAATGGCATCAGCCTAACGAGGCACGATTATGTTTCAATATTTATGTACAGATAATAATTCTGTAATTTAAGTACGTTTAAACTATGCATGTATGTACGGTACTTCCATCGGGTATAATATAGATTTAGTTGGGACTCCTGATTGACTCCGGGCAACCGAAAATATTCCCACATTATTAGTAGTATTTCTGTATTTATTAATTGATGTAATCTGGACTACAATTTGGCAATATTTTGGCATGTTTTTGGCTAATGAAAAGGTTTAGCCTACCTCTTCATGCACTCAACTTTGGTTGGGCAACTTGGCACTTGACTCCAATTATAATCAGCTTAGCGAAATCATTTTTTTGTCCTTATATTAAATACTGTTCACTCTTGTTTGGATATTTTTATAAAATTATAAAAATGGTGTGGCAAACAATCCTTATTATTTTTTACATTTCATCTTTTATTCTAATTTGTTTTTTATGTGTTTATTTATTTTTTTTTGGTTACCATATAATTTATCTAAAGCTTATTTCTTTTTACTTATCGATCTTAAGATCGGAAAGTATGTTGATGGGTATTTGTCTGTTAGACACACGCGATATCTCACGAAAACGAGAATGAATCCGCTCCGAATTTTGCATATGCATTCATCATATCTCGGATCAGAAGCCTATAGATTTTGAATGAGTTATGTCGTATAATTAGCGAGTTATTAATTAATTAGTGATGGGACACAAGGTGGCACTATGGGGAAAGAGCGCTGTTTTGGGGGATCGCCTAACTTTCTATTGATAAATCATGGGTCTCTGACCGATATTCTCGTTTCTAATTTTATTAATGCCCTATGGTTGTGTGCGTGTGTGAATGATTTTATTTTTTTTTTTCTTAGGTGAGTGAACACGTACCACTTCTTTTTGGCAATCCATCTTACAGTCTTATATTCTGTACGTTTTAAAACTTGTCCACGGATTTGTTTACTCTCCTGATTTCTGGATTTCATAATCAGTTTTTAATAATTTGTTTTTATCAAACATCTTATCGCCTTTTTGCTGATTATGGAGTCGAAATAAACTTATATAGACTACTCCCGATCCGATCCTGTTTGTTGAAAACCAGGCCCGGAATCCTGTTTTTCGGAGTCCTGGACCCGAATTCTGTTTGTGCTCAACACCCTCAATGCTCAACCATGGTTAACACTAGTGTGGTTGCAGATTTCAGGAATCGACGTTGCACCGACCCTTGACCCCTGAAAAAACTTTTAAAATTTTAAACGCTTAGCGCGTATAATAAAAATCACAACAAAATGGTAGCCAAAGTTTGAATAAAATGTGGAGTTGATGGAATTGCAGAGAATTTTTGAGGTTCATGCGTAAAAGTAAAGTGTAACTTAGAAAAAGACAAATCTTGGGTGTATAATGAATCTTGCTATCCACTTGGCTGTTAAACTTGCGAAAAAATGTTGATGGAAGCTGGGGAAAATTTCATGAATGAAAAGCTTTCGGGTCAACTAAGAAGGGGATTCATAAATATGCAATCGCTTCACACGATCATAGTTCAGGTTCAGTGTGGTGCAACATGCTAAGCGTTAGGAATGTTATTCTGCGTGGGTAGGCAGTTCCGAAATCCGTGGGAGATAACCATGTGCGAGAGGATTGCTGGACTCCTCGCCGCCGTAGGGTGGTTCACGTAACTGCGGGTCGGTTACAGCTTCTTCCATCATCAAGTTCAAGCATCTGAAATAACTGGCTAATTACCCGACATACTGTCGCTGCTCTCATCACTGGGCCTATCATTTCCATCATCTAGCAATTGGGGGCCTGCACAAAGTGGAAAAGAATGTAAGTAGCCGTTCGGGAACTCAGTCCCACAATACTTTCAGGTAATATGCATCTACATCTAACACTCCTTAATAGGATCACTTATTTCTGCCATGTCTTCAGTTTCAACTTATCTGCTAAAAATGATTTCTTATTTGTGCATTATGAAACTGACGCTACCGTCAAATAGGTTCAGTAGGAGAATTTTCACCTTAAATTTATAATACGCCCTCAGGCATAATAGATGTTCATTTGGTTCCCAGGATAGCTTAGTTCGTACCCTTCTCCATTGTCAAGACCGTTTTTAATGCCCAAATCTTTTAGTTACTTTGTTTAACAACACTTTTGATGTTTATTACTTATATTCACTATTCATCTTCAAAAAGATACCTATCAATGCACTGTTTATGAATATACACCAAAATCTGCATGCGTATTAACATATTATGTAAATCACAAGTTCTTGTATAAGATTTCATATATATATATATATATATATTCTTGTATATAGACACACCCTTTTGAATACAACCGTGCCAAATTGAATTGCATGAGCAGCAAATGCCTTTGTGTGAAGTCTGTTTTTGCCTGCTGCAGTTTGTGCAGTAGTAACGATTGTAGAAATACGGGTGCCACGCATGAGGAGAGATGATAATATTAATATTGAGTTATGGTTTTAACTTTCATGAAGTTTGATATCCTAACCAATTAGAATACTGATATACTTTCGTGAATATGAGGAATATTGAACTGGCTGTTGTTTTAGTATTTTTAATTACACATGCCTTTGCTTTGTACTCATTTTGTGTTCTTTTTATCTTGGAATTATGTTTAATTTTGCCACGTAATTTCAACATTGCTATATAATTATTTTTGTTAGTTTTACGAAATAATACGCCATAATATTCTATTCTATGTATATCGGCTGTAGGGATAGGCATTGCTAATTGGAGCTAAGATCTGAAGCCCGACCCAAAATTCGGGCCGGAAATGTCAATCATTACGTTCGAATCGGATCTGGCTTCTCAATCGCTGACTTTTTTTTTAAATGAGGCGTTTTGACCACGAAAGATCATGGTCTGCAAAAAACAGAAGTTACCTCATCAACATGACACATACTGTACAAAACTCTTGCAATGACTATTCAATGAACGCCTAAATTAAATATGAAATTTCAGGCTTGGGTTGCAAATCCAGTTAATTAGACGGGCTCGGGTCGGGTTTAATACCCACGGGCCTGGGTCGGGGCGGAATTTTTGGGCCCGATCTTACCTCTATTGCTAATTACTTAGTCACCGCACAAGGATGGAAAGAAAAGAAATTATGACGTCAGATTCATTTACAGAACTAATTGTGACGCCAGGTGATATAAATGCTAACCCCTCCCTCAAAAAAAAACATTTTTTTTTTGTTTTTTTGCGAGTTATTCTTGCTTTCCAGGTATTTCTGCATTTTGTTTTTCTGTTTATTTTTTGTGTTGTTCTCTTTTTTGTCAGAATACCGAAATAAAATGATGATGAGCCACCAGACCATAAATTGTCAGGGTATTCCCCACTTCAGCTACATTGATGGCAATAATAGTTTGGGGAATATTTGAGGGGGCGTCGGTCGGTAGGTATAGGCGTATAGCCACGTGGGGTGAAGTGTTGGGCATTGAGAACTAATGGAATATATGATAAAGAACATTAGGTACAATAAATCAATTAGAATTAACACACATAAGGTTTATAATAATGAATAGTGTTACTTGATGACTGAATGTAACCTACACTTCAACTGTAACTGGCTGAGCGATGTGGTAACGTACGGTATCTTGTGCTGATGAGGATAGGATATGATGTACATAGTTATCCTGGTTACCCATATGATTGAAAGGAAAGCGTTTTCAAGTCCATTGGCATCTAAGCAGATTGTTGCCATGCCAAAAACTAAATGACTGGAATTTCTAATGTAATTATAGGTTGAAAATTAATAAAGACAAATTTCTTAGCATAAATATAAATGCTGAAAGGAGCAATCATAACATCGATTTGGCAAAATATAACTGGTCTCAAAACACTGATGATGAAAATACAATGACAAGACGCATCATTTTTAACAGCCACACTATTTAGACACATTAAGGACGAAATGCTTAGGTTCCTACTGCTCACAGGAACAGTTTAACCAGAGCTATGCAATTATAACATTTAGGACTGTAACACAATTTGAAATGGTTGTTACATTTTCTGCAAAATTTGTTAATTCAATTTTTATCCCTGCTAACATTAATAATCGATTTTGTAGCTTAAAACTGAAATACCACACAATAGTTTGCAGAAATCTCTAACAGTCAAACTTCCTAGATTGCTTTGCATTGAGAGGTGGACTGGGACTGAACTTACTTGAAATTTTTCTTTTGGTTCCATTACAGAATTTTATGCAATAATGAAGTTGAGCACAAAAGGAAAATCATTGCAAGAGTTTGTTGAAATTGATATTAAAGCAATTGTTGTGGACATTGAAGGAACCACTACACCAATAACATTTGTCACTGAAGTCCTGTTCCCATACATCAAAGAAAACATAAAGACATACTTGACCAAAAACTGGAATGAAAAAGAACTCTTAGATGATTATGAAGCTCTAAGAGCTTTGGCAGAGTCTGATAGACAATCGGAAATTGAAGATGTACCTTTAATACCATCACATGATGAAAAAGGTGCTCAAGAATCTGTGGTGAAAAACGTTTTGTGGCAAATGTCTAAAGACAGAAAGTCGACAGCCTTGAAACAGTTGCAAGGCCACATGTGGCAGTCTGCTTACGCAAATGGACTTATCAAGGGTGATGTTTATGAGGATGTGCCGAGTACTTTGAAATCCCTAAAGACTGACGGAAAATCGCTTTTTGTTTATTCTTCTGGAAGTATAAAGGCACAAAAACTACTTTTTGGACATAGCAATAGGGGTGACCTTTGCCCACTATTTAGTGGATATTTTGACACAAATGTTGGCGCGAAGAAAGAAGCGTCAAGTTACATTAAGATATCAGATTCAATAGGCGAGAACCCAGAAAATATTATATTCTTGACAGATGTCCTTGCTGAAGCAGAGGCAGCAACAACAGCTGGAATGAATGCTTGTATTGTGCTACGTCCAGGAAACCACCCCATCTTAAAAGATGATCTGGAAAGATTTACAACAATAAAATCGTTCTCTGAACTTGTATTCACAGAGGAAGATATTCCAGAAAAGCGTCAGAAAGTTGATGAGTCCCTCAAGAAATAAAACTACAGTACTTAGTAATCAGTGACTGGTATTCCTAAACCTTGGGAAGCATGTGTCTCTGCATATGCTTGGTAATGTTTCGCTGATCCCAGTATTGGACAGCAAAATACTACTGATTGGCGCATATTCCCTTTTAAGCTATTAATTAGCATGCAGGTATATTTTACATGAATCCCACCTTAAATAACATTTTATTTAGGAAATAATTGGTTTGTGCATTATGTGGTGAAATTCATGAAGTTGAAAAAATATTGAAAAGATCTGTTTATCATTAAATCAACCATTGAAGGAGTCCAAGAAATTATCAAGTTGCTAGTTTGGGCTTAGCAGTTATAATACAAAACATATATCTCTCTCTGGAAATCTCTGATAAAGGAAAGATTTAGCTAGCTTGTGAACCTTTTGTTGCAAAATTCTGCTCAGTGTCGAGTATTGAAATCAAGCATAGAGTAATTCCCTTGAAAAAGAATTTGGAATGTCTTCGGATCCAGGACCCTATGTATGATGTAATAATAATCCAGTAAAATGAACTGATTCCATTTGAAGAATGATGATCTTGCAGTGGTAGTGATTAGACAAGACCCAGCAGGATGGAATTATTTCATTTGCCAGATGGAGCCTTACTTCTTCATCTCAAGGCTGCGAGAATTCAGTACGCACCTTACCTACATTAGGAACATGTCTTTCATCCCATATTGAGATACCATCACACGTGCAAAATCGTTTGGAATTCTGGAACAGCCCTGATGACCTTGCTATTATTGCACATGCTACGCTGTAAATATAATTAGGTCAAGCGGTAAGTACTGAGTTGAAGCCAGATAAAAAAAATACATTAATTCGTACCCTTTACCAGAATTTCCATCAATCGATACAAAATCATCCTGATTTTCATGGATAACAATTGATCTTCCAATAATATCATGTACCTAAAATGAAGGATATGCTCTCTTACAAATGTTTGCTGTGTGAATTGAAATAAAGTAGGAAGATACCTTGAGAAATTTATCCGTAAACCTGAACTTCGCTCGTCCACCATCGTTAGCTTTTATATTTCCCAGGTCACCGACATGCTGAAAGGCCAAACAACATTAAATGACACATTAGAAACTATGGAAAGTGATAAAAACTTACCCTCTCTTTAGCGAGACGATCTCCGTGACGATTGTTATCAGGATTATAATGTTCACCACACCTGTTGAAAATATACTTAGTTTCATTCTTACTCAATTAGGTATTATGTTATTCGCTAACTAGTGATAAAACAACTTTAAAGCTCATTTTTAAGCAGTTGTTAACACAATAGAGTTTGACATAGCCATTACTTGTGCCATTACAAAGCCTTACAAATTTTCGATTTGTTCATAACAATGTGCGCAGTGGGAAAAAGGTTTGGTCAGGGCCATAACCTGATATTTATACCCTGTGACGTTGACAACATGGATATAAAATTTACTTATCAAATTCAAATAGTATGCATCATTCCTAATGAATAAATGATATAACATATTACCCCTCGCATCCGTTAGACAAGTCTCCATAAGTGTGAACATTCAGTCCATGGTAACCTGGAGAGAGACCATCAACAATTCCATCAATTAAACAAAGGTTATTTGTCAGTTGTGCGAGCCTTACAATTCCTTTGACAGAATTTCCACGAATTTCTGCCACCGCAGCTCCCAGGGGTTCTAAATCTAAGTAGGTTAAATCATTAAATTATAACAATAGATAAAAAGTTGAAGCATGTGTTACATGAGTAAATCAATGATCCTGAATCTATCGACTGCTTTTTCCCAATAGTTGTAAACAGCATCCAATGATCTTGTGTAATAGAAAATATACATATATAACCTTTTCCCATAGAAGATCCTATTCCTACCAATTCAGCTTGCATTCCTGTGCTCTCAATCAATTTTTGTACATCTTCGAAAGGCAGTGCTGTGTCAACAACTACCTAGTGAATAAATATAGTCACAAAAATGTGTCTTTTTATCAGCACTACTGTTTGTGAAAGCGAGATTGTTGTTTGAATAAAATAGTTTAAAATTCATTTTGTAATTATTGTAGGCTACTATCAATTTTTAAACATGGACAATGCTCATGAAATAGGGAATGTTGAAACATAAACTTGAATTATTACAACTTGAAAACTGAATCCAAGATAACTTTCAGTCCAAATTCAATAGTGACGGTAACACTGTCTTAGTTATAATAGAATATTTGAAATGCGGAAGCCCATAGAAATTTCGTGAAGAATATGACTAGGGAAATTACAGTAATGATGCTGAAGACTGCATAATGCCCCATATCTGGTTATTTACACAGCAAGTCTTTATAAGGTTGTGTTGATTCAAACTTATAGTTATTTATATTCTCCTTGCTATAATTAGCCAACCTGCTGGATGTTGAGGTTTATCTTGGATCCGATTATTTTGGAATTTCCAGAAAGCACTTTCTCTACCTTTTCCACGCAAGTGTTACAAGTCATTGAGACAACAAACTCGAGCTGAAATAAGAACAGGATATGATTTTTATCCTAAAGGCAGAAGAGAGAGAAATGATGATGAGGAAGCGATACAGTAACCACTCTATGACAACAAGGATTTCAGGAATCTTCTGCAATTAATTTTTCCTTACATAATTCTAACCTGCGCAGAGTTATTAGTCTTTTAATGCACAAATAGCCCATCTGGATGAAATAAAATTTTGTTCTGTATTCATCTCCCTGAAATGAGGAATTTTAATAACATAATAGGTAATACAGTAATAAAATTTACCTTAGCGACAGAATCATGCTCCATTGTAGCCCAGTGTTATTGATGATATTATACCGCGATGAAGTGTTCTCGCCTCCTTTCTCACTGTAATGTGCACCAGAAATCGGTTCTGGTATTGCGCAACCAAAGGTCGTTGAGGCGTGTCGATACCTCATTTATTTATTTAACCATATTTACGATTTAACCGTAAATAACTACAACCAATGAGCATATATATGAGTATGAGTATATATGCTCATTGCTACAACTGATGATTTAAGTGCCTAAATATACGACCGAAAAGTAGTTAGATAAAATAAAACTTCGGGGCTTATGAAATGAATGTATATCCGAGCATCGATTTTCTTGTTTATTTACACAACAATAACAAATCATCAATAAGTTCACAATGACGTGAGAATTGGAATTTATCCCACTGTTCAGACACTTCTTTCGCTCAGATACCGGTATGGTTTATTGTTTTGCACTAAAATGATAGTTTTAAACATGTGAACCAGTTTGAGAGCGCAAACTCTCTAAAACGCTCTCAAAATCATATTTAAAAATTTTGCGATGATAAAAGTATTTTCAAGGGTCGGGAAACGTCCATTTGCCCGCATGTATATGGTTGTTTCCCCGACGCTTGATCTCAGAATAATCTTTCCTATACTCAACGATTAACATACCTTTACTATAGCAAAATTTTGGATGCCTATTTTGCAAACGTTTTGACACTTTTTGTTCTCATCGTTTTGACACAAAGAGTTGACACTTACAAACTGATTTACATACTCATTATTTTCAATAAAATATACAACAACGTGTCGCTTATACGTACTAGCTAGTTTAGGTAATATTTATCCTGAGGGAGGCGATACGACTGCTTATCTTAATCACATGGCGAACCACGCCTCTCGCCCGGTTACCAGTGCATGGCGAGTATGTCTAGTTAGCCAGTTATTTGTCATCGGAAGCATGAACTTGATCGTAGAGGAAGCCGTAATCGACCTGCGGTTAACGTGAAAAACCTTACGGCGGCGAAGAGTCCAGCAATCCTCTTGGACATAACTATCCCCGTATAGGATTCGAACCCACGCAGGGCAATCAAAGGTGCGATAGGAAGCGTACTCTCTTTAAAAGTATTGCCCGATTCTGAATCGTTTTCACTATTTTGTGTATTTTTCTGTTGGTAGGTGGGCACGTAGGCTACTTGTACGTTTTTAACTTTATTCTATCTCTGCATTATTTTTAAATATGTGCTACAACAATATTCATTACATTAATTATCACTACAACATATATTCCCATTACCATCCTACATTTGTCTATTATGTTTTTTGTGTTGTTTATGTCAGTACCGAAATAAAATGATTGATTAAAAATTACAATTGTTATGCATCGTTGACTTTTTTTCTGGTTGGTCACCGTTACAGAAACAAGAAAGCTATGTTCAAATATATGGACACGCCACCTATAGCCAATAATTTTGATGACGTCATAGAAAAAAAGGCCTTCTGAATAAAATTTTTATCTTTAACCACTGAAAATTTCAAAGCAATTGGTCCAGTAATCAAAGAGAAAAGCGATTTCTTCAAAACGTGTCAAAGAACAACATAACAACAAAACGATCGTTATGTCCACTAAACGTGTCCAATAAACAAGGAAATTGATGCTCTGGGAACATCAATCAATCAGTTTTATTTCGGTCACTCTGAAAGAAAACAACAAACGGACAAACAAAACGCAGAGGATCTGGAGAACGGGAATAACTTGATAAAAAAGTTAAAACCGTACAAGTACGTGCCCGTCCACCAAAAACAGTCAAAAGAATTTAATAAAACAAAAACACAATGTAAAATCGGGCAATACCTTCTAATTCAATTTTAAAATGTGAGACGTGTACATGTATAACAACAATCTGCGCTCTGTTCCATCATCCACAACTATAGATTCATAAAAGGATCGAAAGCTCGCAAAACACCTCTAACAGATCGTCCACAATTTAACCTCAAATCCAATCTTTTATCAATAAACTTCTTTAATTCCGGTGGTTGGGCTTTGATCATGTTGATATTACGCGATACAAATCCAACTGTAGATAACGAAACACACAGCGCGTAGCATTCTCTAGTCCAGGGTGGTCCAAACCCAGGCCCGCGGGCCACATGTTAGCCGCGGCTTCATTATCTGTGGCCCGCGTCGCATTCGAAAAGTAATGAAAAAATCGCACTCCGTGTTGTTTCGTAATAAAATTAATCAGAAAAATCTTTTGATATGTTGTTACATAGTATATATTTACGGTTACATCACTAATGTCACTGAATTGACTAGTGTTATGGCTAGCTGAGGCAACTAGCGAAGTTGAATAATGTGCTTGGCAGTCTAAATTATTATCTAGCTTTCCATCTTTTGGTCGGGAATATATGCTAACAATATATGCATCATAGAAAACTAAAAATCGAATGCAGATTCTATTAGCCTGGGATGGCTTTATGTCTAATAACTAAGTGTTTGCACAATAAAAGGGTTTGTTTTGCATTGCACTGTTTACCTATTTTTTATGCACTATTGTGGCCCGCAAACAATGCAAAAATAATTTTGTGGCCCGCGGAGCCGGCAACCTTGGACCACCATGCTCTAGTGTTTTCAAGTATCTACGTCCGCACCCGACGACGGTCGGAACATCGTTGTATGTTAGCTTGTTCTCGAAACACGATTTGACCTCAAAGTTCAGGAAACAACAAAAGCGAAATTTTGATACGCCAGACTAATTCCCCCCCCCTCCCTCCAAGAGGCGATAGGCGGAATGACGAACTGTCTTCTCAACGTTAGGGAAAGCGGTTTGGTAGCGTGGCCGAGCGGTCTAAGGCGCTGGTTTAAGGCACCAGTCATTTCGATGGCGTGGGTTCGAATCCCACCGCTGCCAGTATTTTTGCAACACATCCTCGATAATCAACCCTTTGTCGGCGATCTGATATGACTGTTTTCGCTTTTTTCTTGTCAACACACTGACACACATGTTCAGATGTTACCGTGCTGTCCGACTGTTGGCGGTGTTTCCACGTGATCCTGTGAATTCAGGGCTGCCACTCTATATGTTTTATATCAAGATCTAGATGTAAAATTTGGCGTCTAGATGTTAACTAGACTATAAAATCTAGATGTTTTTTTTTCGACGTTCCGAATATTATCCAGTGAGAAATAAATAAAACGACGTGTATAGACTAATACGGTACTGTAATACAGTAATATGTGAATGAATATTATTTCATTTCATTACTTACAGACTTAGAAGTAAGTTAAATATATTGATGTAGACTATCATTAAATTGTATTCGTCTAGCGGTACGGTACCGGTACCATATGTAATTAAATTATTCGAATAACGAATTAAACATGTTTAGAACATGTGACGTTTTAGTTACAGAATTTAATAGAAAGGTGGACGTTGGTCCGATGAATCAATGTTTAGTATTGTATATTCGTATTGTTGCCAGGTGGTGAGAATAATTCGGTAGTTCAAGTTGCTCACTTCAGAATTTTAAAATGATAGCCTAAAGTCTGAAAGTTATCTAGTAAATGCTATTGAATTTGTCTTTCTTTACTTTAAAGTGCTATGAACCATACAAAAATAAACTGAGAAAGAGCATAAAGCTGTAAAGACAGATTTACTGAATGTAATTATAAAAGTTGGCCCGATTCGAAAAAAAAACAATGTTGCATTTCTTATAAGTTGCTGATTTGGTTGTCAAGAAAATATGTACAGCAAAAACTCATAAAAACCCCTCTGAAGCGACAATATCAACAGATGTTAGCTTCTCCCACATCTAATCTTATGTAATATATTAAACTTTGTATGCTCTTGTTTCTTCGATTTTCATCAAGTTTAATGACTTCATCTAGATGTATTTTCTAGAGGTTTTATTTTTCAATCTAGATGTTTTTCGAAGTCAATCTAAATGTTTTTAGTCAGACAAAAGTAGCAGCCCTACACATGATGCAGACCTCGTTTTGTATCAGTGCCCAGTACGGGTAGTCCATGCTCAAGGCCGCTCAAAAGCACGGCGACGTTACCGTCTGTTTGGATTTTCAGATTTTAAATATTGCTTTCAATATCTTATTTCATGCATTTTTTGTCACATACTGACAGACCTTCCAAAACTCTGTAGCTGCTGAATTGTGTAACAACATACTGATATAAGGGCAAACAATCTTAATCTTGGTTTTGTGGTTTGAGTTTAAGATTAATCGTCAGATGACAGGATAATGGAAACCACCACAGAAGATGAAAGTGCAGATGAAGATGAAGTTGTGAAAGAGGTAGGTCTTACTCTTGGTGATATAATTAAAATTTTATGCAGGAAGCGCTTAATGCAGTTAATGGATGGATATTTCATTCATTCTGTCACCAATATATTTGGCTCAAGTTAGTCAACTGTCGAAATATCTATCATTCTAATTTTCTATGCATAGGCTTGATGAAATTTTGCAAAATTATGCACTGGGTTACTCGACATATTATTGTAATTCAAATTGAACTTCTTGTTGATTTTTCTGTACTTTCATTCCTTTTGGAAATGAACTATGTTGGACCATAGGATCAATCTGTATATACAATGGACCCTAATAATGAATCTAAATTTATTGTTTCAGTTTGATGTCTATTTGTCCAAAAGCTTGTCTGGACGCCTTTACTTGCTGCAATATCCAGTGCAAAGTGTAAAACGAAAATATGGATCTCAGGATCGAGATACGGCCAAAATCAAACCACAAAATAATAAAGTAAATTCACTGTTAATCTTCCTTATAATCGTTGGCAGGTCTTTTGTCAAAAAGTTATGCTAACTTTTGATTAATAACCAGTCAGGTTATTCTGTAAAAAATATTAACTGAGTGTAATTTCATATTAAGCTTGCTGATGTGCAAAGTCAAACTTGTTAATGGAGAAGTGTTGATAAATATCTATGTATGCCTTAGTTAGCTGCAATAGAAAATCTAAAAAAAATTATTAAGACTGTCACACAAGGAGACACGTTCCTTTTGACTTATTGTTGTGAGCACCATATTTCACTTTGTTTTTTCTATTATCCAGATTGAAATGGATGTATCACTTGACATCAGCAGTCCAAACTATGACCAAAGCAAAGGAGAGCAGATTGCATTGAATGTGGATGGAAATGTAGGAACAATACAAGCATCAACAACATTCGATACAAATGTTATGGACAGACAGACGTTACAATCAAGCTGCGTGCCCGCGAGAGGAAAACGATATGTATCTGCTATTGTTCAACATGGTAAACCTCTTGAGTCTTTTTGGTGAAAGTTACAGCCATGTTCTACTATCTTACTTTAAATATTTATTAAGAAACCAAACAAAATATTAAGAAACCACTAAAATTACCTGACATTTTTCTAGATGAGGTACATCTGACTCCAATATCTCATGTCATGCAACTTAAGCCAAGTTTTAAATATATGGATAGAGCGGAACATAGAGCATCACAAGCTGCAAAGGCCAAAGCTGCAGCCGAAGCAGGTAATAATGACTTTCATGTTTACCTTTCCCAGAAATATGCAGCAGTTAATGAACAAGGTCTAGGTCTTCTATCCTGAATAAATAAACATTGCTAGCCTGCTAAAATGATTTTAGTTATGTATGTATTAAACTTCATGTAAGTTTTTATATATATTTTTTTATTTCTTATGAAGTCATTTTCACCTTAATTTTCAAGGCTATGCAAAAGTATCAATGTATACCTCGGTACTCTAATGAGTTTGTCACAGTTTCTATCACCTTTGGCTTTCGTGTGACCAATTGATTGGCCATAGTTGTAATCTGGAATTTTTTTCCTGATATGCCAACCTGTTTTGACAACCTGCAACACAGGTCTCTTGCTTAGTTCTTTTTAAATGATAAGGATATATCTAATTTTCTTGGAAGATTCATCCCAAGATGAGGCAGAAGAAGCTAAGGCTGTAACCGTTCGAGTGAAAGGAGCTGAATCAGAAGCAGTTCGATTGGCTCGAGAACGATCTTATGCTGCTTATGAAAAAAGAATTGCAGATGAAAAATGGATAGAAGTAAAAGTACACCATAAATTGGTGAGACAATTACAAATATTGAGCACATGTGTTTTGAACATTATGTGGTATGGATGGTTTCCAATGAAATCGATTTTCTATTTATTAATTAAACTTTCCTGTTATTTGCATAATGGAGAGATTACAATTTTGAGTTATTGTGTATTTGCTTATTAAAGTTCAATACAACTCAAAAATATAGGTTTAAAACATATCATGTGTTTCTTTAACCAAATTGCCATTTATCACAATATTGAGAGGGCTTGAATTTTTTTTCGCCATAACAGGAAAATTCTCTTATAATAATGTGAAATCTTATTGCATATTTTTAAAGGACAGTTATGCAGAAAGAGAAAGACAGAGACTTATTTGCCAAAACACTAGACAACCTGACGATAAATTGAGCCCAGCTCTTACAGGTATAATTTATAATTTTGTTTTGAATGATTTGAAATTCTAAATTTTGCTGAGATTTGAATACAGCCTGACACGGTATCGTATGTTTCTTTTTACAGCGTTCTCTGAAATGGTACAAACACCACATGAATACCTCACCAAACTAATTCCAGTATATGATGAACATTCAGTTGATAACAGTGCAATACCTGACAATGTTCTATCTTTATCTCTGTTGAAAAATGAAACATTAGGGGATCAACTGAAACTTCTAATGAAGAATGGTATGATTAGTATATGATGTATGGTTTAGTTTATCTTTTAATATTCATTATTTGGGGTTAGATATGTGAGGAGATTTTATGAAAGAAGATAATTTCATTTAGATTATATTTTCAATTCAAAATTGTTATATTTTTATGTTGAAATTTCAACCCATTCATTATTCTTTCGAATGGGATTTTACAGAATCCTAATTTTTTCATGTTAGAATGCCAACCTCTATTATACCCATAGTGGTTGCAACAGGGGGTAATATCTTAATCATTTCACCAGATATATATGCTCCTACTATATTGCCAACATGCTGATTTATTTTTCAGCCAAGATTCTTCACTTCTATCACCTGATATCTCTTCTACCGGAACCACCAGATGTCAGTATCATTGTCAGATCATTGCAATCATATGCTGTTCTGGTGAAGGGTTGCTGGGTTGTGAAGAGGTGAAATACAATTTACTGTGTATATTAAAAGCATTGACATGAACTTGCTTGACTAAGAGGTACAAGCACTCGTCCTGACTCGTGTTTGTAACTCATAGATATTTGGGTAGGGGTAAGTATTTGCAATAGAAGATGAATTTTGCCATGCTAAAAGATATATTGCATATTTATTGGAGTGGTTGGTACATAGAGATAAGCATTGAAAATATGCTTCACATAGAGTAGCTGACAACTCTGCATGTCTTTGATAAGGTATTGCAAGACTTTCCACTGTCATGTAACCTCTATGGCAATTGTCATCCTCTCTACCGTCCGTCTGGAATGAATGATTAACTGGTTAGCTATACTTTTTTTATTCCCGTTTTTTTTTTCACAGTGAGGTATTGTTTCCAGCTAACACTCTAAGCCCAATCTCAGGAACTCCATCAGAAAGTTTGTGCAAAAGTCGAGATTATATTTTGTACATGTTCACAAGGAAGGAGTTTTTAGTGAGTAGAACTCATGCTTGAATTATCTTTATTTTATGTGAATATGAAGTGATTCAGTGATTGTATCAATAATTCTATTGGATCTACTGTTTTTTTATCTGCATCTTATTGCTTTACTGCTTCGACAGATCCTGCTATTTGATTACATCCTTGACGCGATATTGGGCTTGTTCTGAACTATGGATTGACTAAAATTCGAATCTGTAACTGGCAGTGCTAGCATAGTTAGGCTGATGCACCCATCACTGCGACACCATTTGTGGCACGCCATTCTTGCTCGTAGCATTGTCATGACTTGCATACATAAAGTTATCTTGTGTACAGGTCAGAAAAGAAATCACCAACACTGTGAAACTGCCTGGAGATGATGTAAAGGCAATTTTAGAAGACATTGCAGTAATGAGAATGGGTCATGGATGGCAACTGAGATTGAGACCTGATAATGACTTCATGGTATGATTATAGTTATATATTCATCTTTCCCCTGACATCTACTTTTTTTTATTTGTCAATATGTATTACCGGTACATATTTTTCTTCTAGAGATTCACTAATTCTGGCATAATTTTGATTATACGAACGGAACATTATGTGATTGAAGATAAAGTATTTGCTCACTTGTGAGTTTTATGTTTCAGAATCGATTTCCTGATGTATGTGAGCGTCAGACAATGTTATGGAATGCACAAGGCGCCAAACTAGCAAAACAGTTAAATTTAACGGAACTTGTTGGAGATCTGAGTAAGTTTTCTGAACAATTTTGTAAATTTGTCTAGTTCTGCATGAGAGTGAAGCATTACTTTTAACTGCGCTGTTAAAAACCCATTTTTCACAAAAATGTGAATGGCATTCTTATATTTCTCAGATTCAGTCCACATCAAACAAGAAATTTCTTCACCTCCAAGAAGGAAAAAGAATGCTTCTTCATCAGAAGATGGTGTATCAAACAAAAAGAAAACTGTTTCTAAGCGTCAACGCAAATCATCTGGTCATAAAACAAGTCCTGCAAGATCCCATCAAGCTCCTAATGAGTCACCTAAAGTGAAATCTGTACCAATGTCTCCTAATTCTAAGAGGACATCTATCCAAGAAATGCCCAAATCGGTTGCATCTGTGAAAAAACTAGATCCTTCCCAGAATTCAAGCAATCTTACTTGTGTAAATACTATTTGCGAACAACCTTTCCATGGGTTGGATGGAGCAGCTGCCCTTGTAAATTCAGCTGTACCTATTGCTATGGGAGATATTGGAAAATTAAGCCCAAAAATCAACATAGCTGGGGTTAATTCTACAGTACAATCTGTCGCCACAGAGATGATTAAGAGAGGTTCTCCGCAGCAGAAAGTTCAATACTTCATACCTCAAATGAATATTTCATCGCCAACATATGATGCTGCTTTGGAATGCACCAATGGCCAATCTGCAGCAATGGAAGTAAATGAAGAACAATCCATTAACATTATTTCTAATATTAATATCGATCATGTGTCTTAGCGTTATTGCTCTGTTGGATCATTTATATTAAATTAGGAGCACAATATTCTGAATGTTTTTATTAGATAGTCCTTGAACAGCCAAGGTGATTTTTGGGGTCAATATTTCCACTATGCCAGGGGTGGGGAAATTTTTTTGGTATAAGAGCCGCATGCAGCAAGTCAGAAATGTGTGAGAGCCGCACCATTTTTCAAAATTATTAGTATTAGAGCTCATCAAATTAATTTGCATTGTAACTATTTTGGGAGACGCGAAACTGGCGTTTGTTCTATTCAGTGGCGCAGACAGGTGCAATTGCCTTCTGCTAAAATCGCCGTTCGTTTTCATCAACGCGGCATGTTATTTATGCCGTGAACGCCCTTTACATTGGCGTTTATTCTCTTTAAATCACAAATTTGTGCCGCGGGAACAATGATAATTATTTTATTTGTGTACCCGCACGGAAATGTGAAAACTGAAAAAGCGTGCAATTGCCTTCTGCTAAAATCGCCCATGTTTTCATCAGCGTGTTATTTAGGCCCTAAACGCCCTTACGTCGGTTTTTATTCTTCCTAAATCATGAATTTGTGCCACGATAAACATGATAATTATTTTATTTTTGTACTTTGCACGGAATTGTGAATTCGTGAGTTATTTATTATACGTTCATCGGTGGCGAGGTTCTAAAGACAAAAGAAGGAGTAAACCGCGATCTAAATTTGATTGAAAAGCGGCATTATAAAATACTGAAAATAAAACCGTAAACAATATAAGTTTTGTTGAGTCCCACGACAGTCTAAAAACGCCTTTCTAGTCGCAAAATTTCGTGTACCTACGGCGCACATTATGTTTGGTCGCCGTTTAGGAACATACCGTCACTAAAATCGAAACACGGTTAATTGTGGGTGGGATTTGCCTTTTATCCATTACTTTAAAATTGTCGTAGAAAATTTTCGTGTTATCATCAAACAAGGTTGAAAACGCGATTTTTTCCCTGTTTCTGATGATATATAAGATAATTAATTCGAAGTATATCCATCAATTTTTATTGTACTGAAATAAATTTTACTCCATGAGAATTTACAGCAGATTTACGGATTTTTCAGGAGGTTTTATCTTTAAAAATAATCGGAGTGTCAGCATTGCGATTGAACGGAGTCAATGTTACAAGCACATCTCAAATTTGTCGAATTTGCAAAATAGAAAAAATACGGATCAAAACAATATATGATAGGCGACGGGCAGTTACCACAAATTTTTATTTTTATGTCGGCAAATGGCCGAGGTATTTTAAAATTGTGAATTGTAAAAAATTGTTTTGTTTTGTCGACGCAAACGCTGGTTAAATTGAAGACAATTAAATTAATAAAGCAAGACATTTTAAATATGCCCTTATCCGTCACGAATTGATTACTTTGCACAACAGAAAAATCATTTTTCGTTGTAAACGTCGGCTCTTTTAACAAGTGGCGTAATCGCGGCGATGAATACGGTATGTATTTTTGATTTAACGATATACTTCATATGCATTTTCATTGTACGAAATAAAATTGTACTTTTCGGGATTTTATATCAGTTATTGAGATTTTTCCAAGGGCGATAACGAGTTGGCAAGATTCCAAAAATACGTATTAAAATTGAATACACCGTTTATCTCATATTTTTATGTCCACCGATCGCCGTGTCATTTCAGAGAACTAATGTTTTAATTTTGACGTAAGAAGAAGCAACCGCGAGTTACGTTGGACACAATTAAACTAATATATAAAGACATTTTAGAATTTTGTAGTTGTCAGAGATTGAATATTTCACGCGACAAGAATAATCATAATATGCTGAAAAGACGTCCCTTTAACGAGCGCGTAATGCGAAGACTGTTACAGACCGCAATGGGAATTTATGATTATGACCCCCCCCCCCCCCCCTTTTGAAAATCCTTTTTGTTTATAAAATACAGTCATAGTTTACAGTCATGGTGTTTAACACGATCATTATTCCATGAAATAACAAAACTAGCTTCAGTTGATGCATCGGGTTCCTTGCCAAATGATATCATAAATTTCTGCTGTCTTTCAGTATTAATATAAAGTCATTTAATCTGCGTTTCCTTACAGCTGATTTGCGAGGGTAGTTTCGTGCATAGTTTTTGTGATTCGTTATATGGTACCCATCAACATTGCTGACTTTCAGCTTCTGAGCAGCTTATAAAGATTAAGTACAAAGGTTTATTTTCTTGACTAGTGAATGCATGCGTATTCTTCTTCCCATTCTGACTTGACAACTCCGTTTTCATCTTCGTATTATTACCCCTGACTTGACATATCGCAAGTGAGATTCGCCAACTCAGCAACATACATTTGACCATTGTGACGTAAGATTTGTCGCTTGGCTAATTTAAAACTCCACACCAGAACGATTTTCATACTAAAACATAATTTGTCTTAATTATTGATGAAAACTTCTTCCACCGCTTAATAAATTAAAAGGAGTACTACACTAGTTTCTTTAATTTAAATTTGGATAATAAATGATGGTAGTGAGAAGAGCCACAAAAAACTCCAGTGAGCCGCAGTTTTCCCACCGTTGCACTACGCACTATGTAGGGAGCGGTATGTTAGTCGTTGGTAGGGAGATAAATCATCAATTCAAAGCTATTTCTTGCTTTTGAAGCTTTCCGCAATTTGTAAAAATCCTGGAGTTGTTATATTTTGCATGGGCAAAACAGTTTTAGGAGTGCCAAAGGTTTCTCTCAAATTCATTAACTTGAAATGTTTAGAGAAGTTTTACAAATATTCTAGGGAATATTTTCTGTTGAGTCAATTACACAATTACCAAAGCAATGTAAAGCAGACAATTCCAGCATTGTTCCAGAACTATAACTGCCAACCACGGCCATGTTCTTTTTTAATTGTTTTCAATAATTAAGTTATCGTACAAAATTTTGTGTTCAAGCAATTCAATTTTCAACCTACTTGTTTTTAAACTTGCTAAGACAAGCTTAAATCATTTAGGGTCACAAAACGCTCGTGTTACATGTAGCAGTTAGTGAATGAACTTAACAGTCAACAAGCTAGGCGGTTAACGAAAATGCCACTACCCTACCTTAGTTAGTCCGCTTTAGGCAGACGGTGACGCGATACGGTCAATAGGGCGACAACTTCACGATCCCTAGATCGCCGTGGCGACCCATTTAGACGTATTTTTGATATATTTTTCACGGAACACTCGGAAGACGCTCGCGGAACACTAGTGTTCCGCGCAACACAGTTTGGGAAACGCATTGTTAGTGGGTATGTCCGCCAACCAATCACAGCAAATGTATTTATTGTTGAGAAACAACAAAAATAACGAAAGGGTTAAAGAAGAGTAATTACTAATATATTTTATTGTTAGGTCTATCTTAGAACCATGATATAATCTTATGGTACTTGGTAAACCATTCTACATAATGTGTATCTTGGTACATGGAAGGCACCTAGTGTAGCAGATCTAGGGCAATATGAGGGGACAGTAGTGTGCTTGAAAAATACCCTATGAATGCCTCTGAAAGTTTGTCGTCAAAATAATGGTGCATAAGTTTCGAAATATCAAATTCATAGACGAGGTGAAGTTTCATCATGTTAAATCTACGGTACAAAGTATCAAATCTGGTGCGTGTGCCACTTGTGCCTCGTGTCCCTTTCGTCTCACGTGTCCCGCTTTTGCGCCCATGGACATTTGGGTACTCCCGTAGTGTATCAGGTTAGGTTTAGGCCATAATTTTATTCCGATTTTTCTTATTTTAGTTCTATTACGAGTTCGGAGACTATCTGTGTTAGCATTAAGTCAATTCTTATTGCATGTGTGAAGATAATATTAATTAGCGTAAAAGAACGAGCTACGCTTGTTGGCGAATTATTTAAAACAGATTTCGTTATGAGCATATGAATGTATTTCATGGTGGTCATGTCTGTTGTTGGTCTTGTTGGACTGTTGCAAATTTATGTTAGAAGTCCAAGTAAGAATAAACATTTGCTTTTTTACTGTATATTTGGCAATGCCTTTCTGATATGTTTGTAAATTATTCCATTTGTGAATGTGACAGTTGGATTCAAATTTAGGTTTATCTAAAAATTCTCAGTCTTGTTGTTTATTTGGGATTGTATTTACACCGAGTCGTTGGATGTTTTGGTTTCTTGGAGAGATCGAATATTCATATAGAATGCAATGAAAACAGTTTCGTGGAACTCGATTCGTGGATAATTTTGAGCGATACCGGAGTATGATCTGGCGAAATTGTTTTATGATCATTGGGATATAACAAGCTAAAATTATAAATTCTTACGTGAAACGTCACTCCGCGATCATTGGGTTCCATTATATTCTCGCCCATGAACAATTGCACCCGCAGATTTTAGCACTCCCATACAGATTGCGCCCATGAACATTTGCACCCATGGACATTTGCACCCACGTACATTTGCACCCACGGACATTTGAACCCACGGACATTTGCACCCACGTACTTTTGCACCCGCGTACATTTGCACCAACGTACAATTGAACCCACATACATTTGCACTCGTGAACATTGGCACCCACGGATATTCGCATCTATGAACACTTGCACCCATGTGATTTTGCACCGAAAAGAGGTTCCATTGTCATTTGTGTCGAAATAGGGACATCCTAATGATATATTTTATAATGAAAACGAGCTCACTGCAAACCCGAACGTACATGATTGCAAATGTCTGTGGGTGCAAATGTACGTGGGTGGAAATATACGAGGGCGCAAATGTCCGTGAGGTGAAAATGTACAAGTGTGCACATGTACGTGGGGGAGGGGGGCAGAGGGCCATGAGTGCAAATGTTCGTTGGTGCAAATGTCCGTAGGTGCAAATGCACATGGGTGCAAACGTCCATGGGTGCAAATTTTCGTAGGTGCAAATGTCCCCGGCCGCAAATGTACTGGGTGCAAACGTGCATGGGTGCTAATGTCCGTGGATGCAATTTATATGCGGATGGTAAAATCTATAGGTGGAAATGTATGGGTGCAAATGTCAGTGGGTGCAAAACTATGCAAGTGCAAATGTTCTGAGTGCAGTTTACGGGTGCAAATGTGGTGTCACTTAATCATTGAGCTATTTGATTCGTTCTGAAATTTTCAACACACAACAAAAACTAACAAAGGTTATTGAATCACTGCAATGACCTAGTAATTACTGTATACTTGCAATAGTTAATATATTATGTCTTCATTACTTTACAGCAACAATCTTTCTCAATTTATAGCTCTTGTATCTTTATATGACAAACGTTCATTACTGTATTTACTTTAATGTAGTGAATGAGTTCATATCTGATTTCTGTAATTGAATCAATGCCCTGAGCATTGATGACACATGTTATTCATATGTTAAAAAGCAAACAAAACATGTCCTATTAACATTATTTTTTTTTTGTCGACTTACTTCCAATTGTTTGAAACAATCTGTCTCCTAAGTTGTTGTATTACTGTTTTCATACCCTCACCTAAAACAGAGTGAATAATGTTATTGAACTATTCCTAATGACCAAGTACTGTAAATATGGCTTAGCTGTGATAATTGACGTAATTATTGCATTACTAATTTTCTCATTACGCTGTCCTTATATGTTCAAACTGTTGTCCAGTGCAAATTATTCTTTTAATGGACCACGTCTGCATTGATATACAGTATATCACTGCAGCACTGAGTACCGTTACCGGTACCTACCACGTTACCGTATCTCGTTTAATTTAATTTTAGCGTCACAGATATTCCGTCTTTCTATTTAATGCTACAAGATTTTATTACCTGTTTCCTTTGCTCTCAATATCCACCGCGTCTAATTGAAAGCCAGTGTTACGCCTTCGGAATCTGACGTTTATTGCCGACTGTTAGACAATGCGCATCACAATACAGCAATAGTATTGTTGTGACACAGTCCATTAATACCATCTCCATGGTTACCAAGTTAGTGGTGTTCAGAGTCGTGTTTTGTTGAAGTGAGCGACTGTTGATTATAGCAGATTGCCTCGAGATATTGTATGCATTTTATTTTCCAATTTATTTACACTGTATTTGACTTTTTCTTCTTTATAATATAGTGTCCAGAGTTATTTTATAGGTGCCGCTGCTCGATAACCACCACTGATTTCCCGCGTCCTTTTCATCCTGTAATATGGCCTATTTATAATTCATTGCCATTTGCATGTTTGCGCCTATTTAAACTATGGTTATATATAAACTACTTATTAGTGTCTATAGTGTTCGCATTCAGGCTATTTCTAGACAATATATACAACACGTATCAGCATTTCAGACCTTTACTTACCCGATTAATCAGGGAATACCCTACGAGTTATCCGATGGGATGGGATTTTCAAACCTGTACCGGTACATTTTATTCTTAAAACATAACTTCCGAGTTTCCAAATTAAATTAGATGACGAATCTTGGGTGTCGCTGCTCGATAACCAAATTTGGTTCCCCGCGGCTTCCCTTCCCCAGTAAAAATGTGTGTTAAATTTTGTTTATCTTTTGATTTTGTATGTTATTTTTTTGCTGGTTGGAAAAAATAAAATTGACTATGACTACCATGCGAAAACGAGGTAATGTTTACAACCATGCCAGAAAATCTGTCTGTGCGACTGCTAAAACGTCTACTGTTACGTCGCTTTTCCGAAATGGAAACAGAGCTTTTCCAAGAAATGCTGAGGATTTTCTTGCTTCATTGGTTGAGCTTGGCATGTTTTTCCAACTTTGTGCATTGCATATTGTTTGTTACTCACAATCGACTACACAATTGCTAGTTGCGAACGATCTTACTCAAATTTTAAACAGGTAAAACATATTTGAGGTCTTCGATGTTAAATTAACGCCTGTCAAGTTCATCGTTGATAAGCATCGAAAAGAATTTCCTGACGAGCGAGGTGAAAGAGGCTGTCGTTCAGACACTTGTTGCCAGCAAAGTAGCAAATGAACATAGAAATAAGTGATTTGCTTTTTGTTTATAAATGATGAGTTTGATCTTATACATGTGAGTTAGTTGCTTAGTTTGAATATATATTTATTCAATAAAACAAACGTTTTTATGTTACTCGACCATAATTTATTTATTTTCATGTATAAAAACATTTATAATCTGTTTATCCCCCGAATTATTTTTTATATTAGGGATAAGGGGCATCAATATTAGAAACTCGCCCCGGGCAGCAGAAAAGTTTGGCACGCTCCTGCTTGTGTGCGCATGTATAACAGAAATCAGGCGACCCCGGAAAATCGTCACGCAGCGCCACCCGGGGTCGCGACCCACAGTTTAATCTGACAACTGTGTTATTTTATTATTATTATTGGACACGTTTAGTGGCCATAACGATCGTTTCAATATTTTGTTGTTATTGTTATTTTCTTTCGTCATTATCATTAAAAAATCGCCTTTCTCTTCGAATACTGGACCAATTGTTTTGAAATTTTCAGTGGTTAAAGATAAAAATTTTCTCCAGAAAGCTATCACTTTTTTTCGCTATGACGTCATCAAAATTATTGCCATTGGGTGGCGCTACGTGTCCATATATTTGAGCATAGCTGTCTTATTTACTTATAGTTATATCGTAGTAGTATATATTTACGATTTAATATATATAAAAAAAAAACATGTAAGAATTTTCTCATGTTCTTTATAGGATAATTTGATTAAAAATGTACTGTTATGTTTATATTTTGAAAAAAAATCTTTTATGTCTCTTAAATTGTGTAATATTATTATTTATTTATTTCTATATTTTTATTTTATAAAATCCAATTAAAAAAAAATAATAAAAAAATAAGTCTTCGGTTGATCCCGCAAAACTAGAGCGAAGCGCATTCTAGTTCTATTTATATGTATAGCGGGGATACCGTACTACAGAATCAGACCATGTAAGGATATTGAGATCGCCACGCGAAATATAGAGTCAGGCGATAAAATATGGCAAAATGCATATGAACGATTTCGATAAGACACCTTGGGTAATGTTCTGTGGTCGTTAATGTTAGCTTTTTACTGATACGTTGACCATATTATTCAATCCACGTTTGACTATCGTGGTCCATATCAAATAACACAAACAAATCAATTAACACGGGCAAATCCGAAAATAGCACAGTATATATAAATACCATAATATAAGCAAATATAACAGCTAATATGAATCAAAAAACAGTCAAAATAGCACGGTGTGGTAGGCTGGTCTATTAGCGTTTCAAATTTAACAAGAAACGAATCATGATCAGGCGAATATGCAAGAAAAATCGACGCAAATAATTGATTTCTGTTAAATCCCTTGGGAAATGCGTTAATTAAATACAGTAGTTGGAAGTCTATCGTCAAAACGAGAGAGCCTTCAATTGACCCCGTAGAAATGAGAGAGAAGTGCACTCTACGTACGTCGTACAATAACGTTATATCTCTGTCTGTGGATATGCGCGATCCCTGCAAATAAGAATAAGTTCTTTGTTAACCAAATCTGCCAACTAGACACTAAGGCAGACAGGGTACCTACTGCAGTAATTGAGTATTGGAGCTGTTGAAGGACCCAAATTTCGTGAATTTATCGAGAAAGAAGAATAGAAGTCTACGGGTGCTCTAGTCAGCAATCTGGAAGCGGTACTCCCACAGGCAGACAGCGGTAAGTTTCCGACGTGTTTACAGAAGGCTGTTTGCTAGGGCTAGGAATTTCAGGTAAAACACTTTAACCGGTTAACCTCAGCGTGACGTTTGACGTAATAATTTTAACTTTGTCACAATGGTTACAACTGTACAAAGCACTTTCGGGTGATCTTATTCCACTATCGCTCAAAAATATTCACTGCAAGAGATATTCAGCATGCTTTGGACATCTGGAAGTATTTTAGTAAAACCCGAATTCGTTATTACATCCCATTTCCAGATTTATGTGACAAATTTTCAGTGTTCGATGCCAAATTATACTCTGAGATATCATAAAGAAAAACAGCATCAACTGCGCACTTGTTGGATGACATTAAATATATGATTTTGCAATAAAATCGTGAACAATATATTTCGACCGAAAACTAAATTTATAATTGTCAAATTTTCATAATCCTGTAATCAGCAATCTTGGTACTTCAATTATTGTTCACATTTATTGGGTCCTTACCAATACAGTTCTGCAGTGATATTCTCTTGAATTAACTGCCACAGGAGATAAATTTGCGATGACGTAATCATTTTTGAAAAAATTTTACATCATAAAGATGATTTGTACCTAAGATGTCAGTTAACGCTTAAAATAAATCATAACCGTTGTCCATCTAAAATCAGTTAACCATTACCAGTCTTTCCTAATCCAGTAATTAAGGGTGCCCAAACTGATTCCAGCGTATTAATAAAACCGGTTTCAGTGAGATGCCATTACTGCAGACCTGCGCCAAGTCAGTCCAGCAGTCAGTTTTCAGTTGCAAATTCAAGGACAATTTCAAATTCAAAGAATTTTAATTTGAAAATAGGATTCTAAAATAATGACATTTGAAGTTGAAAAAGTGTTCAGCCTTTGAGGGGCCAAACTGCAGAAAACCGATTTAAAGGAAAGTTTTTGTAATAACTCAAATTGCACTAACACCCATCCAGCCATCATTCCTGTATTTTTCAATTTCATCTTCGACGAGGATGATGAATCTTTCGCTGATACAGTGATAGCATTGTAACTTTCCAGCTTTTCGTTAAGTCAGGATTGTTTTTGTCACATGATTCACATAAAATTCAGTGCTGTAAGAATTATGGCAATATTTACGCCAGAACTGAAATTTCTGCAAAGCTATATATTACTGGTCTATTTGCTGATCACTGAATGATAGATGGATCTGTAGATAGTTTATTTTCAAAACTCTCTTCTCTTTACATCTTGCTGTCTTGTGAATGTTTCATACTGCAGTCAGACTTGATCATCAGTGACTGTCAACCTCAAAATCAATTTCCCATCACAGTGTCTGTATTAATAGTGTATCTTACATATACATTATTATATCCTACATAATACTCATTACTCAATTTACATAATACAACCAAATACTCCAATGAATATGCCTAAATGATCTATCAGTATCTATTTCCCCTAACACTGCAAACACCTAGCCCTAAATGTCCTATAAATCTAGATGTATTTAGGATTTTCATATTTATTCCGGTGTTGAGGCCGATAACACGGCCTAATAATTTGGCCTACCGCAGCATCTCGTTTGGTTACCATCCTAATATGACAAACTAAAGAATCATTCCTTATTTCAGGATTCAGAAAAATTTCGTTGGAAGTCAATGACAGCATACATCTCACATTTTTTGCTTTACAAATACAGTAATCTCAATCACAAGCAAGTTGGTAAGCCTTCATCCATTGTACCAATTTGAAAATGTCTGCTCAAGCTCAAATGAAAGATCTCTTGGATCAGTTGATGGGGACACAACGAGATGGTGAGAAAATTTCTATTGTTACATAGTACATTTTAAAACGTTTTGTTCTTGTTTTTTGTTTCAATATTGATGGTGTTTCATTTTTAACCTTTTCATGTCAAGGTGACTTATACATTTACGACATACTATGTCAACAACGCGGAGAAATTAAATGAAAGAATAGCTTGCAGCTGCCGTGAGTGCAAAATGTTCATAAATTAGAGCGACTGTGTATTGTTTTTATTTAAAATATACCATATATATATGAATGATGTATTATATATTTTTTGCGATCACTCCATTTTTTCTCAAGTATGATATGATCAGTCAAGTCAAATTCATCAGTCAAATTAGCAATTGGTAGTTACATACCAAGGACCAAATAATGTTGTCTGCTCATATTTTCGTTACTATTACAAGACAGTTTACTTGACTTATAGATAGTGAGTATTTTTTTTATTTTAACTAACTCGAGCAACAGAAACTACAGTACAAAGTAAGGATTGGGTAAGTTGTATCTTTACAAGAAATGATCCTGGCAGCACACTCGGATTTTCATCTAATAGAAGAAATTGATACTGAGATCCGTGTGTATGTTTAAGCTTGTTTTCAAACTTTCTTGTGTTCCTCTGTCAATTATTTTGTTTACAGACTTATATTTTTATCATGTCAGTTTTGGATAAATTTGATTTAAGTTGAAGATTATCAATTTATTGTCCTAAACCCAAAGTAGGACAATATGGGAAGCTCTTTTGCAAAAGCAGCATTAATAACTGTTACTTCAAGACCATTTTGTATCAATTTTAATTTTGCAGTCTACACATTAATAAATAAATTTAAATTGAAAGTATTGGCATTTGGTTTTCACACATTTTAAACTGATTTTAAATTTTTTCGATTATCATCATTATCAACTTATTTATGTTCTATCAGGTGTTGACACTGGTGCAGTAAGTTTCAGAGATGATGAAGTCTGCAAAACATTTCTTCTAGGATGTTGTCCCCATGAAATTTTATCTGGAACGGTATGATCTAATGATAATTATTGGTACTGTAATATATGTAATTATTCTGCATGTTGCAAAGTAGATCTCTATTAAGACGGTAAAGGTTGCATAGACATAGACATCGGGAAAATATACCAATATTTTTGGAATTGAAAATGCCGTAACCATTTCTAAAGTTTTTAAAGAGAGTTTTTTATTCGGTTTTATTTGGACCAAATTTTGACTTTCTAATTCTTTTTCTTCAGAGAGCAGATATTGGAAGTTGCAGAAAGATTCATGATCTAGCATTAAAGGCAGACTATGAAATGGCATCACAAAGCAAAAAATATTACTATGAATTTGATGTAAGCTTGTTCAGTTTTGTCTTTGACAATTACATGTTTTCTTATTCTTCATTCGATGCCTATTTTGATTTTTAAGTCGTTCGACCATCTGACACGATTTGTTGCTGAAACAGATCAGAAGATTGAGATATCTAAGAAGAAATTAGCTGAACAACAGGCTGAAATAAGTGCAGAAGTAAAAGCAAAGGTTTGTTCAATTTATTTTCTGATTGATCAGTATTCATGGCATCAACAAGCTTGCTTCATTGTTAAAGTGTATTTTGAAATTAATGTGGGGACTGTTGAACAATTTTGTACGTACCTCCTATATGATGATGGTTATTTTGTAAAGTGGTTCGTGAACTGTGATACACTTGACCAGTGAGTCTCACTTTTTTGCGCCCCCTTTTTGAAGATTGTCAAGTCTCGCGCCCCACTTCAAAAATAACTAGCTAACAATAAGCTACAAATAACAGATAGTAAGGTTCCACGCTAAGGATAATAAAGATACAAGCACAACATCGCTTTGCAATCTCTAAACAATAAAGATATGTGAATATCTGAAATAAGGGCGAGATCAAATCTGACGATTCTTTTTATTTTTAATTAGCTTCACACATCTCAAAAAATTGTCTATGTGTCCCTTGTGGAATGCGCCCCACCATTTGAGAACCACTGCACTAGACTAATTGAAGCATTGCAAAATATCAACTCATTTTCTGAAAAATTACACCATATCTGCCAGCATTTAGAGTTTGACATTATAATCAAATTCATCCATTTGCATCTCATCAAAATTTGTGTAATGAAATATTTTTGTCTTTCATCTAGGAAGCTAAAGTTCAGGAGCTCACAGATCAAATCGGTAAATTATTGGCAAAAGCTGAGCAACTTGGCTCTGAAGGTGAAGTTGATGAAGCTAAGAATGTTCTAGAAGAAGTTGAAAAAGTCAAAGATCTTAAAAGAGAAGCAGAGGTTTGTATCTCATTTTTGGTTGTTTGCTAGGATTCAAGGGATTGCCAAGGCTGTGAAAAGTTGGTCATTCGGTGGATTTCGTAATAACACTCACATAATAACACTCCATTGATGGATTTCGTAATACCACTCACCACCGAATGACCAACTTTTCACAGCCTTAGCAGTCCCTTGAATCCTAGCGAACAACCAAAAATCACCCTTATACCTATAATTATTAGTCTATAATTTACAGGATGCATACAGAAATTCCATGCCAGCTTCTACTTATCAACAACAAAAGTTGAGAGTTTGTGAAGTCTGTTCTGCTTATCTTGGTCTACATGATAATGATACTAGGCTTGCGGATCATTTTGCTGGGAAGTTGCATTTGGGATTCATAGAAATTCGTGAGCAGCTTCAAAAACTGAAGGTTCGAATTTTTTCAGAATAAGAATTTTCTAGGTAGGATGCTGACGAACAGACGATGTTATTGTCATTGTTGGGTATGGATTTGTTCCGCTTTCTTTATATAACAAGGTCGATGCGTAATCTTGGGCCCTCAAGACTATCTGTCAATCGCATTGTAGTTAACTATCCAAACATCTATGTTTGAGCTTATATATTATTTCCTGCATGGCCGAATCTTTCAAGGATTTGTTGAAGTCCCGGAGTAAACTTCAAAGCAGTGTTTTCTATGTGGGCTGTGACCCAAAGTTGAATTGCCTGAAAACTTTCTTCCGTTGCTTGTTTTTTTAACAAAACAAAAACTTAGTAACTAAGTCTTGCTTTATTTTGTGAAACTTTTCTCAAACTTGATTTTATGGAGTTGGATGTTATGTAAAAATTATTGTTTGCATCAGTAACTAATATTGCGCACATAATATTAATAGCACAACATGCGTTTAATGTTTGAGCATATTTTTGGTAGGGTGATTCCAGAATTTTTTTAAAATTTGGATTGCTTGAAAAAAGTAGGGGAACCACTACTTTAAAGCGTGTTAGAGATTAATAGGTTGGACTGTAAAAACTTGCATGTGTTATAAGTATCTTCAGGAGATTTCTGGAATACGATTCTGGAATTTGAAATATGTTCCATCCTTTTTATGTTGAATAGACTAGAGTTGAAGAAGAAAGGGGGAATATCGATGAAGTAAAGCAACGTCGAATTCAGGAAGCTAGGGAGGCTGAAGATAGGAAGAAAAGATATCAAGATAACAGAAGATCAAGAGAAGATGATAGATATGGTAACAGCAGGGATCGGAGGTGAATACCTTTATAAGATGCTCATTCGTATTGTATAGAATAAACAGTAAAAAAGTGCTTACTTGTACGATGAAATAAGTATAACCACAGGAACCACTATTGTCTTTTATGTTTCACTTATGTAGCAGTCGGCATATTTCGCAAATTTGAGCTTTTACAATAATAAAAAAAAATACAATATTACTTTTTCCAAATCAAGGTCACCAGATAGACGCAGGAGGCGAAGTAGATCAAGGGAGAGGCGTCCACGTCGATCTCGTAGCAGAAGCAGGTATGGAATTTTGTTTAAATTTAAATCTGTAATGTACGAGAATTGGTTTTACCGTTTTTTTGTGGATGTACCAGCGACGTATCTCGTATATGATCCTTCTTGTGAGATCAAATTAGGATACATACCACACTCAAAAATATTCTGTTTTGCTCGTGTGACCGTCGAGCAAATAAAACCCTTTTATATTTCTTGCCCTTGATTGTCATTCCAGCGAGTTTATATATTCATTCTTGTAGTCGTCATATTCACATTACTAAATGCTTATACAGGGAACGTCGTCGACATCACAGGCGCTCAAGATCACCAGATCGTCGATACAGACGTTCCAGAAGTTGAAACAGAAGTCAAATTCAATCAGACATTTCTGGTGTGCTACCACTGCCACCAAATATGTTTTAATATCAGTTATTAGGATCACTGATGACCAAAATTTTGCCCTTTGGGTAGATTTTATTTGTAATATTGTGAACTTTGTTTTGCTTTTCTGTCCTATGTTACTCGTTGGAGTTCAAAAGCGGGATGCACCGTGTTATTTTGTATCCGACGACGACACACCAAATTATCTACCATATTAATTTTGTCTAAGACTCGAATGAACTGGGTAACTAAGGTGTACCCTGAGTAATTTTGTCCTCCACAAACGTTTTTATTTTTTAAACCTTTTTTTGGGCTTTGGAACTGTACATTGTCAATATTGGGAAGATGTGTTTGCATTATATGTAAAGTATAATAAATCCTGAATACTTGTACTGCTTACCCGTAATGCTTGGATAAGAAGACCTATATTCAAACGAATCTTGGGTATAAATGAGCAGGCCAGTGCAAACGGTCACGTTAATAAGGTGAAATGTGCGATCTTGCTCGTTCCGCTATCACTGACGTAAGACGTAAGTTACAAATGCCAACGTTTAATGAACTTAAACTGAAAAAATAAAATAATAAAACCCACGCAAATTGTAAAGAGGTACGTCGTTTCTTAGTCTGGAATGTGTCTCGAGGAGTTGCGGCTCCAGATCAGAAATTCAATTTTGCGGTCGGTCGCTCTGTCTGGGGTCAGGATGCTGCAGATAACCGGAGATGCGGTTTGGATAGTTTAATTTTCCTTCTTGTCGGTGTTGGAGGTAACGTCAGAAGTCTGTGTAAACTCGCTTTCATCGTCCAAATTCGGTTTTGAGAATGCTTGCCCATTCTCTAACTCCTTCAAGAGATCTAGGGGTGGTGCAAGAAGTTGTTTCATTTTCGTATTATGAGATGTAGCGCGAATCCGCGACATAATCATGCCGAAGAAAACCGCGAAAGTTACAAAAATCCAACGGAAAAAGGGGTTTCCAAATATGTTGAGCTGAAGATTCATGTCTAATGCAACGATCGCTGAACAGAACACAGCAGAATAAAATATGTATTTTGTCGTGCGGAATTTTTCTTCTTTGGTTCGTTCAGCAGATTTTACGGCCAATTCCGCTAAGGCAGTTTTCAATCCCTCATCAACCGGACACACCTTTAATCCCCGCTCATACGTATCTTTAGCTTCGTCGTATTGCTCTGCTGCCTCTTCAACTTGCCCTTTTCTGTAGTAACCTTTGGACCAGTCCGAATTTAAACGGATCGTTGTTTCTGCGTCCTTCAGGGCATAGAAATGTTGTCCGAGCTTGAGAAATGCTAACGACCTATTACTGTATACAACTGGATTTGCTCGATCTAGTTCAACTGCAGCAGTGTACTCCACAATTGATTCCAGATACTTTCCATCTCGAAACAAAACATTTCCCTTTGCCTTTAGGGTCATCGCCTGTGCTGATGTATCCGTATCTGCCATTTCAAAAGATGACGTATATGGTATACTATATTATGAATATCTGTATCAAATTGAGCAAGATTACGTTGCAGAACAAATCACTGCGACGTATTGGCGTTTGAAAATTCAGCTGTTTCAAAAAGTTATCAATCAAAAAAGCGGCCCCGTCATTTTACCTGCTGTGGTATAAATACTATCTCTGTGAATGAAGCAAAGTGTGTGGAAATTATCAATAAATGTAATTGATGAAAATTAAAGGTTCGGTTTCATCAGTCCGATAGGTCTCAGAAACATGCCTACCAGCGTATGTAGAGGGGAGGGGGCAATAGTTGACCCAATTATTACGTCACCGTGTACGGCCTTAGCTAGTTGGCCTCTCCCGTTGCTGCTTATTACGCAAATTCGCGATAATGCGTACTTACCGTACGTCTTTACGGTATTATTCCCCGCCGCTGATAAACCATCTACTAAGTATATATATGTTCAAAACCAGGTAAAGTTAACAATCGGAAGTTTAAAGTGGCTGCTACCGTGTTTTCCCGAAAATAAGACCTAGCCTGAATTGTAAAAAGGTTTTTAATCAAAAACAAAATTACAAAGTAGAGAATTATTCGATTTTCAAATATACAAAATATGAAAACCGATATCTATTTACTTATAAATAACACGTTTTTATTCAAAATAACTTTAGACATGGATTATCATGACTACGTCAAAAAAATCGCGTTATTGACTCACTGGGTCTTATTTTAAGGAAAGAGATTATATTAATGAAAGTATAAGACATCCCCCGAAAATAAGCCCTAGTGTTATTTTTCGGAAGAAAACTAAACCCGGTCTTATTTTCGTGAAAACACGGTAGCATAGAGCTATGCACCCAGTGAAAGCGTGTGAAAAGCGCCTTATATTTAATTAATAAAGTAGCGATACATTTTCAATGAATCATGCCGTGGTAAAATCACAATTTAGCCAATAGGCCAATTTATAAAAAAACCAAGAATATTTGCGCAATACACATTTTCTACGAAAACTGCAGTTTTGATTTTTTTTTGAATTTGCGGAAAATGATGTTAGTGTCGACAGTCTGGTCAACTCGTCTTATGCATTTATGCTGTTGCATTCCAATATAATCTTCTGAATGCGGATTACGTCAAGGACAATTGAATCAAAGGTATCGATCGATTAACATTTGACTCGACAAAAAAGGAATAATCGAGTTGCATAGGTTAATAACTGTAGCCGCTTGCTAACCTAATATTTCCCACTCGTCGTGGACGGGAAAACAATGAAAACCGTACCACACAAATTATGTCACCATCTTGCGCCTTACTGAATAAAAGAATCGTCATATCTATAATCCTCTTCCCAAGAATAAACGTGATAACATTCCCCCCTCCCTCCTGACTATCTGACGCACGGCGCCTAGAGTTCACGATCACGACTCAAAGCAAGGAAAATTGTACATTCTGGAATTATGGCGTCATACAGTAAGGAAAAAAGCTCGTGTTGCACTTGCCAGAAAGTATTTAAAAGACATTTAATTTTGAAATAAATACGTGGTGAAGGGAATTTGTTAGTTTGTTTCATTTTTTTGGTTGTTAGACAATGAATGGAATGAAACATCGGGCTTCACCAGCAGTATATATAGCCCACGGCCCTGAAAATCTTAATCCGACCATTGAGTACGGCTTCAGAAACACCAGACCAAGCCCCAGATATGAAACTGAAACATCATGCCATATTTACGATCATGCAAAGACTTATCAGGAATTTGTACAAGTGAATTAATCTTCCTCCGAAGTCTAATCCCCAAAGGTGAGAGGATATTGGGACATTCAGTCGAAATTCAAATAAATTCTTCGGAGTATCTTTTGGCGTTGGAGTAGGAGATAGAGATTGATCGACCAGAGCCAGTTATCTGAATTCTTTCTTTACGTGTTCATGGAAATTAGCCATAGCTCAATCAATCAATCAATCATTTATTTTGGTTTTCTGACATAAACAATACAAAAAGTAAACAGACAAAATTAATGCAGAGATACTGGGAGACGGTTATACCTTAAAAAAAAAGTTAAAAAGCGTACAATGTACGTGCGCGCCCACCAAAAAAGGATAAAACAAACACAGGAGAACGCGATTTACAATCGGGCAGTACAATTTAACAAAAACAGCTAATTGAAGTAAATAATTGAATTCAATAAACTTCTACATTTTAAATTAAAATGTGAGACGTGTATGTGTAACACAACAGTGCTTTTCCTACAAAAACACGGAACGAAAAAAAAACACTCCCTGACGCGAAACGGTGATGCTGTAGGCCTAGTTCAATTTCATTGCAAAAACAACACAGTGACAAAAAAATGTTACTAAAAACAAGCTTGGTAAATAGATTGAATGTTCCATAGCGGTCTATGCACAAGTCATGGATTGGGGTAACGGGTTCTTTTGTCGTGTAGTTGGGCGCGCCAAGTGTTGTCATAGATTCCGACGATTTATGTCATGTGTGATTAATACTCCTTTGGCATGTTCATTTTAGTTTACACTTGTATGTGGAATATTATGCTTCAGTGGCCAAAAAGAAATATCTCATTTCGCAATCCTGATTTACCACACACGAGTCCACCTTGTTCACTAATCATTCCCGTTCAACGTATATTTAACGACCTCGGCAAGCCGAGCTTTTGTAATCGTCCCAGCTTGCTTCTGCAGAATAGCCACATGAGCTATAGTTAGACTATATCGATATTTGTGTGACTATTTTATAAGAGAAATTTAAATTCGTGAAACTGAATTACTTTCAACTATCTCTGTGTGAATTCTAATATATATACTAATGATGACCCCTGTGCTATTTGGCTCACCATACATTTGTGAACAGACCTAACACCCAATTTTGATATATTAGACAAACATAGTCATATTGTTAATAATAAATTCAATTTTGGTGCAAAGGCTTATTGTTTTTTATTCTCAGCTACAGTATATATTGTAAATAGTTCTGTTTATGAGTTGTAACTTCTTACCGATTCCATACTCGGGTGCCGCCAGCCTAGGCTTAAACATTTTTGGCCATGCTTCAAAAACTTTGTCCATCCCTGCCAGTGGCGTAGCAAGACTCTCGTGGATATTCCGTGGAAATGACCCTAAAACTCCCGGACATAGGCAACGTTTTTTTCGTCAAAAAGCATAACCTGTCGCTATAAAAAGGCAATGGTAACCTAAAATTCGCGCTTTCGTGCTTTCGCGTTAGCAAACTCATCCACCATCCTCGTCATATCAAGTCTGGTCCAGCGTTCAGATTCAATACTCAGCAGCGCCAGTCCAGAGAGCCTTTCCTGCGACATCGTGCTCCTGAGATAATTTTTTAATATTTCAGTTTCGAAAACGATCTCTCGACAGTTGAGGTAATTACATGCAACGTTAGAAAGATCACCAAGGCTGTACAAATATCAGGAAAACTTGTTGAAATTCTAAGCTCAACCATTAATGCGTGAGCTAATTCTTTTGGAGTTTTCAACGCTCGGCAGGCCTGTCGCATAAAGCACTTTAATTTGAGCAACAGGTAAAGCAGAACTTAAATCTTCACTATATATATTGCTCAAGTAAACGTCCAGCGGAATAAATTTCTTGCTCGTCGCTTTTGAGTAATTGTTCTGGGTAAAGTACCGGTATGTGAAACCGCTCGTGAATTTTACGATGCCCTTCAAAACGATGCCGTAATTGAAAAATCACTATATCCAGACAGCGATGAAATACGTGCAGTTTGAATCGTGATTCACTATTTAGCGTGGTTCGTTCAAGGTTAATTTCGTCGTTAAACGCTGGTATGTTTTTCTGACGTTTGATAGACAACTTCGGCTCAACGCCCCAAGCTTCCGCAACTTTGTCAGACTTCTTTCGTATTTCTTGATAATTGTTTCTAATTTTTTGGAAAATTTTCCCAAGTGTCTCCAAGTAGTGCCGCTGCCATGCCCAAGTCTTGGTTTTGTGATTGCAGAATTTTGGATAATAAATCGATTGGTTGTCTCCATGAGAACCCATGAGACGTCTCCATGAGAACTATCATGACGATAAAATCAAAGTTTTGTAATTTGTTACGGAGCGATACGGCTTCTGATAGCTCTTCATTTTTCTCGGATTGCAGAATAATCAAATCCAAAGGTTTTCATAATATCTGCGTAACGGTAATGTAAGGCTGTAAGTGAACTGAAACGACTCGACCAGCGCGTTGGGTTCAATCTTTTCAGTGTTTTGAATTTTTTGGATACAAACGATGAAAGAATATCCCGAAAAATAAAATATATCCTTTCGACTGTAAAGAAAAAAATCGAAAATTTCACGGACGTTGTTTACGGCATCGTTTATGACTGGGTTCAGGTTATGTGCTGCACCACCATACATATCCTTGTCCCCTGCACTTCACAAGATCCAATCCGTTTGCATGCAACAGATATTCTAGCTGGATTGTAAGTTCGTGCGAAGTTTGTCCAGAAACTTTATGAAATCCCAGAAACACTTCTTTAATTTTCACGTCGATTGGCAGATCTTGTTCATTTTTTACTACACGTATGTATCTATATACTGCGGAAAGTTGGTCAATTTTTGAAATATCCTGCTTGGTATCCAAAATGATAGAAAAGAAAGGAGCCGCTTTAATTTCCGTAATGATTGTCTGCTTCAATCTGCCAGAAATCATTTGAATAATTTCATTTTGGCACGTGGAACTGAGATACTTTCCTGACCCTGAAGGCATTTCAACAAGTTTCCCCATAACATTATCGTATTTTGAAAGCAATTCAACAAACCTCAAAATGCTGCCGTCATTACCTTCGAAGAGGTTTTCTCTATGACCCCGTAGTTATAGATTTCGCGCCGAAAGCATAAGTATGATAGATATATAGCGTTTTAAATGATCAATCTCCAAAAATTCTTACTGCGTCGAAATTCTTCCTCGGCCAGTTTGTCAATCGTAGAACCACTTTTCCATTTCTGATATAACAGACACGATTCTATGTGCGTCGTTGTGTTATCTTCGTGTTGCGTAATTTTCTTTGAAATTCCCTTTCCAATCATCAATACCCAGTACTGCCTAACCACTTCTTTGCTGCGAAAAAAAACAACATGGTTTTGGAGAATAGCATAACCATGATCGTTCTATGCTCAAATCTTTTCTCTTTGTTTGTAAATAAATATTTATATATTTTTTTAATTTGTGCGTTGATTTCAACGCCAATGAAGTTCCCCATGTCCGATGTATACTAGCATTGTGTCAGCTTCGTTAGTTTTGGTCGTTTTTACACCAAATTATCCAACTTGCGCCATCACTTTTGGAGATTGAAACGTATCTGGTTTTCCGGAGTTTTCTACCGATACCACCAGTGCTATAGGCCTAATTCCTCCTCAGTTCCTTTCGGTATTCCCAAGTCTACTTTTTCAATTTTGGTTTGAATATTTCGTTTATCTTGGTTACTTCAATTTTTTCATACGTTCTTCCTCTTCTGCCCTTTTTCTGCGTTAATCGACGACTCCCTGGCTTGAGCAGAACTAATATCAACATTATAAGATGTGCATTACTGGTTTTGCAATGCAGCTTTTGGTTTTGCGGCTAAAATTTCTAAATTCTAACCGCTCGGGGCCCCTGATCCCTGCGGTAATATCGTTCGGTCGTATCAGTTTAGCAGATCGGCGGTAAAACGTTTTCGGCGAAAATATATCATTTATCGGTTGAACGACCATGCAATTCGTGGTGGTCGGTAATGACTGGTGGGTGTTTCAAATACTTTGCTAGTTATTGCAAGTGACTGTTGCATTGATACTCAACTAGGATCCGTGTGATTCTCGCAGTTTTCAAATGTTGAAACAGTGGTGGCAGTTAGTATGGAAAAGCGGAATCACAAAAACGTTTGTTATTATATTTTGTAAAATCGGAAACAGTATAATCAAAACGCAATTCAATGTCAGTACGTTGAAAAAGATTAGGAAGGTCAAGTTGAGCTGAAGCAAGACCGCAGTTGTTAGATGAGTGCATATTTTAGATGAAAGCCATTAGATTAATCAGTGCAGCAGCGACAGATTTACCATTGTTTGAAATATTATTAGAAAGCTCAAATAGGCTAAAACTGGTAGCATTCTAGTAATTTTAATCGCTGTTCGGATAGTTAGAAAATGATGATTTTGAAACGACCTGCAACGAGAAATTAATTTCCAACCAAGTGCGTCGTATATTTAATAAATATTCTTACTATCACGTTATTAATTTTAACCTGATCTATTATTAAAATAAATACTATATATTCCACCCAAAAAATACAAGAAAGTCAATAGATATCATTTTTTGATTTTTATTCATGTTGAATCATAGGAATGGAAGAACTTAGGTAAAAAATTGATCTTTAAAGTACACACACAATGCCTTCAGATTACCAGACCGAGCAAAATGAACCTCAATATCAACAACGAAATAAATCGAAAATTGAAATCGGTTTACAAACTCGAAGCTACGACGTAACATTGTAGCATTATGCGCTAATTAGAAACAAAAAATAACGGTCTCGAGAAAAATTTGAAAAATCTCAAGATGATGAAATAAAAGTTGAAATACGACTTGGTGGAAGTTAATTAATCCCAAAGAACTCCCAATATATGGTCCAGAAACGAATTGTCAGAAAAACTGTACAAAATTACAGAAAATAAGCAAAAAAAAATTTGCATAAAATAGCAGCATTTAAAACAAAAAGCAATTCACAGCAATTAACAAATGGGATATCAGTCATTTATATTTACAATCTCGTCCTCGTCAGGCCACACTTGGGTTCATGGAAAATCGCGCAAAAATATACAAATTGTACACGTCACCCAAAAACCTTTTTTTGAAAGAAAATAGGCACAGTTCAGTAATATTCAAAATTACTCAATCACAGCATTTCAGTATTTCCTATGCAATTGCACAAACTGTGCGCCAACGAAACAAAATATTTTATGATTCAGGTTGTCAGACACAAAATTTTATATGAAAAAATAAAAAAGCACAGTAGCAAGAATTCGAAGTAAAAAGTATTGATTTTAGTGTGCCTTTGGCGATTTCAGTTTATTTGCACTAGACAAAATTCAATTTTTTACGTCTTACAGGTTTTAGTAACAACAAATGAGGCAAAATGTGAAAGAGCAAAAAAAGAGCAAAATATGATTTAAAGTCTAGAAAATGTACTGAAAGTAACAAAATAATGCAAGCAACCCAAGTTGAATTGGAGCAAAAAAATACAAGTACCGTACCATAAACAGCAGAAAAATGAAACTACATAGAAAATCCTAGTGCCATATAAAATGAAGCATTAAACAATACAAAAGATTTGCTGATTCTTGTTAACATAATACATCCCACGAATTTATCAAAACACTGAATAATTTCAAGAATCATGTCTGGTAGCCATAACATAGCACTTCCAGTAACGAATCAAAATTAACATTGATTGTATCTTGCCAGATTGTTTTATTAAGACTTAATAAAACAAAGTACTATTTACACTGAAGAACTGAACTATGTAAACTCAAAGAATGATGCTCCCGAAGTATGTGTACCAAGATGGCGCACAACCTGGACATAGTATGTGTACCAGGTTGGGGTTCAGGTTGTGCGTCACCTTAGTACGAATACTTCCGGAGCGCTCAAAAAATATCGATGTAAAATGAGTTTACTTGGATATATGAAAATGAGAGAGGAGCGAAACGTTAATCGTCTTGGCGAACTATTTGTCATTCTATCGAAAAAAAAACTTTACATGTCAACTGCTTGCTCCATTTTGATCCATTTCTGTGGAGAAGTAATTCCAACTTTACTATCGTTAACAAAAGGCAAGGGAGAAATATTTTCAACTTCAATATCTTCAGACGCCGCGTCCGGTGAAGGTGCCAACTCTTTTTCTTCTGCAGTGACCAGATTTCCATCATCATGACGACCCTCCGATGACAATGTTGGACTATCTGAACATCCTGATGTGGCACTGTTGTTGTCTTCAAACGCAGGAGACGACATTGATATTGGGGAAGAGGTCAAAGATGAGCATCGTGCACTTTGTGATGTTGGAAAATGGTTGGACGACCGATGTTGCTCTTGCGCTTGGTAATGCTGTGGATGCTGCTGCTGCTGCTGCTGTTGTTGTTGTTGCTGTATTCGATGAAACCCTGCTGCATGTTTGACCATTGCTTGATGATTTTGTAACATCTCTTGCTGCCGCTGGTGATAAGCTGTCACAAGAGCAAGGTTCTTCTCTTGCATGGAAAGCTGGAATTATATTAAAATTTATTTCCTATTCAACGTTAGAGAAATTTATACATCTGAAAAGCTAAAATTGGAAATAAAAAATATGTGATACACAAAATAAACACTTAAAACATAGCAATTACCTTTTCAAGCTCATTAGCCTTTTCTGCAGCTTTTGCTTCTTGATTTACAGATCTGTAAAGTAAAAGAATAGTTAGTTATTCGTTCTAATTCCTTTTTGAGCATAACTCATCGCCAAAATGATCCTTTAAAATAATTTCGAAAACTTACCTAGAATACAGTATTCTTTGAAGCTGACTCAATCTCTCTCTTGCTCTTGTCTGAGCACGAAGAAGTCTTTCATCCTGCAAATATGGAAAAACTAATGTGAATTCTATATTCTAGCGAATATAACTTGCTTATGAAGCAATATTAATATATTGAAAACTTACATCAGGGCACCATTCAGGTCGTTCTTCATTGCTCTTTGAGAGTAATCCATCTATTCGGCCAATAATTCTTTTGCACAGCATATCACCTTGCTTGGAGAGTGTCAGGAAAGACCACATATATTTGTCAGGCTGGCAGATGGCGAAAATGTCTCTTGCCTCGGAAGACCATTCGTCGTACTGTACAAACACAAATAAGATATATTTAGAATTTAAGGTATAAAAATGCATAAAAAAAGGTAATTACCAATTCACGAAAATCAATCTGATGCACTTAGACATGTCAATTCACGATCAAAAGATTTTTATCAGTGTCTATCTATCTTTATTCTATACTCTAAGCGGAATTAAGAACATGCCCAACAAGTCATACCTTAGCGTGTTTAAATTGTACCATAAATCTTGGGCTGATTTTGGCTACAAAGAGCAGATGTTTCCAGTGAGATCTGTGGGCAGAATTCTGAAGTTTTTGATGTTCTTCTGTCATTTCGCTGTGATATGAAAATGTTTTGGACGTTAGAATTAAATAATACAATTAAATTACCTCTATAATTTAAGTAAAGTCTCTTTGTTCAGCTAGATTCCAAGTCATTTTTACTACTAGTATGAATTATACCTGTAATCAATAGCTCTCTGGTAATGATATTCGATGTTACTTTGTGATACTGAACTTCTCATACGTTTTGTTGAATCCATTGGTTTGGTGTTTTCATTAATCTGGAAAACAGAAATACATTTGATACAGAAATTAACGGTATAAATATAATATGGTATGAATTCATTCTACAATCAATCATGAAAAATATATATGTGTCAAAAATCACATAAAAATCCGCAGGCGCTCCCGTAGTATGTACAACACGGACACCTGAACATCGTACGTGTACCAGGTTAGGGTGAGGCCATAATTTTATTCCACTTTTCCTTATTTTAGTTCTATTGCGAGTTCGGGGACTAGCCAATTGACTCGCGTAGTATTTGTACCTGAAATTATTGCCTAACCCTAACCTGATACACATACTACGTTCCGGTGTCCGCCATCTTGTTGCACACACTTAGGGAGTACCAAATCCGCATACTACTCAAAGAATAATATATCAAGTAGACATGCTTTTAATATGACATTACTATTCTGCATTACTAATTCTAGTTCAGTGTGGATATGATTATTTGTCTTTCTTGCCTTCTTAACTATTTTATAGTAGAAAAAAGAATCATAAACTACTCACCAGTCCATGCCGTTTTCTTTTCTTGAGTGTTTTCTTGGATAACTGGCCGAGATTATCATCAATATGGGCACCATTGTGAATACCCCGATTTGCATTGTCATTCACGTAGTTCAAAAAACTAAAAATGATAAATAACATCATTTTAGATGAAAAATCCAAAATAATTATTTCCATGATATATTGCAAATTATAAGAAGAAACCCATAGTGTGTAACAGTTACATTGATCAATTCAAGTTACCTGCTGTTGTTATAATGAGCCAGTGAAGAAAGCAAAGAAGCAGACCTTGCAGTTTGGAAAGGATGCGTGGGTGTTGTATGATTGGGCGATTTGAGCAAGTTTTGTGGCGTCATAAAAGCGCTATTGAGAGATGATTTTTGATCAAGATACGGAACATTCAGCCTTGATTGATCGGTGGATCCTTCTGACTTTTGACTTCCTTTCATATGATTGTTGAATATGGTTTGTAGAATGTATGATGCACTGGAGTTATTCTGCATAAGTCGTTGGTCCTAAAAGTGAAACCGAAAAATTTGGGTGTTAAAAAAAACGGCAACGTTTTGGCAACGAAGGATGAAAGATCACTTACTTGTATATTATTCATAAACGCAGAATAAGCAGACAAATTGAAGGATGGTTTCGGCAAGCTTGTCGTCTTTTCATTTGTTCCGCTATGAACATCTTTGTCTTTGCTGAACTCTGGTGGATTTGGTCCTGAAAGAACATTTGCCAAATGCTTGGTGTATGCTAGATATGGATTTTCATATGTCTTTTGTACGACGTCCATACTTGTGTTGTTGTATCCCCTACCATATCCATTTTCAATGGAGGGTAGATTGGGGCTCTTGTTCAAGGATGCGCCAGTTATGCTATCAATTGTACTACCAACGGTCTTATATGTGGGAGTAACTGGATTGCTCGATGATTTTGAAGCTTCAATCTTAGTCTGTCCTTCACCTCGATATTGGTTGTATAGCATCATCAGCGAATTCGCAGTTGACCATGATTGTGGGCAACGTTCATTTTTTGATTGTTGGTGAAATTCTTTATAATGATTGTAGGAGGGAGAGCTTTCATAGCTGTGTGTTGGAGATGATTTCATTTCCTCGCCACTGCAGCGTCTGTTATTGTTATTATTGTTGGCGTCTGGTCGTTTTGAGCTTAAATCGGTTGCAATCTAAAGGAAAAAAGTATGGTTTAAACTCCCAGGTAGAACAAAAACGACAAATGAGCTTTGCAACAGACACAAAAATACACTTTGCTTCAATAAGCGTTGGCCCTCGAAGACATTAAAATCAACATGTGATTTCTGGAAGCAGAGAATTCAACCTCTTGGCCCTAGGTATGTGATCAGACGTTCAAGTAGAAAGCACTTGATAAATTGGTATTATTTCGAAAGTTTTTGGGCATAATCTGAAATAACTCGATGATGAGTAATTTAGTTAATTCTTCGGATTACGCTCAGAGCTCATTTTGGATTTTTTTTTCATTAAGATTGAACCAAAATAGTTAAAGTACACTGAAGACTTCATTATTGTGGTTATTTCTCTATAGTGCAATAAATTCATGCCATTCTGCATGCATACCTCAGAAGCTTGGCCTCGGATACCACTTTAGTAATCCTAAATTCGAAGCGTGTGGTATAATAATACAAACAACATTAAGGCGTTGCAATCAATTTCGCGCTTGCAAATCCACTGTAATAGGATACCTTGAGTTGCCATATTTAATGTAGGCCAGTTCATTCAGAACGGATTTTCAATAGCGATCGGTAAGAGATGGTGATCGGGTGTGTATTGGTATATTTATCATATTTTACAGCTCAAACTTTAAAAAAATGTTTTCTCACTTCCGTATTTGTAGAAATCGGGTCTACTGGTTTCGGAATTGTCAACGGAGTTGAAGTCGTTGGAGGTGATAAAGCTGGAGGTGGTGTAGAAATGGAATCGTTTCGAATTTGGGGAGAGCAATTCCGATTTCTGAAATATTGCAAAGAGTTTCCGAGAGTGACTTGGAGCGGTTGAGACGGCAACAACCGATATTGATCTTCTGCTTGAGCAAGAAATGCAACAATGTCATCTTCGTCCTCAAGTTTGTAAATGCAGTTTTCTAAATCAAAAACCAAGTTGTCAGGTCAAGCCAGCAGCTCGGAAATTTAGTAAGAATGTCTCCACACTCATTGCGCGAATCAAGTATGATAAATGTTTCCGGATTTAAATGCATCGTATTGGAGTTCCTGTACCCTCGAGGGACGAAGGACGACCCACAATTCGGAACTGGAGAATAGGTTTAAACTCGCTCCGTTGATATTTCTAGGTCAAAACACTTCGCAGCGGGATTCGCGACTAAGCTTCAACAAAACAACAGAGTCAGGTTCGACCTAAATAATGGTTAGTTCCGCTCTTATCTGCAGGCGTATACAAATAAGATCGATAACGTGAAGTGCTCAGTTGCCATTGCTTTCCTTGAACATTAAGCGACAACGCTTCGCTAGTTAATGAATATGTATCGTGATGACATTTCAACGTAGACAGCGACAGTTCATTCGCGATCACGTAGAGGTGAGCTATCTCCAAATGCAAACAAAATTTACTCCATTAATGGAAAAAACGTCCAAGACGAATAACCTATTATAAAATCCCAACGGAGAAGCAAAGTGGAAAATCTGTTTACCGGTTCTAACCCAACCGCAAAAGCCTACGCGCTAAAGAGCGCGACAATTAAGCCCTTGGCTTTTCGTCCATATGTCGGGTCTAAGTTAATTTAGCGAGGATGGAAAGCAGTCAAGCATCGTTCAAAGACATTAGAGAAAAAGCTAATTGATTCCATGCGGTTACATTTACCATTTTATTGCACGCAAGTGGATGCCTAATTTTTATTGCCATTAAGGTCCGCAAGAAAATTTAATGTATTTCTTGAACCAAAGAGAATGACTGAAAATAAATTTACTGGATGAAATACATAACAATATATTTGAACTATTATTAGTACGGACCCCGCAAGGCATTCGCCAATATTCCGCTTCCTATTCAAAATAAAGGGCATATGAGTTCGTCTATAGATGGCATATTTTATATACCATTGACTCCGAGCCATCAGCGACCACCTGCGTTAGTTATATTATGCCTCATATGGTCAGCAGCGAAATTTGAAATTACCGTAGCCGACAAGCGACAATATTTTCACCTAAATGCTACGTCGCTGAAACATCAAGCGATTGTTTACAAAACCTAGACACGAGAGTTTGTCACCTCTTATAAAAGTCAATTGAAGGAAATTACAGACATTCGGTAGCACAACATTTTGACCCAGACTTGCGGTATTTTCATTGATCGCGATCAAAATTACGAGTCACACAAGGATAGAGTGGACTAATCACAAAACGTTGACATATAAAAACATAAATAATAACGATGGCTCGACGGAAGTTTAAAAAATATACAACCCTAACATATCTGTAGTGCTATATATTTATATATTATCATTAATAAATATTTTGGTTTCTTTAGTTTATGGTTGGGCGTTGTATTAATAGTGTGAATTTACTACTATAATTAAAATGGATTCATCTGCTGTTCGTTGGCACAACTTTCCCGTTGCATAGGCTAACGAAAACGAAGCATATTGCAGCTGGGATTTTATGACATATAATTATTTTTAGAAGGTGTGTCGCGCTTCTTCCTGTTTGATTGCGATAATTATGATAACCACGTAATCCCAGAAGCCCTCAACAAAGGACTAAGCGGTCATAATATAGATTTGACCAGATTTGTTTTAACCACTTTTGCATCGGGCAATTATCATTTTCGCATCGGCTATAACTCTACAACGGCCTTTGTGTTATTGACATGCAACAAAATGATTGGCGTCGTCGCGGGTAAATGCGCTCCCAAATAACTTCTCCTCATGTTTTAATAACGCTCAACATGACGAGCTAATAGAGCACGTTAACAGAAAATAATAGAAATATTAATGGAGGTTTGTGTTACCAGTTTGTTTGTTCAAACAACCGAGTGTTTCAAAGATATAAAAAAAAAATTGCAAATAAACGTAACAATTAAGGTAATGTGGATTTTTTCCAAAATCAATTTCAGTGCTACGTTGCTGTAATTAAATTGTATTTTGATAAAATCGTTAAAAGTTTGACAGGAAATCAAATTGGATTGGTATTTAATCAATGATCATCGAAGATATGTATTTGATCAAATAACATAATTAGAAAATAGATTTGAAGAATATATACTTGGTTCCTCCAAATTTAGACCTGTAAATAACGGATGTATAAATCTTCAACAAAGAAAGCATTTTCAACTTGAACTAATCTATTAAATATGGAATATAATATGTATAATGATATAAGTGACGAGGCCCAATGTTAATCATTAACATTAACAGATTAAAGAGTACCCATTACTTCCAATCATATAACGCTTCACGCATGTATATTCTTTACTTACCACTGATGATAAGTTCAGCATTGTTCGGCGCCTCTTCGTCATAAATTTGCTTCCAAATTGACAAAATATCATCTTTGGTGCTGTCGCTATACAAAAGTCTTGTTTTCACGGGCTGTGCTTCATCTGTACCGGCAAATAATACACAAAATCTTGTACGTTCGGACATTTCACGTTTGAAGGCTTAGATCATATATACAAACTGTTGTTGTGTGTGAATAAATTAAGAAAGACAGTTAGATTCGAATCAATTATACTATGTTTGTCAGCAATTCAGAGCATCTACTAGTACCGTGAAAATAATTTTCGGGTATTTTTGGAATTCTAGGAAACGGACCCGCGTTTTATTTAGAGTTTAATTTCCAGAAGTAAATTAGGTTCATATGGCTTCGATACAATGCTTGACTAAGCTTGGTCACGATGTTATCGAACATATGTAGTTCAGCGATATTTCACACTTTCTCCATTTATTATTCTACGTTTGACATCCTCTGACATTCTATTAAATGTATAATACACCTTCACATATCTCGCTATATCTACTTTTTAATTGATATAATTCTACATATATCACTAAGGTTCCCAGTCAGCTATCTCCATAACAAACACCCGACTGTTAACTATGAAACATGCTACCATTCAAAAGCCACGCCGCCTAACCGCCGGCCTAAATTCAAATGACGTTATTGAGCACGTGTGGAATAGGATCGGAACGTCGCATTGTGTCATCGAGGGGCGTAGCGAGGGAGCCGAGCGTACAAAACAACCCTGCGTCAACAAAAGCTGAGGATTCGAGTAAACGGTATCGCAGTCTGATTAGATATTTCTTTCCGAGGTCCAACAATGATGCGTGAAAAAGGGAAACCTGAAATTTACAAAAAGGAGAAAATGCAACCTACGAGAGAGCGTTCGATAAAAGCGCGCAAATAAGGCTACTTCTAATAAGTGAGGGTGTTATCGGCCGCAGGTTCTGCTGACTAACCCACTTATTCTCTCGATTTGACAAAACGAGCGCAGCATTGCCTAGCCATATTTCGATCAATCTGTTAATCCTTACTAAGGTATAATGGTGAAATAGAGCGAATTAAAAGGGTATCTCTTTCAATGACGAACAAAAGAATCGTTCCGTTTTGTCCCATTAACGGCCGACGAAACTCAAGCCTTGCCTCATTCGTCACCACCTTAAAACTGTTTCTGCGTAAATTACTGATGTCACCGCACTAAGCCCGATGTTTTTTCCATGAAAAAGATGTCATATGTGAAACCAATCGCACACGTTTACCCCATTTTATCCAACTGTTTCTTTAAAGAGAAAAACGGTCGTTCAAACTCGTCGCTTGCCCCAAATCCCTCTTCAAACATGATGCACTGTTGACTTACCGTGCCTTTTTCCGTAATGGGAAGCGTACGCGCTTAAGTTTGTCGTTGAATTAAACCTCGTGGTGACCAGAAGAAACACGTGACGAAACCGCTCGGACAATAATAAGTAAATTGATGCGCTGGTTGATTGGGAATTTTATTTTGAATACATCTATGAAAACCGTCCACAAATAATGAAATAAAGCGGTATTATTGCGTGGCGCGGGTTAGCCAAATTGAAATAAAATGGGTTCCTCATCTCACAAAAAAGAACTACGGGGTATCTTGTTGCGCAGGGGCCAACCGATTCAAAAGCGGGACAACTTCTTAAGATGTGGTGTCGAGTTAAAGAACAACGGACCTATGTCATTCTAATTAGCTATCGCCATTATTTCAAAAGAATTAAAAAGCGCCAGTTTTATAAATACCTTTTCAACGCTGTCTCTCCACCATCAATATACTGGATATTTCCCACGCCCTTCAACGGAGTATAATAACTGACTCAATCGAGCCGATTTATTGATCGAAATGTAGCCTTTACAAATTCTGCTACTTAAAAGTGGAAATTTTCTATGAAATTACTTCGCTAACCACAAACAGACGACAGCCATTGTTTGCTGGAGTCGGAAAATTGTACAAACGTCGCGATTTCGATACAGTCAGTCTTGTTAACAAATATCCCCTCGTTAACGTTTCCATAAGTATCGAATAGCGATGACACCGACACTAAATACGGATTTCCAGTTTGCATTTGACTTGGTCATCTATCAAACGTCTATTAGCTGACGCAATTGTTATGCCATAATGAAAAAAAACACAGTCAGTCAAAAGTCATTGTATCGCCAAAAGTCGACATTGGCCAAACAAAACTTACTATTGTCAACAAACTTAATAAGTCTTAATTCACGAACGGTGGAACGTGTTCTCGTAGCGACATATAAAGTAAGGACAGTTATGAAATTTTTACACTATTTTATTGCATGATTTCTCTGGGAAACACGTAATAACGAATACCGACAAATTGTACTTGTTTTCCGACAGCATTTAGACATTAATTTGAAAACCTCAACGCAAAATCGCCCCAAATTTAACATTCAAGACACGGCAAGTTTAGGTTGATAGCGGGCTTATGAATTTTACCAATGATGACTCGAACAGGTAATATTGAATCGCCATCAATGCCACGAAAATACATAATTATGCGCAAAAATCTTCAATAACCCGCTTTGTACTATTGATTCAAATCCATGCACATTGAGCCCAAGGCTTTTGAATTGCATTAATTGTGCGGAGAAAGGCTTAACCATTAAACAATGTGTCTCTAGACAGATTTGCATAGCTAATTATTCTTGTTAGCCAACTGCACGCGTCGCTTGGCCCAGTTCTTCTGAAGCGAATAATGTGATTTAAAACCGATTTGTAAATTATACGCGACTGATGGTGCTTTTATCCATATAGTCGATTTTCTTGGAATCGGATTTCATACTCCAGTAGAGAAATTCTGATCAGATGTTTTAGAAATTGTGGAGCCTTTACAAATTTACTTTGCTTGCGATGGGATATCCAAAATCGTTACGAAACTGAACAGTCGGGTGCAAAATTATTAGCGAGATTTTGTTCAGTTACGAGCGTGCGAAATTTCATAGAAAATGCAATTTGTTGTTATTTTAATATTTTTTGCCAATCCATGTTTATGTCAGCTTTTTTTTCGTCCCTAACGAAAGTCAAAAACAAATTATAACTGCATTTGAATATAGGTGACAAATGTTGAATATTGTGTTAAAAACAATCAATACTGCTTGGCTATCATTTTTCTTCGTGAATCAAAGTTACGATAAGAACGACGAAAACAAAGCAAACTAAAAATTGCATAAAAGCTTCTTGCATCTTCTTGTAACTAAAACTGACATGTTGACTCACTCTTACACCTCTACCAAACAACTGCTTCAGAAAACTGTTTTCAGTTTTCCAAAAGTCAGATCGAAATAGAAATCAGGCCTAACGATTTTTGTAACATCTTTTTATTATCATCAATTTTCCAGAATAAAGTAACCAGTATGGTTGAGATTTAAAAATTAAATTGCTTCTGTACAATAACTATACTTAGCAAAGTTATAAATGTTTCATTTTCGATATTTTAAAATTGGCACTATCCTCAATTGCCCCACAACTAATGTTGTTATCTGTTTTTTGAAGTTCTTTAGTTTATATCAGGACGAGTGGATTATAGGGCAACCCATTCTAACTTAATCTAACCTAAAATTGTAGTGGGGTAATAACAGTACGATAATTCAAAATTATTTCGATGCACCCTGCCTCAGGCGAGAATAGATAAATTGAAAGCTAATTGAACCAAGTATTTTTATTATTTATTCTTATAAACCTAATCTCTCCCGTTTTGTTTTGAATATTTACAGCTTCATTCAATTTCTGTAATGAACCTTGAATGTAAAATTCACATCAAATATTAGCTTTCAAATTTGGAGAATTACGAAAGGTACCTAATAAACTCTGCCAAGTTAAACTACATTTAAATTTCTGTTGTTCCTTGTTTGCGAATCTAAAATAGAGCATTCTGATAAAGATTCTACATGCAACTGACTAAAGGTTAATAAATAATAATGTTTATCAGAGCACGCTGGGCGCTACCAGGCTGAGGCACCGAATAACCTGACTGCACCGCTGCGCGTAGGTGTACTGTTTGCTGGAGAATACGTAACTATTATTTTAACAGCAACAAATTATTCTTACTACGAAGGCTTAGCGAAGAAGGCGGACGTTGATAACTACAGGTAGTTAACAATTTAGAAGGTGACTTTAGGCTTACTTTGAACAAACCAAAGATTACAATGATTGGGCATCGATAAATTCGAATAGACAAAATCCGCTATGACATCACCGGTACTTAGCAAAACGCCCCAGGCAAAAAGCGAACGCGCCTCTGCCCCCTTTGTTCGGCCGGTGGTTTAGCGGTTTAGATAGGCATTTGGTTACCCTTAATTATCACTGAGCATAATCTTGTACCCTTAAGGGACCCGACTATTATCGTATTGTTACAGAAATGGCCAGTCCACACCCTCCCAACATGTTGAAATTTAAATGCAACTGTACAATTAATATTGGCATATGTCATAAAACGCGCTTAGTTATAATTAGATACAGAATTAGCTGATATTATTAACCATATCTTTAGACTTGACAATTTATAGAAACTATAAGTTTTTGTTGATGATAACGAACTCCGACCAACAAATCATTTTTGTCAATTTAATCTACAGGACTAAATAACTAATGTCAAAAAGTCAAACGACACCAGAGTTGCAGCATATTGAGCCTAAATAAAACAGCACTTCAGATTTAGTGTTACTTCATCGCGTACACATTGGAAGATGATTTTAACCATCATACTGAATGAGGTAGGTTTGATATTCGCAGATCAACTATTAGGTCTGTTGTCTTTCACTCGGCGGTTGGCACATTGTGTGTCAAGGGTTAGGAATACTTTCCCATCGTACCTCTGATTTCTCTGCACAGGTTCAAAAATCCTAACTTATCCTATTTCTATGCTTGTAGGCAAAAGAAGCAGGAAGCTAGGTGTCGCCATTAATTCAGCGTAGTATCCAATTACAGCGATGCTGCTACATCGATTCCCTCAGACTACATTACACTTTTTATTTGTTCGATAAGTTTAATTTCACGGAGCAACACGTTACAAAACTATATTTTTAGGTTTAAGACAACATCATAGATGATATGAATAGGAGATCTATCATCACATGATTGCGGATTTCCGAGAGCGCGTAAATTGTAAGATTTAGTACCTAAATAGGTTCGTTATTTTTGTACTATCCCTATGGTGCGACTACGATTTATTTTTCCAACCTTGTTTTCAGATCAGAGTTATTTAGTCAAGCCATTTTCACGTTGGTTCTGAGGTTTTTATAATCGTTTCAAGTCTTTTAGAAGAAATAGTAAAATGCGTAACGTGTAAGTAACGCATTGAATTGATTTGCGGGCCTACTTGAAATTATCGGTTTAGTACTATTTTGTATAGTCAAAAAAGTTGCATGTTGATAGACGTATAACATGTAGAATGGAAAAAAATTCTACTAAATGTAACATACTGGGCTGAGTTCGTATTGACTCGTTTTCAACATAGCAATTTAGTAGGAAGTTTTGGTAAAATATCGGGTTTTAGACGTCGATCAATTATGTGACACGTCTCATATTCATTCGCGATGACACTTTTATTGGCAGTTGGCTACTTATATTATCAGTTGTATTAGTATGCACGACCTTTTCGTCCAATTTCTGTTTATATTTACACTATTGATTTTCATTCATATATATATACTGTTCCTTCAAAACGTAGCCGAGATTACTATATACATAGCTGTCAGTTTGAGCTTGTAATGACAGGACTTGTTGTATTCGCGGCTTTATTTTGCTATGTTCGAATATAAAAATGAGTTTTTCAGTGCCTCCAACTTAAAACAACAAACGGATTTGTTTGTTGTATTTGGTGGTTTGAAATTAAGGCCTGTCAGCAATAGTCTGAATTGTAATTATGTCACGAATTATGCTACCTCGAGGTGAATCTCGGACATATCATATTAAACTCCAGTCAAAATACCTATATAGCTAAAATTGCAGACTGCCAGATTTATATTATATTAACAAGTGCACAACTTCATGCAGATTATCAACAGCCGAATGCGCAAAACATTATTACGATGTTCAGAAGCAGTTCAAAATCGTTACGACTTGTGACCACCAAGAAAGAACCCGCCTACAGACGCTTCACGGACCGGAATCAGCATGTGCAGCAGATTCGATTTTTGAATATGAATGATTTAAAATATATCATTTCAATGGGATAAATAATTCTATTAGAATGACGTTGCAAATTTAGTGAATTTTCTGTTTTACGGCACGGTTGAGATTACGGCAGTCCGATGTGATCTGACGATGGGTTTCCCTTTACTTAGGTGTCAATGGCGACAGGACACGTCTATCATCTTACCCGGACGCCAATTTTGGATCGATATTTGTGTTGAAGTAAACATAATCATCCATATATAAGTAGTTGTCTTAGTTTTGAATTGGAGGCAATTGGCAACATTCTGTCACTGAAAGCGCATTGTAACAAAATTTTACTATTGTTTTTTGTAAAAATGCTGAAGGTGGAATATTGCCGAGAAGTCGACTCAGCGATTGTCATACAAACTTGGTAATGTTGTAGGGCTCAGAAAGGTTTTTGAGATATTCTTTGTTCTTGGTGTTTTGCGTAATATCATAAGAACGTCAGCATTGAGGCGTTTTATTAATAGATCTCATATTCGCCACTTAATTTATCAAGTGACATTGATTATTATTCACGTGGTCAATAGATTGTGGAAATTCTACCAAATCTACTATCTCTCGTTTACTTCTTTTTGAAGTAAAACAGAACAGATATGACTATTTAAAGAGATTTATTTGTAGCATTTTATTGTACCAAGATATCGTTGGTTGTGTGAATGACCCAACAACACGTACCCAAATTTTCATAAAAGGATACGTTAGTTTTGAACCTTAGATAGGTTTAGAGTTAGACATTCGTACATATTATGACGCCGCGTAATCGCATATTTTCGAACGATATCTAACCTTTCCGACCTGCGTCATGTTTTAGTATGACACATCCAATGATTAAGGAGAGGAAGCTTGCATCTAGTGACCGAGTCAATCATGAAGCAGTAGAGTGAGAGAGACCGACCGTCACTCAGTGGTGCAAGTTTGGGTTTAATAGCCTACATATTGTTTATTACGTATAGTAAGTACTTCATTTCGTATTAAAGCTCATTTGCCGTTTGTGCTTTTCGAATCACGGCATTAACTCCAAGGCCCGGTGGCAATAGCACAAAAGTCATGACAAAGGTCGGTAGACAAATCTTGGTCAACTACCGATAAGAACGGGTCAGGGGTAAACTGAACTATATAATTAGACGTGAGCTAAACACACGCGGTGTTTGGACGAATGAGCTACAGGCCTGTGGTAGATTATTGTTCATTGTCCCGACTTGATTTAGTTCCTTTCCCAAGATTTTGTATAAATGCCACCTTGTTTTAAAAAAATATATAATTTTCGACTTGCCCTGATGAATGAATGCTGCCACAGACCTTATAAGACGAAGCAACGACAAGTTAGGTATGAGAGATTTTCAATAGGCTGAGGGCCGTGTCAGACAGAGATTGAAATTGGAAACCGATGACGTCATATGTGTGACTGACAATTCGTGTTCGCTGTTGTTTTCATTGAAATTTATATTCTGTGTTTATTGCGATGATATCTAATGTAGTACAGAGCAGTAGCTTTAACGTGAGCTTAATAAAAATGTAAACAAAAATGAAGATACTTTGTGGGAAGATTCTGGTACGACAAAACAAGTGCAGATGTCGAAGTTTTTGGCGATATGTATTTCGCTAAAATATTCTGATAAAGACAGATATAGAATGGGGTATTTCGAGAAGTTTTATTATATACCTCTAAAACAGAGTTTCGACGAGAAGGTCATGTTTTTATTATTCCTTTCACGTTAATATTTCTTTACTTTTCTCTTTTACACATCAGAATTTGATTTGATCGATAAAGTTTCGCAATATGACTATAAGAATTGTTGTTTTTATAATATTTAAAAAGAATGTGTGAAGGTGTGAATGAGTAGCCACTAAATTGGATCTCTTCGTTTTTAATTCCGTCGAATACTCGGATTCCCAAGTGGAATGAATCGAGTGCATGCTCACTTATAGCCTCTTGTTAATCTTCGGTATCACGATCGCCCAACTTGAATGCACGGATTCCAGCGCAGTAGGAACAATGCAAAGGCGTTATGAGCATCTGTTACATTTATTCGGTCCAACTCAGCATTTTCGATATCCGATTGAGTCTTGCTTTTGATATGTTTTATTTCGATTAGTTTTGCTTTCGAAATGGGCTATCTTGATTTATCTCACGAATTCCTCACACGTATAACCAAGCATTTCTTAGCTTAATTTGCATAAACTGCCGCCAGTTTAAACTGTGGATTAAATTGAGTATTACAAGTTAAATTGACTAATGTGTTGGCTTGATAAAAGATATCCTATGCGTGTAAATTTCCAGTATTATTGAACGCGAATTAGTAAATAGGGCACCGTTAACATAACTTGCCTTCCACTATCTATCAAATGTATTATTTATGATAAATTATTCAGCGTAATTCGGTAGCAAGAATAGATAAATTCGTAAATATATAATATTATACGAGACAATTATTGATTTTTCATGTTAAAGAAATAAGCACATTCAGTAAAATTTCAACTCTATAGCACTGTAACTTCCATAAATAAAGGTTAGTTATGGATTCCAATTGCTGAAAGATTCAGTATCATATACGAGGCTATTAACCAGTCATTTTCTCTGTTAGGCCTCGAGGGGAACATCAGATTCGCGTTGATCAGACCTTAAGCTATTCAAATCGGTAAACACGCCGTATTCGACTTGCTGATGTATATTAGATACCATTGACTAATAGATTAACCTATGTGGTGACGCCGTTGATGATTTCTCTTATCATTAGACATTTTCGAATTCCAATCAGATTCAAATTTATTATTCTTCTAACTCGTAAGATATAAAATAATCTTACTGAATTGATTTCATTTATAGAACATTAACCCAGATTTTGCCCTTCTTCGCCTACCCTGCTGGCATGTTGCATTAGACTAAGTTATAGACTTATATATATATTCAGGTTCTACTTTGCACCTTTAATTTGTGACATCTGTCTGCTTATTTAACTTTTCCCGCCTCACATCTCCTTCAATCTTCATTTTTAAAGGTTACTATAGGTGTTGGGTATAATATTAGATTGTCTCTGCATGCAATGAGTTATTGTGGAAATATGACGTCACTAAAACCTCGCAGAAAAATTGAAAACGAATTTTTATTCGAACGACTTCGGAAAATATTTTGTCGTGTTTTCGGGGGACTAGTTTTGGAAATCACCGAAAACTATAAAAGGGTTGGAAGAATTTTGACAAGTGTATGGATCCTATGTTCTTCATATATTTGTTCTTTACAATATACAATACAAGGTTTATTGGGCACTGTGGAGAAAGACTTGAAATGTTGTTGCTCGAATATAATTTATGAACCATCTATTTTTCATAAAGTTTGGCAACGTTTATCTGCATCAACGGCCGAGGAAAAATTACTTTCAACTCAGCACTGCATGTGTAATAAAGGTCAGTTGCTTTATCAAGAATAACGTGTTCAATAATAATGATCACCTGTTTACCACCACTTAATTTACCAGTTTTCTAACAGACCTATGTGCGCTTAAATACATCTATAACTGTGTCGATCACTTGACAATGTTATTAGTACCGAATTTTTTTTGTTAACAATTGTGGATACTTTTGGCAAAATCTTGTCTGCTAAATTTTGTTTTTCTAGTGATACCGGTGTCACCGCGGCAAGTATAATGCAACGTCATTTCCGAAGTATTGAATTCTAATAGACAAGTTGTGAGTGATATTTTAGGACATTATTGATATGCAAATTTATATTATTAAAGCTTACGTATAATTCAAATCCTCAACAGTAGGCCTACGCGAAAATGAATATATGCAGTATTTGCGCACACTACCCACTACAAACTTTACTCCACTTAAATGAAAATTTGTTCCAGAATAATATGACCTAATCAAGTATGCTTGTTAGTATATTTCCCTAGCAACACGCGGCCCATACTAGGCAATAGGCATGATTTGACAGATAGAGCTCGCAATATTAAATTCATACAAAATCCAACGAATTTGAAAGCCGTCTAAACTCTGACTTTTAATAATGGCAACAAAAAAAACATTACTCACAACTTGTCATAAACCTTATTATTATCACTCATAACAATAACTCGTTTAGGAAGACCGCACATTGAAAATTTATCCATGACTGAGGATCGGCCAAGGGTATCGAATTGGTTGAAATTTTAAGTGGTTGGCGACTTAGCTTTACTAATGTGAATGTGACGTGACAATTTATTCAAAACACATTCAGTGCACCATGCCTTTTAATAGAAAGAGGGATTTTCAAATAGTTGAAAGTTACTATAGTTAAACTTCAAATGATTAACAAATTATCATCATCAAGTTGAAATTCTCGACACAGGCAAAAGTAATTGGATGTGTGGCTTACAATTACGCTTTAACACATCATTTCTTGCTCTAAGTTAAACTCAAGCACGAAAAGCGGCACTGAACCTCCCTACATTCACAACCAATAGTTTACTACGACAATTATTCTGCTCAACCATGATTTTCCCCCCAAAAAAACGATCTTTTAGTAAACTTTCGATTCTTGACACAAAATGTTCCGCGTTAAAATCGTTTTACATCGTATATAGATTGATATGGACTGATAGTAGGCGGATATTTTGAAAATAAGGTTAAGGTCAGTAAACTCTCGCGATTTACTAACTGTCATTTCCATTGAAATATTGTACATTGTATTTTCAAGGATTGACGAGCTTCCAACTAATACAAACTACTCGCGATGCAAAGTTGGTGACGTCATGGTTACGAACAAAAGGTATGCAAGTATCATTTAGTGATGTGGCGGTGTGGAATGATGGCACATTGATGTGGGAAGTCCTCAAGCGGGTTTCCCGTCGAAAAGACGAGTGAGTATGAGTAAACGTTTACGATATAGAATAGTATTCAAAAATAAAATTGACCGGTACTTTACATTGACGCTATAAAAATTTTCTGAAGCTCAAACGGTATACAGACTGTGAAATTTGTGAAAATTTTTTTTTATTTAGTTGTTCGTAATATTGCTTTCTGCCGGCGCTTCCAGTGTTTCAAAATAGACGAATTTCAGAATAATACACTAATAGCAGCACAACGCATCCTAGCCCCGTTATCATAAATCATAATCTATTTTATATAGTTTGTTTAGAATGAAGAATTTTGAGTCAACTTTGCGTGTAATAATATCCTATTTTAATAAACTGAGAGTGTTATTAAAGTTGGGATTAACTACACAATGACTGAGCTTCTCCCACGCTAAACCACTGTCTGTCCAGTTGTAAAGTAGCGTCGAATCACGATAAACACGTTCCGGAATATTAACATGTGCCAATAAAGTAAAACGCTTATAGGTATTGAAAAGATATTTAAGTATTCAGTGATATTCACAGCCATGTGAAAACAATAAATTGGTGGGTATCGTGACAATAATTATGACGTTGGAAAAGTAATAATAATATTGACAATAAAGTATGAGTCCACTTTTTATTTTCAGTAAATGATTTATTTCCATAAGTCCTAAATTTACTTTTTCCACACAGAGATTTTAAAGAACTTCAAGCAGAAAAACGAATCGAAAACTGGTCACTTCTGGGTGCTGTTATCAAACGCCAGTTTCCTGGATTGATTGAGGTAAAGTTTGATCCTGTCCTGAGCATACAAACTTTAACTTTAGATTTTGTTCAATCGTTTTTATTCATACAGGCCATGAAATAATTATATTGAACATAAAGTTTTTAAATCTCTATTTTTATAACTTTCGTACTCATATAAAGAATTCAGGCATTCATATGAGGTCCGAAAATAATGATACAATATCGTGAAATATTGCGTCACGACCCACGAGGTAATCTATTTCCAAGCCTAAGTTAGAATTTCATTAATGAACAATTGAAATCAGGATATTTTTGTTAGAACCATCTTTTATGCATTGATATCTGTAACAAAGCAGTCTCTGCCTGACAAATCAATCTTCATGTCATTTATTTTAGCCGTCAGTGGTTGTTTACAATTCTTTTTGAACTCTGTCCAGTTTGGTTAATAGCCCGAAATCTTGCTTTAAAGAAACTTGTAGAAAAATCACTGTTTCTCAGAACAATTCTCAGCATATTTAACTAAGGTTTGTCAGTCTTCTCGTTTCTATGAAGTTTATTTCTGGATCAATTTCTTGAAACGTATTTCCGTGTTTCCGTCAGCATCAAAATAAATATTGTTTGTATATAATATTTAGAAAAGTCACTTTAAATAGCCCATCAACGCGGATTAGGTGTTAGCCAGACATAACTCAGACACAAGATTTGACCATGTCGCGTAGAGTCACTCTCAATTTAGACAGTCATTATATTGAGTAAAGCCATACTTTAATTGTATAACACAAATGATTTACGCCGACTTGTTGGGTGCACAAAATAGTCTTCCTATCCATAAGTATAAATACAGTTCTTGAACAATTTGTAGACACGAGTCAACCTCGTTACGCTAAAGAAAAGAAGATTGAAATTTTTAGGATTTGCTAATTTCTCTTTTGTCTTGTTAGTTTGTTATGCAGATTGTGCTTTCGGTCACGTTCTCGTTGTTGACATGACGACAAACTTTTTTTTATATACCGATAAATTGAATAGAACTTGGACCACGTGATTTACCGAAAGAATTCATCTTTATATCCAAATCGAGCATAGCGATAGCACTAAATTACTTTTATGTGGTCATCTTGGTCAGTTGAATCAAAATTATATAAACTCAAGTAAAATAAACCTATTTATCATTAAGATGGATAATATCCATAGAAGTTGATATAGATGTCATTAATTTCTCTTCTGACGCCTATTTGGCATCGAATTTTTAATATCCATCAATCAGGATTATTTTTCCACTATGACTAATAAGATTTACTATTTTTGAGGTGATTTGAAGTAAAATTGAAGATAGGATTACTGTCGATTTCAAGAATTTGATTCGCTAAATTCCTAAATTTTCAGAATAGCAATATTTATATATTAATAATAACGCCTCTTATACCGAGAGATGAATTATATGACTAAAATTTCACGATCTCTATTTCTATGAGTTTTGATTCCAAGCGATGAAATAATTTAATTCCCCCCATTTTATTAGTCTTTCCGTGACCTCAATTTGAAAAATCTCCAATGGGGCGAAAATAAAAGGGCACAGGTGGTCTATTTGTAATGTTGAATACACGTCGAGCCAATAAATTTTATTTTAACGGTTACTTTTGCTATTCACTGATATATTTATATTCGTTGCATATTGCAAATATCTTCGAAATTTATTCGTTATTTTTTTGCCATATTAAATACCAGAAAAGTTTTACGGTGAATTCTTCACCGACGGTGCGGATGAAACAATTATATACTTTTTTGTAACCTAATTTAATTTTTTATGGATATTGAACACATGTTAGAATGTTGTACAATTTTCAACCTACAAATCAAATACAATTAAATAGAACTAATGTATCCTCACGTCGATTTGTTTCGAGCAGCGCAAAAATGAATCGATATCATATACCTGACCTTCAAAAAATACGTTTAATTTTGCAAAATTGACGATTATTTCATATAAATGTTTGTTTTATGAAAACAAATATGCTATTGAAATGGCACTGATAAAATTATAAATTTACCAACTGTTACATCTTTGTTGCCATAGATGCCTATGCTTAAGTAAAGAGCGCTTTAATGGACGGTCTGAGCTTGAAGAGAGTTTAATGTCTGTGCCACATTCGGGTGTAGTCACCTTCCGAGTCGTATGGTTGAAAATTTGTGGAAATTAAAAAGCGTATTGAACCGCATATTGCAAAAAGCGACGTATTAGACATATGGCATGCGGCGAATAATTTATTTGTTTCTTGAAGACGTTTACCGGAATTTATTAATTTTTTTAGAATGAATTAATTTTTCGATGCTTGATCGCTTCCGATCCAGTCCGTATTCATCACCTTGTCTACATACTGACCCGTATCATGCACGCGCGGAGAAGAATGTGGAAAGTGATGACATTGAAATGGCTGCTGTGGATATCTGACGCGCTTAAAAGGTTTTTACATTACCATTTGTTTAAATCTTTTTGGCACATTGCTCTTCACAACCTTTATTAGTCATCGACAATTGGTCAAGCTGCGCAAAAGTCATCTTGGCAATTCAGCCTCGATTTTCCAGTTTAAATTTAAAATCAATTATATTTGTAAGCACCTCAGTCACAATTCACAAATATAGAATAAAGTTGCATTTCACTTATAAATGACCTTCTTCCCGCACTGTAACCGAGTAAGGTTAAATATAGACATAACACTCGACGGTGAGAACCAGGAAATAACAGGAATTTTATTAATACTCCGGCTTGATTTGGAGTGCAATATCCCTGTTCGGAAAATACGTTGATTTATGATTCTACTTCATATATATATTTATATATATATATGAAAGAGAAGCGCGGGAGTTGCACATTGACTCAAATTTTGAAAATGGAAGGATGGGTTATTAAAAGTTCACAAGAACAAATAATGCTAAATAATACCCAACACATCGAAAAAGCACGATACAGGTTAGGGTAGATCTGTAGATTGAACCCGCTTGTGAGAGCTTATGATTCAACGCGCATTGACTGACTATATATATATATATACTGAAATCCGATTACTTTTCTTAGCTACAGTTTCATGTAAGCGCACGAACGATCTCTATCTATTTATTAATATTACGGCTACAAAATCATAATGTATATTTCATACATTGTGGTGATTAAAATCGTGTTAGACATTTATTTTTGTGTGAGCAACCCTTGACAGCCCTCCAACAGACTAAAATGGGGGGACAAAAAAGCGGGAATATATATATATATATTTTTTTATTGTTATGTGTTATAAGCACTTCGCAATGAATGCATTTCTCCTTGACCGGTCCTTTGTTTAATGTATGATAAGAAAACAAATATAAAAGGCTTTTTCGATGTCTATAAACAAGAAAAGAGTAAATTGGTTAGCTCGGATTTATCATACAGTGGCAACAGAATTGAAGGAATCTGACTATACAGCAAGATATATACTCTCACGGGTAAAACGTCGCTGGCAAATTGCGAATGATTTCATATCATAATTAACTGGGTAGGAATCATAAATAATTTAATGAGCTTTATTTGATTCATTTTCACATTCTATGAGAAGATTCGTGCCAAATTCGGATATATATGTATATAATACATTTTAACCCCAAAGGATTCGGATTGTCGAAATATATATATTACTTTTGCACGGTTTCTTTGTTGCACAAAGTTCTGCATAACATTTGTCTAATTCAGATGAATATTAGTATGTTCGGTTCTTGGGCTTGGGTCAAAGATATAATATTGTGCAACATATATAATTCTTCTCAAAGACTTTCCCCTACCACCCATAACTGAAAAGACAATATTTTTCGAACTTCTATCGATGTTGTGCGGCGGAAAATATCTTTATATGAAGTTAAAGGGAAGTAGTAATTATCTATGTACATTCAAATAATCTTTACCGTACCTATCGACAATGCGACCTCACAGTGCCGTACGTGAGCCAACTCACAACTTCAGCCGGAGTAATGCGGTAACGATCGCAAATACAGAGCAATTGACCTCAATAAGTAGACCAAGATGGTTTATTTTTGTTACACACCGGTCTGATACTTTTTGATTTCATTCATTATTAATTGAATTGAAAATTGACAGAGCCGAGTTCAAGTCGCCCTAACAATTTTGATTGGTTTCTAGTCTCCGGTGATGACCGAGTGCATTTCTATCATGGCATTCTTGAACCATGGCGGAGCAAAACTATCTTCAGTTATATTTATCTATGAATTACGTTGGTCAATATAAATCATTAGTTATTCAAAATATAACACTTCAAAGAGATCAAGTATGACCACTTCCGATATTTTGTGACGAACCGACATCATCGTGCAATAGAAATATTCTGATATATATATTTTATAGCAATCTAAATGTTCAAGAATAGACATTTTCATTTGATAAGTGACTGAAATTAATGAAGTTTCCTATATTAGATAATGCTGTAGATGCCATTCTTGGTTTCAAGATTTAGTATCCGATTTCATAACGTCAATGTCGCTTCAACCATCACATCACCAGCGATTCAAAAATATGACGAGGAAACGCATTCGGAAAACTAATGGTCACTCACGCCTCTATTTGTCCACGCCTCTATTTGTTCATGCGAATTGATTTGACTTACTGTACTGAAATCTATGAATTAAATGTGGTTAGCGGAATTGAGTCACATATGTCAGTCTATCGTCGCCCACGATTTCGTCAATAGCTTGCATGTGTTGAAGGAGATAGATCTTAGCCATTTGCAACCAAATGGCGTGAATCCGAAAAGTGCTTAATAAAACACGGGCCGAGTTCATCAAAACATGTTGAAATGGCTGGACAAATCGTACGCAGGCCATAGCTAATCCGAAAACAATGTACACTCGAGCTGCTTCTCTCCTGCATACCGCCATGGTCGCAACTTTTGAAAAAAAAAAAATTGGGCAAGAAAACCCTTTCGGCGACAAATTACAAGCCTCAACCAGTTGGATAAAAGTAACAAAAAATTGTAGTGAACAAAAACAATCATACTAATCAATGTGCTGCTTTCGATCAAACATGTGACTGTAGAATTCTATACATTTGAGAATCAAGCCAAGGAAATTCGGAAAAAAGACACCGCAGAACCTATGTGGAGTACATATACACTAAAGTACATTTTTATAAGCAGTTGACAACATACAAGGCATTAACCTGTATTGTATGAATAAAAGGATTGAATCCAAATAGTGGTTCAGATTAACAGGACAGTTTTGTTATCATATCAGAGGGCTATCATTAGTTCAGATGAAACACTCAATGGCTGGATACATATTTATTTCGATTTGATGCCTTGTTTTAATTCTGTTATGACTGGTTTCCCTTATCTGACTCCTCTTTCATTTTCTGCATTAAAACTTGAAAATATTCTGAAATGTATAGGAGTGGATCTTCTGGCTTATGGTAAAATATCTTCCAAGTAACTTCTTCAAATGCTTCGATAAGCTGGCATTTTTCCAAATATAATACAGCTCTTTCCACCGGGTCGTCGTAAGATTTGAAATTTGCAGAACGACATTGTAGCGACGGCATTCCTTCTCCTGAAGCCATGCTGAAGTTCAACGTCCAGTTTCAAATTATGTAATTGCTAGTTTCTGCTGTGATTTCTACACATTCATTATATTTAAAATTTGGCCACCACGACCCTACCCTAAGAATTCGTATCTGTAATCATGGAAAAAAGAACTCTGTCGTAAATATTTAAAATAAAGTGTTTCAAGGTATTTCGGAAAACGTTATAAATGTAATCAAGGATCGATATACTCATCTGAAATGCCAACGGACAGATCGTTATTATTTCAAATTTGTCTATCAACAGACTAATGCCTACTCTTGAAGTCACCCAAATATTTCTAAATTTGTTATATCCAGAAGATGCTTCCAGTCATCCTGTAAGTATTTGACAACTCAGTGATACCCGTATCTTCGCTCCAAGGTGAACGCTGTACATTGAAGTTTTCCCGGTGATGCAGGATTAACAGAGATAAACCAAAATTACGGATACGGTACTCCGAATTCATGCCGGTGTCAACCTAAGCATATTGTTCAAGCTCTGCATAGGACCACGAATTAATTTGCGTTATTAATTAACGGGGCCTGACTCGTTAGACAACTCTATTTGAATAAAGCTCCAAGAAATTTGTTCTGGAGATAACGTAGCTCACAAGACCACCAAGAGCAAGCCGTGCGTCCCGGCAGACCGACAAGCCTACTCGGGTAACTCGGCCTTTAATGACAAGGATGTCAGATTTTTGAAATTTGCAGTTGCCAGATTATTGATTGCTGTAGTCCAGGGGTCGGCAACCTTTTGTCGCTCGCGGGTCAAAATTAAGGGTTGCAAGTCATTGGCGGGCCGCACATATTTTTAAAAAGTTGAAACCCGAACGATATATCTCTCGAATAAAATATAGACTTATTTCCTCATTGCAATGCATCTCAAAAAATCTCATTTGCATATTTTTGGCACCATTTAACCCTTTGCACTTAGCATCAACTTTTCTGCGTTTTGTTGACAGTTGTCTAATTATAATTAAATTATAGGCTCATAAAAGAAGTAATTGTGAATTATACACTTGTTATAATATAGTCTTCGCGTGTCTTACAATAAATTCTGTTACGTGAAGAATATAATCGTCAAAACAGCTGTTTTGTTATTATAATTTAGGGATGCGTTTATATTACGGGCCGGTTTATATTACTCGGCGGGCCGGATCCGTCCCGCGGGCCGTAGGTTGCCGACCCCTGCTGTATTCTATAGTGAACAAATTACAGGCATTGATAAAAAGTTTGGCGATGGACTCAATAAATTATTGAAAGGTTGAAAAACATTTTTATGACTTTGAAAAATTTACCGAATTTTCTGTTCAACCAAGTATATGTTGAATTAGATCTTCTGCCAAAATGGGGCCGCGAGACGAGGCCCTTAAAAACGCCTAGAAAATGAGTTTCGTAACGCACATAAAGAAACTAACTACTTGGAAATAATTCTAACATGTTCCTTAGAAATTTAGTAACAAATAATACCTTGTTCCCATTTCCAAAAGTTCTGAAATTTAGGTGTGTACGAAATGTCGCCCAACCTGAAAATAGTATGCGTGCCAGGTTAGGATTCAGGTTGTGCGTCATCTTGGTACGAATACTTTCGGAGCGCCGAAATTTGTAACAGCAACAGGTGGTCTGGCCGGAGGCCGCAAAGCGCGAGTTTCTAAGAGAACTGATGTTCTAAAAATTGCTATGTGTGATACAGAATGTTTCTAGAAATCGAAACTGAATATGTCAGGATTTGCCAGGAATAAGGGCATCAAATGGGAATTGCGGACTGAATGGATGTTTCCCCGAGCATCGACTTCCTTGTTTACTTCGGGACATTGGTCAATCAGCAAGATGCAAAGCGTGACGTGTTTCGCATCCGCTCAGACACTTTTCTCGCTCAGACTGATTTTCAGGCGTCGTCGTAAACATTACCTCGTTTTCGCGTTTTTGAAATCTATTCGTTAATTTTTAGTTCTGTTTCGGATATTTAAATGTAAATCGAATAATTCAATGATCACTTTGTCTTCTTAGAAGTTTCAGTTTAACTGCAGTAATAAAAAATTAGTGTAGAAATAGCTGCAATAGACTAGGCTAAAATTCTTCACCGGTACTTTTACAAAACAGATTGTTGAATGCTATGAATCAGAATAATGGTTTGAAGCAAAATACCCCATTTTATAGGCGCCAACTCGCAAAACCACTCTTTAAATAAGCAACGAAAATTTTGCGATGGTAAAGTATAGGAAGTAATTTACGGGGGTCAAAGGTCGGGGAAAGGTCCATAAATCGCCTTATTCAGTCACAATCATGTCGCTTCTACTTGACGGCATCCGGAGCCATAAAGTTGGTCGCGTGGTAAGTCGCGCCTATTAGTCGTCGTTTTTACACATTCCAAAAAAAGGGGGGGGGGGGGGGGGGGGGGCGACGGGGGGGGGGGAGGGGGTCGACGCCCCTGCCTGCTGCACACTAACACAAATGTATTTCTGTAACGTTATGTCTGACCAAAATCAGACAGCATAAAAAGTTGCATTTATTTTATGAAAGCTATCAAACGTATTTATTTTTAAGCAATGAGGTCACAAATTAACATCGTGAGCATAAAAACACAAATAAATCAGTTATTTCTCACTTAAAAATTTACTGTAAAAGTCAAGAAAATTTAACGATTACAGTATCTTTATAACACAGTGAACGAAAATATTACAATTAGTCCAATTTCAGTTTATGTGGTTGTGTATTTGAAACAAAGGCAATAATATTTATAAAAACAGGACTTTCGACCCTAACAGATGTCTGAAAATAAAAACTTATAGATAATATTTATTGAATTAACTTTGATATCTAATTCATTTTCCCATGAATTTCTTTCGAAATACTCATTCTCGAAAGTCGACTTTTTCTTTATAAGTGTATTGTGGTTTTTTGCAGTCGACACAAAAACAAAATTCTGTGCAATTTAGGTTGTTTTTGGCACACATACATAAACTATTTCGACACCTTTTTTTCTTACACTTGCAGTTTGTCAATCCAAGAACTGATTTGGGTTCTGGAAGTGCATCCATCAATTTAACCCGCCAAACACCATCATCGAAAAACCCATTCATGGCCAATAGGTGGGCGATTAATTGGCTTTGGTTCTAGGCAACAGTGATGAATTCCTGCCTGGTAATTTGCCCTCAGAACATGTTTCTTTTGTGAATCATTGTTGGATGGATGAGTATAATTCACATGTTTGCCAGTTTTGAAAGACATGCCCTGGTATCATTTACATTCTGCATATCTTCTCCATATAGTGATAGAATAAATTTCTCAGCACTATTTATTATTGCCTCGTTAACCTCAAAAGATCTCCATAGTTGAGAAAAAACTCGATGAATTTCAAGTCCTCCAACATCAGTTTGATGGGCAGTTTCAAGTGCAGAAGAATGCCCAGTATTACAATATGATTAGCCCATCTAAGCAGTTTGCAACTGTTATGATTCACATATCTTCACGCTTTTCTTCGAGACTTCTTCTTCGTTCCATTTTATTTTTACAAGTATAGCGCTGATAGCAGAAGCGACGATAGCCTACGTTAAGTTGGATTGGTAGAATATTGCCGTTCTCTTTTGTAGTACAGTATCTAAAATAAGGAAGAAAATCATATTTGAAACAACATGAGTGTTAATCGACGGATAAAAATACCATTAAATACTGACTAATACTTTTTATACATAATGCATTTTATCCGATGTATTACAGTACTGCAGTGTTTGCATACTAGACTATATCTACACTGATTTCGATAAATCACACAGTCTGAAATGCCATGTATATTTCAAAACATCAAATGTCGGCCTACAACTTGATGCATAATTTCTCACCTTTCAGTCACTTCATTTCTTTTAACTCCTGTATGACTTATCATTGCTGCCCAGGTTCTTGACTACTTTATGAATTTAAATTAGACAAACTGACTTGGTGTCTTTCCCCTCTTTCTCACAAACGTGCATTACACAAACGGTCATTATTTTCTAAATCAAATATGTTGTAGTCTATATAGTTATAGTAGTATAAGTCTGTTGAATAGTCAAGAATCATCAATAAATTAATCATAAACCTTTCATACAAGCATGAAAATACCGCATCGTTGTTTGGAGCATATATTTCTACTGTTCTGGGTCTAGTCTTTCTTGAAGTTACCGCGCCGTACCTATTTAACAACGTTTTATGAGCTAGTGCTCAACTGAAATTGCTATCCATGGTAAGGATCTACAAGTGTTTAATAGTTACTTATACTTTTTAACATCGTCTTAGCATAACTTGACTAATATTAACTAAAAAAAACACGATGGAAAAGCTACCCCACTCAACGCGAGATCGAGCAGTAATAACTGAGATTCATCCACCCGCCAACAGCTGATCAAACATTAATTGTTACGCTATGCAAAAGTTTCCGTTCATTGGCCAATGTTGCCGAAAAAGCGAGAATATAGGACAGAGGGTAGCACATATATCTTGTAGTAAAAGCGCCATTTTCGTAAAACGTGCAACTTTTGGAATTGGGAACGAGGTATTATTATTCGTTACTGAATTTCTAAGTAACGTTTTAAAATTATTTCAAAGTAGTTGAAATTGAAGTTAGTGCTGAAATTTCTAATTGCCCGTAACAGCTAGCGTTTTTTTCATTGGACACGCCAGTGGACATAACGATCGTTTTGCATTTTATGCTGGCGCTCTTCTTGTTCTTTGACACGATTTTAAAAAGTCGCTTTTCTCTTTGATTACTGGACCAATCTCTTTAAAATTTTCAGTGCCTGAAGATTAAATTTTTCGCTAGAAGGGTATTACTTTTATTAATTTCAAATATTCCGGTGAGCTGAATGGGATTCGTTTTTTTGTGTGTGCTACGACTTCATCCGAATTCAGCACTAGGTGGCGATATATTTGAGCATAGCGCTCTTGTTTTACATTTCAAAAGGAAATCCAACCCGCAACCCTCCTCCCTGGGAACGCACTTGGTTGCAAATATTGCCTCATCTTCGTGGTTTTGCGTGCTATTTGTCAGCTTTCAGTCATGTTTACATAAATTATTTGTAAATGAAATCATTTAATTCCCATTATGTCTTGTGAAGAGTTTCAGTTTACTTACAATAATAGAAAATAGAAATATTAACAGATAGACTAGTTTCTAATGCCAAATGCGCCCCACAAACAAATCCTTAAAGTTGGTGGTCCTCGAACAAAGCATGAAAAATGAACTTGCTCATAATTTATTATCCGCGCATGAATTTTTATCACAACAATGGCTGCTTTTGTTTTGAAATAAGTAGCGTATAATCTGGATAACAAAGGGAAGTTGGCGACGGGACACTCAGATAGTGATTATTAGATTTAGGCAAAGAAATGATTCAAATGTATTTATTAATTGCCTGTAGTGTAGTATGAAGTGGTTAGTGGCAACTGGGTTTTGAAGATTAGGGCAACTCAGCGAGCGATTTCGTGTCCACATATCTGATCATTTGCCTCTCGTTTTAATTTGAGATAACTTTGCCGTGTAGAATTGCCATTTAAGCAAAACGATGTAAATACAGAACTATTATTTGATGACACATATCATAATATAATTACTGTTGTGCATTCACTCTGGTATGGATGAACTAAAAGTTTCACATGTCGCTTCAACAACGGCTAGGTGACAATATGGTTCGGTTTATGGATGTCTTTCAAACATATGTTTAAATATATATATATATATCGTTTGGAAGATTCAATTTTTCCTTTCAGGATATCCGTCCAACACCTTTTTTAATACTTCAGAAGTATCAATTCATATTCCATTTCTTACATTCATCACATTCACAGTAGAATCTTTCTTACTCAGGAATTATCCAACTTACTCCGAATAAGGTAATTTATTCCATTCTGTTCACCGCTGCAAATAGAGGACAATAAGAAAGAATGTAATACCTTGTTCGTTCTCATATAGAGCATAATCTTTCACACCGAGTTGCTGTAAACCTATCGAAGTTTTGTTCACCCAATCCATTATTATAATTCAGAATTCTACAACCACGATTCATCGTGAGTGGCCCGGGCATATCACACACAAAAATCAACGTAAAAAATGAGTTTTCAATCAGAACACTATATGATTGCCCGCCATTCACCGTCGATGTCGAAGATGATAATGGTGAAATATGGCGAGAGACGAGCAACAATGCTAAACTGAGTTCAAGTCACGTAGGTTGATTTTCTTTCTTTTGAATGGTGTATGAATGGAATGGAATGAATAAACTAATTTACTAGTAGAACGAATTTTTGGATGACTTCACAGACTTACCATTAAATTTTATTTTGTAGACATCAGCGGCATATGTGAACGTTAACGTGTTTTCATTTTTTTGGAATCTTCTCCAATATAAAGTATTCGATTGGCATATGTACGTTGTAATAGTTTGAAGAAATCCCAAACGACTTATATTAATGAGCTAAATTGATTAATGGATTTATGCGCTGAAGGCTAATTAAGGAAGGAAGCCCAAATTGCCATTCGGGCGAGTTTTTTTTTGCTATATTTCGTTTCTATATATTACTCTTACATTATATTTCCTTGTGTGGAACCCGTCTGTGGTGCTGTACTAGTAATTCCTCATGCTTAATCTATTCCAGTGGTTCCCAAACCGCGGCCCGATTTAATATGGCCCGCCGAATTAAAGCGAAATAGTTTACCACTTTATGTTTTTACCCTTTTGCGTTCTAGATACCACAAATTGTCTCGTCATTATCACTGTTTAAGCACGCGTATATTAGTACTATTTCGATTATACCGGTATCTTAGTTATACATACCGGTACCAGAAATGCCATATTGGCTTTTTTAACGCCAAATTTCCCAATTTTGGCTTTTTTGAAACACGTTTGGCGTCAGAATTTTCGTTTGACTTTTGAACTTTTTCAAGGCCTTTTGATGTCCATTCTAGTGTCTATTATTAAAATTACATAAAATACAATACTTAGTGTGTAACAATGGCATATTGCTCAGCTACCAAACATTTTGCTTTTCCCGAGCATATATTTCCTTGTTTATTACCTTAAGCATAATCAGAAATAAAAGATAAATAAACAATGACGTAACAATTGAAGTCGCCCAGACAGATGTTCAATCAGGCCTCGTTTTCATAGTTTTGCGTGTCATTTGTCAGTTTTTAGTTCTGTTTCCAAAAAATAGTTGTTTGACTTAATTGTCGTTATGCCCGCCGAGTAGCTTTAGTTTGGTTGCAGTAATCAAAATTGAGTCTCGCGAACGATGGGATTAACTATAGGCTAAAATTAGCTATCAGTAGACTGTAAGCGGCATACACGTGGTTGGATAATTTTGGTGAAAATGATGGTTTCAAACATGTAAACAGGTTTATAATCGCGAACACTCCAAAATAAGCATAAAATTATTTTCAATAGTGAAGTATAGGGACAATTTTCGGCGAATTATGTGTACCAATATGGAGGTAACTAATTTTGTTGGCCTACTTTACATGAAGTTGTGTAAAGGGACTGAAGCCTATAGGCAGGGGTCACTTGGCTAACATAGACAGCCTTCGTTTGCCGCATTCGTTTCAACATACTGTAAAGTTCAATTTTATATCATATTTATTAAAGTGCAATGTAAATAGCTGTAGCGTGCACCAGACGTTTTTACTCGCCGCGTCTAGACGGCATGATAACGCGACAATTTGGAAATCAGTCGGAAGCGAATATGACGTATGATATGCAATAATTTGCGCCGAACTGTTGATGTTGTCGATGGTGGCATATTCATCGAAGTTATGGGTTCATTTTCATTTTTTTGCTAAGAATGCAAAGCGTGATAGCAGCTCGAACTATTGTAGTTTACAAGTAGCGTCAGTATTTAAAGCTTGCAACGTAACGCTATTTACACAACAGAAAAAGTCAGATGATGAACAATTGCATAGCGTTAGTAATGAATTACCGGTATTTATGTTATTTTATACATGAGGGAGCGTCACGATTGAATAGTTAGTTACTGATACATGATTCCTAATTGTATTAGCGAATATTTTGATTATAAAAACAAATTCTGAAAAGTTAGATTAATAGAAGTGAAGGACAAAACAAATGTTTATTTCGTACGCAGTAGATAAATCCAACCTAGTCTTTTTACGGCGACGGATCTCATTTTTCGAATTTGCAGAATAGGTAGTAGGTATTCAGAGTGTCAGTAGCCATATACTTAGAAGGACATTAAAATTGTAAATTTGACCATTTATCCATGTTTAATCCTGATTTTAATAAGCAATATTTTCCTTGGTCGAAGTTTCTCAAGCTGGGCCCTCGATTGGCGTGAAAAGGAGTTCCATAGGCCGGAAAGTGTAGCTCAAGTGGTAAATCGAAGGGTCACTGTACATTTGAACTCACGTACATTTGAACCCATGTGCATATCCGCGGGTTCAATCTATATGCGGCTGCTAAAACCCATGGGTTAGGATTAGTATGGGTTCAAATATCCGCGAAACAAAAAAATTTCCATAGGTGCAATAGCATACAGGTGCAATTTTCGTGGGTTCAAATGTACGTGGGTTTAAATGTACGAGGAGCAAATCTAAGCAGTCTAATTTGTTTAATTCAATGGAGCATAAAATATTGTAGCTTTTACAGTTACAAGTACCAATTGTAGGTATGAATATGATATTAAATAAATACGTCAATAATAAAACTCATACAATTAATAAAACAAAATACAAAAAAAAGGTAACATGTTTGTTCCTAGTCCAAACTTCTCAGGCACACGCCTATTCTGTTGTCTCGTCTATCCTGCATTATTAATATAATACGAAAAGTAGTCTTTTGCAATACGCCTACAAAACTGATGAGCTGAAAATTTGTTAATAGTCCAAGTGTTTTTTTAACGTTGAATGCATGTGCGTTGGATGAATAAAGCAAATTCTGAAACAAATCTTATCAGTCATGTTCAATTTCTGTTATTCACCGCCAAGTATAGGACATTGATGTGTTGATTGATATATGACCCAAACTCCATGGTAATTAGTAGTTCATATGCTGTCATACTCTTATTAGAAACCTTTCCCAATTAAAATAAAACAATGCAAATTACGGAAAGATTTGACAATTACCAATCAATCAAGTAATCAATACTTAGGCTTAACTAGAATTCACTGTGTAATGTGTTATACGCGACCAACTCGATGGCTATTTTTAAATATATCTAGATGGAAGTAGATTTTGGAATACAAATTTTGAATGTAGTGCTTTCAAATCGCGTTTAACAATATCGATCATACATTTAGACCAGAAAATAGAAGGATATTATTTGTGTTTTTTGGTATGACTTTCAAGTTTTTAAAGCGACCATAATTTGCTGAAGTAAATCTAATTTTGTAATCGAGTCGTCTGTATCAAATATTGTGATTGAGTGCCTAATTATATATATATTTTACTTCTTATTTTCGTGCTTCAAAACATTGAAGCATATGCGCGTTGCCTTGGGCAATAACCAACTATAAAATTATAAGACAAACAGAAGCAGGAATAAATATTCCTATGAAATTTCTGGCAAAAAGTGAGATCACAATCAGGAAAATTTCATCATAAAAGTGTATTTGATTTCAACGCGATATAATGGGCGAGGAAACCTGGTTGTTGGCGTGCTGACTAGAAAGTATATTTTAAAATGACGAGTCTTGTTAAAAACAATGATCTTCATTTCCTAACACGTTTGTATCGAATTTATGAAGTTCATAATTTTGCGTAAAGCAGATATAGCCGATGAGTAAAGAGTTGCGATTTTTGTCGATATCCAGCATTGAGTGTATTTTGATAGCGTGTACTGCAGTGGGAGAAGCGTTGGCCCTCTCGCATCGGGTTTCTTGTTTACACATGAAAGGAAAGGCTCTAATGGAATTATGTATTTTAGGGTGATCTGGCAACACCGCGACCATCGAGGCGGTAATTACAATGGTCGAATAAACAGTGGACATATGCCACTTATGTCTTTGGATTATCTGGCATCTGGGAAAATTGTAAATAAAAATTAATAAAAATACAGGGTTTTCAAAATATATCTATTTTGCGGGATTATTTAGCGTGGAGGCACGCTTCCCGTATATTCTAAGCTTGATACTTTCTTAACTATGGAACTAAGCGAATTGAGAGTTGTTATTATTTTTTTTCATTTGCTAAAAGTGTGCTGCTGCCCTTGCTTTCATTCGATTCCAAAGTCGATTAGATTTTACCACGATCTTGTCACGTAACAGTTTTTGTTTGATAATTGAATTCAGTTGATAATTCAATTACTGCAATATGACATGAACATCTGGTCTCCCATTTAGTTGTCGATTTACACTGCAAATTTGAGTTTAACAACTTCCAACTCAGTGATATATTGATTAAGTTAGTATAACGACGAAAGCATCCAAGAAACATTAAACAGAATAAATGTATGAGGACATTCTGTCAGAACTATAAAAAAAATAATGGGATTAAGTTAATTCTTACAGCAGCGCGTATCGCAAGAAAATTCTACGTGTTATCACAGATATATCCTCAGACGTATTTAATGTCAGTGGGAACAGAGTCAAGTCCCCAGTGCAGGCGTTTTTAATGCTATTCTATGACGCTTTGCCACATTTCAAGCTTATAACATTTATTGCAGAACAGAGAAAGTAGCGAACCCAAAATGTTGCAATGTGCCAAGTGGTTAACCGCAACATTTGGCCATATCGTTTGTAAATCTCTGCAAAATAGGTTATAATTGTTATACACTACTGGTTACAATAACCTAACATAGCCAACATTTTCGTCATCAGATATCTGTCGGATATCACGTCTATTAGACTTAAAATAAATGTTTCATTGCGATATAATAGCGAGACCCGAAGATATATATCAAGCGGAACGCATGAATTTTTCATCGACACCTACTGCGCACTGTTTTAGTTTGTTTTTATTTAGATGAAATTAAGACTAGACCATGTAATTGTAAGCGTTTAATTGGAAACATTGGGAGTAAAAGATATTTACTTAGTAAATTTAGAAGTAGAATTCGGTACTATTTTGGTATTATTTGTATGAATTTTGTAACTTTGATAATAAGTGGCAAGTCAATTTACATTAATATCAAGTTAGAATATTCCAGTTATCAATGATGAATTGTTGTTAGTGTGAGACATTCCCTGAGTTAAAAAGTTCGTTCTATTTCATAAAATGTGTATGATGTAGATATATATATATATATATATATGTTGAAATGAAAACTCATTAAATCTAGAAATTCTTATCAAGCTTTTTGACATGATTGCGATTCCAAAACTAGCCACGGTTTTCACACTGGGAGGTACAATGTTTTGATATGTATACATGTAAACATATTCCGTGGTTATGCAATATACTTCGCGTTAGACTCCCTTTATACAATACACACTGAGTTGGCGATCTTGAAAATAACGGTCATCCTACCTATTGCTGGTTTTTAAGGAAATCAGTTTTCAAGTTTTGGTTTGTAATTTACGTTTCAAAAAATACACTTTTTCTCGCGTGATTCTTATGCTTGGCGTGAACTGTATGATAAAATTGAACATTGTGGTGGTACCGCATTACCATTATTCAATTTATTGACTCGTCTGCGAATACAGTTAGCTTATCAATACAGTATAATGATATCATTATCAGACGGCATACGTTCTATACCGAAATCTTCGAGTTTGAAGGCTTAAATGTAGTGCGGAATGCAAATGGATTGTTTGTTTGACTATTTGTTTGAATGCTATTTAGATTAATATTTATTAAAACATTTCAGTTTTGTATAAGTGCAATTTCCTGAGCCTTCACGATGTATAAGTAGGTACAGTTTGGCCCTAAAAACAGAACCCATAAATTTCTTATTTAATTCTGCAAGAATGACCGAATTTTTCGACACTTGAATTTCTGTTTGTGCATGATTGTACTCAAAAGTTCAAGATTACCAATTTTAGGCTGAAGAACAATTGAATTTATCTCAAAGAATTTTTTCGAGAGATTATGATGTGACAATCCAAGAATTACAATTATACTTGAATTGGAATATTCTTCAGTCCAAACGATCTATATAAACCTGATTGAAGTCGTTGCACTTTACGATATCAGCTAGCAGGTCACGTTCAGTTAGATAACACATGTAACGATTCTGAAGTATATGTCTATTGTCGGCATTACTTTGTACGAATAATTTCGTTTACATATTTGTTTAATGAACTAATATCCGTGGTTAGATTTTAGACGTCTTTATTCAGATAATTAAAATTCTCTTTCCAACTGCTTTAGATCAATATCTAGTTTCTAGAAACTACACTAAAATATTTTAATGACCTCCTTAAATTTTTACACTTGTAGGATGATGAATACCAAACGGCTGTATATCCTGGTTTGCTAGACAACCAAACCCCTGTTGAAATAATCAAAGTATCTAGATTTCTGTATAGAGTGTTTTATATCGTCCACACAAAAGGAATATGCAAAGTGTCGATTAGACCCGGTGAGTTGTGCGTTTTACATATTTATCTCAGAGGAGATTTTCGGATTAGGATTAAAGAGATCTTTTTTCACGAATATTTAGGGTGATTTTAACAAGTGGTAAATTACTACCATGAATCTTCTTACAGTTTTTTGTGTTTCAAAAGTAAATGACAATCTAGTAGACGTCATGAAGTAATATGGAAAGTTTGTATATATACCAGTAGTGAATCGTTTATTCGCAGTGACAAAAGTGTAGATGTCATTAAACAATTGTATCAACTTTCTAGAATTAAATAAATCATCGACTAAGTTGCTTTTATGTAATTTTATTTTCGTTGGATAGCCGGAATACATGATTCTAACGTCCCGAAATATTTTAGTCAACTTTACCCGCCAATGCTCCACCAAAGCGTATTTGACCAAACGAGTTCTCACTTTTTACTTCAATTTTCATCTTACCATTCAAACCTTTGTAAGTCGCTTGAGTAGTTGAAAGCGTATATCAATGAAAAATTGATTAGGACCATTACCGATGCCAAGAAGTCACGTACATGGGCATGTTCACCAGAGCGTAGCATTCGGATAGTTTTTATTCACGCACATTTCCAATATTTGCGCGAGAATCTGGATAATTGTCAATTGAGCCTATTTGTTAAATATATTATATTTATAAAAACACAATTCAATTTTTAAGCACTATTTAATATATATGTATATATATATTTATTTATCATAATATTTAATATTTACAAAATTCAATTTTCCATATGTGAAATTTTGCAGGCATCAACAGAGGCGGTCAGATATACGGCAGTCCGTTTAAAGTGAATGTGGCTTCTGGTACATATAGAAAACAGCATAAACTCGAAAAAAGTCACTCTGAACCGAGACCTTTTGTATTGACTCCGCACATTAGGAAGCATTCAATTGTAGAAAACAAAGGTCGAAGCAGGCGAGAGAGTATGCCTGATCAACCAAAAGAAAACGTCAAGACGTTTACCATGCCCAACTCGAATGGAAACGTAATACACGAAGATGATGAACTGCTAGATTTAGAAGAGAAAAACGACGTAGTTACACCAATAGAAAATCAAACTATAAATACCGTTCCGGAACCACGCATTGGAATTCGTAAAATGACTGCTCAGATTATACGCAATATTGGCTCTGGAATAAGCATCGTCTCGAGTCGAGTATTTTCTACTATGAGCAGGCGTGGCCATGGGTCCAGCGTATCACGAGTACCAACTGCAAAACGTCGTACTCACGCAAGCGTCTACGTTGGTACGAATATGAACGGCGTGGGTGGCGCAGCAAACGAACTCAGTGTCCCTTCGTCTCGTAATTTTAAAATACGGAGGGTCACTATACATAGGTACCTAAATAAACCAATGCCGAGTTTAGAAGAGTACTTTTTTGGAAGTACAGGAATCATTTTTGACAATGATGAGAGTAGCGGTCCCCGAGATGCGGGAAAGCGATGGGGTAATATATCGTCACTACTACGCGCCAAGATGCGCATGACCACCAGTAGTAGTCGGTACGTGAAAGAAGAAACGAAACATCTTAGCGACAAGACCAAAGAGTGGGAAGTGTCTCCTGATGCACGAAAACGTAGAGCAAGATTGCGACGTTCAGAAAATGTTTATCAAAAACCAAAATTACGGAGCAGGCACAGCAGTGATGATTTGTTCTGGCGTAGAAGCACGATCGATGATTCTTCATCGTCATCAGAAAGTTATGACGTATTTGATGACGTCATCGCCGAAGAACCAGCGAGTTTTACAAGAACACTACATGCAGCGCAGGAAATAAATGAAGTAGGTTCATTAAAACTAATCAAGTTAATAATTACTAAATGACGCCGAAGTTTGTCATATAACGATTATGCTTTATTGTCAGATTTCGCCAATTCATTATTCCATTTTTGAAATTGGCATATATCTATATTAGGGTGTAGGGTCACCATATTTGAAAAAGAAAAGTTCCGGACATAATTGTTTATTTTCATGACCTCGTAGTAACAAAATATGCGCACGGTACGAAATAACAATGCAATGTGCACAATGCGATTGCAGATGCAGTAAAATTCCGGATTCCGGACATTTAAGCATTTTTTAAATTCTTCCCGGACGCAAAATTTACCCTAAATACCGGACATGTCCGGACGGTATGGCAACCCTAATCTATACACATTGAAGAATATTATCAGAAATGAGGCTAACTAATTTATAAGTGTTACATATATATATATATATGAAGTCATTCATCAAATAACGTCGATTTTAAAATAATTTTCACTCAATGTTGAAACCTCCCGGTGAATAAATTGGAGGGTGGATCGACTTGATTCCAAAACTTGACGCTTTGATGACAATATTGGGCGCTCCCGAAGTATGTGCACTGAGATGGCGCACAACCTGAACCCTAACCTGGTACACATACTGTCTTCAGGTTGTGCTCATCTTTGTGCACATACTTCTAGAGGTCCCAATTTTCAGTTTGAGCTAAAGTCGGGTGTACATGCTATATATATATAGGGGCCCTGTGTTCAATTTATGATGTTGATTGATTGATACAATACCGAATACTAAATATATATATACTAAATTAAATCAAGGTTATATATATATATTCTGTTATGAACAAAACATGTATTTTTAGGCAATGAACATCGAAAATACTGTTCGACCAAAGAAAGAATCTTCTAGAAATGGTGTAAGATTTCAACATATATTTAGCGAAGAAGACGGGGCAGCGGATCTATTTCTTCAAAATACGCCTTCACATAAACAGGAAGATCGGACTCGATCATCTTTGAGGCGGAAGATAGCAGAGACGCCTAAACCAACTCCGAATATTAGTCGGAATTCTTCCACAAACAGCACCGATTCACCTCGAGCAACGAGGCGCACTGGTTACGCCAATTTTCAGATGACAAATGCAGATGCAACTGAACAGATTAAAACTAATAATAAAACGGATTTGTATGCGAAGCCAACGATTCTGACTTTCGCTAATGAAGCTGCTGATAAATTAATAGAAATGGCGAAAAAGGAGGTTGTAGTATCGACACCAAAAACTTCGTCGTAGCAAAGAAACCGCCATGTGGACTCACTATTTAGCGCCAGATGTTGATTATTCATTTAGCATCCACTAAACCACACCAACCAGACAGGCCATTGCTAAAACGACATGTGTCATATACAAGAACACTTATGCGAGTTTTCTGGTATCTGAGTCATTATTTATTAATTATTCTGGGACAAAACTATCGATTTACCGTAATTACAACATGATGGTTTAGCACTGAGGGGATGCGCGAAGTTGCGTAAACTTCTTTTTCTTACTTTGTTCAGTACAACAGACGTGAACCCTTTGCGCCAAATGAGTAATCTTTCGTAACAACGCTGCCTGCAGCTTGAAAATGTTACGAATTGGGTCATAGAGTGGAAGTTGGGCCACTTTAATGTTAAATTTATATGAAGCACTATTACTAAATAAAAATATTTTTGTTGAGAGAGATTAATTTTAAAACGCAAAACTGTTTCAAGATTCTGGCAAGGATTATTTCATTATTCCACTGTAGATCTAATATGCGTCCATAACTGTGTGCCGTTACTGCTAAAAGAGTAATATAAAAAGCAATTGGACATTTACAAGATCCTCGGACCTGTAATTTTGGTGTTTATTCTTTGGATCTGTATCATTATGCCGCACACTCATGGTAGACCTAATTACTGGAGTCGTCCGTATACCTGCTCTAAATCAAAACCTTGATGTGAATTTTTTTTTCTTCTATTTCTAGTATGAAAAATGTTACCTGGTGATTTCTTCAGCCATTTTAAATATTTTGTTTAAACTTTTATGTTAATAAAACTTTATTTATAGCAGTATTTTCAAATCATTGATTTATCCATTTCTTATTTACTAATGTAATAAAGATATTTCCCCGTTGTTTGTTTGCTTTTAAGTTACATATTATGGGTGAGAATAATAAGATTCGAAATTTGTACATATTGGACAACAACAGAGTGTAAGCATTTAATAATTCATCAAGATAAAGTCGTTTTGCTCTGTACTATGTTTAATATAGACAAGTAAAAGAAACTGCGTCTACTTTTATAACAACCTTGAAAATTTATTGCCATTAAAGTTGACCAAAATTTTCCAATAATGAAAGAGTCATTTGGTGGCAAACTAAAGTCAATGTACATATCAACCTTAAATAATACATGGAACAAATCTTATTTCAAAACTTCAGGAACTGTATTTATTCACAGATGATACGAAAATTTAATTCACTGAAATCTGAAAGCATGCATACACATGGCAGCAACAACAACCACAAAATGTTTCAAAAATGGTTCAAGCGGTGTTAGATTTGATGAAAACATATTTCCCAATTAAGACGATGCATATTCATTCGAATCCCCTGCAAAATTATAATTCCTGATTAAAATTAGGGAACAAAAATGCAACAATCTATTTGTTTACTGATTTGTACCGCATGAGTTACTTTATTTTATATCAAAGCTTCAACTAAACAGGAAAGTGCTTCATAAAAAAAAATTGTGAATTCCTTGTTAGAATATGACAGCAACAAACTGCTGCAATACAATTGCATACTGGACAATCCTCAATAATAACACACCATAACCGGGACGAAATGGACAAAATATGTTGGCAGATACTTTTGAATAATTCCATATCGAGGTTTCGACATCCAATTTACATTACTCACCTGACATAATGAGCAACATCCCAATTAGTGTCAGCAGCTTTTGGATTTTCTATTGTAACTCCTTGTGCTCTGACAGTAGAGATTTCATACTGTAATCCAAACAGAAAAATATGATACCTTACAAAGCATAAATACATAACATGACTTCGGTGATGTTTAAATGCCATAAATCTCTTAAACATATATATGCATAGGAAAACATTACAGGGTAAATAAAAACTGTAAATTAAGTCATTGCATTCACCATCTCATTGGAGATCTTATACTAAATCACATTTAATCAGGAGCATCAAAGTCGTTTATAATTTAAAAAAACCTGCCACACAGACACATTCACCCAAATTTAATCAAAGTATTCACACAAAATTTTCATACCCGATTATAAGATCTGGCATCTCTGTAATAAAGAACTTTCAAACAATCTTCGATAACTTTTCTGGCTTTTTCTTCAGTAAAAGGTCCACGATTTTCCTCAAGAGCTTTCCTCATGAGAGGCTAAGAATATCAATCAACCATCACACAATTATAAACAACAGAGATGGATTATAGTACCATTACAAAGCATCAAGTACCTAATTCAATAATAGACTTAATTTGTCGCTTCATGAATTCAATTTCCTAAAGAATCCCTCGTTTATAATTATTAGATCAGGAACTTACTCAATATTTACCTGTGCAAGATATGATCCAAACCCAGTAGCAATTGATTCCGATTCAAATGCTGTTCCTATTTTATCAACACATCCCAAGAAACTAAAAATACAGTTATTAATACCAAATAATACCATAGTAATATTTTGAATAGAGATACATTTCATGGAAACGCCTAATAAATCGGTACCAACTTGATAACTTGACTACAATGGTCCTACTACATGCATTTAAGTAACAAAATTGCCTTTTTTCATAAAATTGATAAACTATTTCGCCGCTGAAAATTAAAAATTTCATGAATCATGAAAAAAGTGTGATTGTACAATATTCAACTACTTGAATGTAGAAACTTCTACATTGTTACACTTACACCTCTCATAAATAGATTCCAATGCCATCAATCATATATAGTACACAGTGCAAACCATACCAACATTGTATTTTGATTGTCAAGACCCAGCAAACTGCAGTTGTAAGTAATGTTGAAATGGCTGTTTTTCTGATCATATTGACATGAACTGTATCTTGTTTTACTAAAGCGCAATTGTACACCTATACTCCTTATAGTGTCAGTAGCTCTTGGCCTTTAGTGATCCCATACGCTCTAACTTTGCTGAGGAAACAATCTCTAATTTCTGAGCTCGGTTTGTGTGACCTTGCTTCAAGCAAACTTTCTATAAATTCACATAAAAACTAATAAATCTCAACTTATGAATGAAAAAAGCAAGAATCAAAACACAATTATATTTAAGACTTTCCCACCATTCCAAACTAACCTCTGTGTGTCATGATATCCTGCAACTACCATTGTGTTCCATAATGGATTAAATTTACTCCTTCTGTTATATAAGACTCTTGTCATCCAGGAAAAAACACATGGTGCTGTCATGCATAACCCATCATCTAATGACTCTTCATCAATCCTAAAAACAAATAGCCTGGATAAAAATATTTCAGTAAACAAAGGAATGTTGAGGCTCTAGATTTGAAGGTTTCAATAAAACTATATATATATTCAGTGCCACAATTCAATTGTTTAAATGTAAGAACTGCAGATTGAAGATCTGTTTAAAACTTGCCTACTACCTCTACAATGTAATAATAGAAATTTTCTAGTTCTTCTAAAAATATAGTAGCATCATACTTCAGCATTCATACAATGTTTGCTTGTTTACAGTCGTGTTCAGTAAAAAAAAACAATACAAAATAGCAGATTTATTCAAATTGTGATTAGACAAATTTGGTGAAATTTTAGACTGCTGTTTTTATACTTTATTTACTATGAATTATGATATCAGAAGAATTATCCTTTGCAATGTCAAATGTTTCACATTGCATATAGACCAACTATTCAAATGATTTTTGCATAAACTGATTATTAAATCACATCTTTGTAAACCAAGGGTGTTTGCAACATTTCCCATTCATCAAATCAAAAAAAGGAAATTTACATTACGGTACATAAAGACATATATCAAAAACCAGTCAAGTAATAAAAATTCTATTGCAGTAATACTGGCAGAATTGACAGAATAACACAAAACTAACACTAATAGCTTGTGTAGCTAGTGGCTTAGTTCTAATTGCTCGTCATCAATAGCCTTCAAAAGGACCAAAGTTCAGACAACAAAATCGCTGAAATGAAAAGTTGCTCTGATCTTGCGAAAAAAAAACAAATAATTTTTAACTAAAAAATCTCATAAATATGTGGAAGGAAAACTTACACCATCTGATCAAGGACAGATTTAACATATTGGTAATCAGCATAATCTCCTGATGCTGCAAGCACAGTGGTGTCATTGACTTTCATGATTCTGGATAAATTACGGAATCGTGCGAGAGATCCGTATGACCCAAGAGTATCAGCGGCAATCATTACTCCACCCTCAAATTTCATTCCAAGAACAGACGTTCCAGTCACTATTGGTTGCCTGAAAATTTTTTTTATGTTAAAATTAAACTGGTTTGGATAGTTACTAACAGGGAATTGGAATTGCAACTACAAAAGCAATGTAAATGCACTTCAATTTAGTTTTGGGGTCAAATAAAAATTTAGTAATCGGTTTTATTCATACTAAAATTTACACAATTTATATTGGCCACTCAATTGCTAATACTGTAAAAATAAACATTCATGTAAAAAAGAGGAATTTTATCTAACTAAGCATGGTCACAAATAAACACTTATGGGTTGAAAAATATTATGTGAAGAAGAAAGCCTGAAAAATTGCAAATAACCAGTCATATCTGCATATCGGCAGAGGTCTGATGGTCAGAAGGTTGAGGCATTAAATGTTTGACTAATGAATGTTAATTTCCGAAGGTATATGTATACGAAGGCATAAATGTGTCAGAGACCATAGTTCTGTAGTTACCGAAGTGCAGCAGTACGGGTACGGTACCGGTTGATATGAAAATTGAAGCTTAAAATTGCATTGAAAGTACTGAAATAATATTATAGCATTATCTAAGAGTTTTATGGTATACAGGTAAGAAATATTGTTTAGCTCACATTGTTCGTTTGGTGGCTTCATTATTACTTGTGCTTGAAACTTGTCCTCCAGGAAAGTTATAGAATGATCCTGGTGATGGTCCACCTCTCCAAAATGGTCCCATAAGATTATCCATCACAAAACTTTGAGCGTTGGCGTTAAATATTTGATCTGCTCCTTCTATATTAATAGTCAAAGTCAGGCGTATAAATGTCAAAATTATATACAATAAATGCCTATTTGAAAGACGGTACCGACCGTATTGGTATGCGTATGTACGGTATCTCTTTGTGGATAAGCAACTATCGTTAAATATAATTCACTGTCCAAATAAATCCCGTCTGATCGGTATCGCTGATTCATTAAATCATGAATAAGCATTATCTGGAGTCGATATATTTCCAGTTCAGTGATAATATTATTGTTTTATGCGATTAATTTTTTGTTTTAACAAATATGCAACGCAATTGCTGAGTAAGCTTATTTCAATGCAAATGAGATTAAATTATTAAATAATAGGCATGACAGAATACTTTCTGTAAAATTCGTTTTAATCGAGCCTTGATGGCGTGCAGCCCCCTCTATCGGAGAAAAAGAAATTTCCTTCGCAAATTAACGGTTGCTATGGCGAGTTTTGTATACCATTAGAACCAATACCACTTACCAATATACTGCAATTTTCCGATTTCTAGTCAGTCAGTCAGTAGTCATTAGTTTATTTTTTCACATGCCGAAAGTAACTACACATTGTACAAACATAATTAGGAGAGATATAAAAAATACATTCCAGATGATTGATTGATTGATTAAAGGTAGACGCGATACCGGTAACCAGTGATGATTATCGAGCGGCGTCACCTATGACTGTACGACAGGGCGTGAGTCTAACATTAAATCATACTAAGGAAAAAAGTCAAACACAGAAACCTAACAAAATCCGGACATACATTGATGACATCCGGAGATACATCGAATAATTGTGATATGATATTTCCAGTTAACTTGTTTATTTTAAAATTTGATTGTTTAAAAGTGATTTGTCAATCTCACTTGGTGGCTCTATCTACTATAATACGGGTTTAACTGTGGAAGTAGTGGCCTTGAAGCCTTTACAGAATTCATTATTGAGCCATCACATTAGACTAGAATCTAGCAATGGTAAGATTCGAATTGAAATTCTGTTTATAACCTAGTTATAGTTGATTGTGACTGAATTAAATCTTATATTTTGTATATTATGTATAAAAATTATAAAAAAACGATTTGATTGATTGATTGATTAAATTATCTGATGTTTTCTTAATACAGGTACAAATATTAATACCTTATTCATCACAATCACTAAATGTAAAATATAATGCAAACCAAAGCATAGCAATCAACAGCAATTTAAAAAAAAATAAACACGTTTTTATTCATACACCTTGATATATTTATTACACCTGTAATAATCTATTATTGCTACTACCACAGCAATGATGTTTTTTATCCAATCATTTTTGTAACAGTTGGCGTCAACCAGAAGGACAGCGCTCACTCATGCGCAGCAAGAAAAAATGAGAGTAGAAAACAGAAGAAAAGAAAATCTCCGAGAAGATCATTTGAAAAATTTAAGAGATGATGCATTAATAAAGGTGAGCAATGTTATGATGTCAAGCATCATAATAAGAAATGAATATCCTTATTATCTAAATTGTTTTCAATATTTACCGGAATAGAAGCGAAATGTTTTTTCATCGAAATAGACAAAATAATCTGTGTTTACAGTTGATCGCTGATATAAACTTTAGTTTTATTTTCTTCAGGCAAATATGGGAAGTGAGGAGAGGGTCGCTGATAAACGTTTTATTCGTAGAATTCAAAAAGAAGAAGAGGAAAGAAGAATGGAAGAAGGCATATTAAAGGTATGTCAGCAACATAATTCCTTCTGGTTTTTTAGTTTTCAATTCTATTGAAATTTATAATTTTATATTTATTTTCTTATAATTTATGAAAGAATCTAATCAATAATGTAGTACAGCAGCTGAAAGACATTCATGGTTGCAGTACATAAATTTTTGAAAAATTTCATACATTGTCAGACTACCTGGTAAATTCATATTTTAATGTGAGTTTCAATCATTTATATTTACTAAGATATTAAAATTTTTTATGCTTCTTAGGCAGAACAAAATCGTAGACAACGTGAAGCACAAATGATGCAAGAAGAAAGAATGGCTAGAGAACTAGAAGTTTTAAAATTAGAAAAAGTACGGGATGAAAAAATGAGACAACAGATTAGGGATAACAGGTATCCTTATTATCACATTACATGATATGATGTAGCTGCATTGGGATCTTGTTCATATATAACACAAATAACATAACAAAGCCATATTCAACAATAAAAGTAGTAGGCTACTCTGAAAGTTAATCCTCCTAAATTTATAAATCTTAATTTGATGGTATAACACTGAATCAGCTGCTTGTTTTGGTTCCTCGCTGCTCCCCTTTTCCAGTAAGACTGTGTGTTTCACATTTTTTTCCTATTCTCGTAAGCGATAACTTTGACTATGAGAAGGCAGTGTTAGCATGACTTGGATGCGCATTCTAATTCACTGCATATTACCGTGCTTTTGAGTTCTTACAATACATCTATTTGTCTGTAGCTTGGAGTTAAGGGAATTGGAAGCAAAATTGAAGGCAGGATACATGAATCGTGAACGTGCTGCCCAAGTTGCAGAGAAGGAAGCAATTAAATATGAAGGCATGAAACGGGATGCTGAAATTGCTAAACTTATGAAAAAAGAACATGAGAGAGCTGGTGAAGCCGAACAAGCCAGAGAAACGGAAAGGTGGCAAGAAAGTGTTCGATACCAACAAGTGAGTAATATTGTTTTATTATTTTCTGATTCAGATATTTATTTTCATGGTAAATGAAACATTGTACAATTAATCAAAACGAAAAAATTAGAAAAAAAAAAGTTTACAACATTTTGAACACAATTGACGAGGTGCCACAGACGGTCACTGTGCCAGTGACATCATAACTACCTACTGAGTTTGGCAGTGGATGACATCAAACAAACCTAAAATAATCAAAACTAGTTCCTTAATATGCAATGTTGAATGTATATAAATTTGAAAAATATAGATCAAGATAGTCAGATCGAGAAAAAGGTGATAATATATCTTCGTTTACCCTCGTAATGTCATACTCAGGTGAGCGCAATTACCCAATGAAATTGCGAAGCTGATTGTTGTGTCTTCGACGAGGTATAACAAATTAATAAGGTAATTGAGCAGATATGATAAATGTGATCATGATAGACTGTTTGACTAAAGAAAATTTCAATAATCTTGGTCACTTTGCTCATATTAATATTCTCTTCAGAAGATGTTCCAATGAGCTGAGTTCTGTTGTCTGAGTCACCCTGAATATTGGATATATTACTTTGAGTGCAATTTTTAAGTTTCAACTCTTTAGATACTTTTGTCTAGTTTGTGCTTTAAATTTTTTTCAAAACTTTTGTTTTAAGACAATTGCTTTAAATTATTTTGTCAGGAACTGGAAAGACAACTTGAAGAAAAAGAAAGAAAGAAGCAAGAAGCTTATGAAGAATTCCTGAAAGAAAAATTGATGATTGATGAAATTGTTAGAAAGATTTATGAAGAAGATCAAAGGTATCAACTATAGTATGGATTAGGGTTCACATAGGACACTTCTTCATTCTGTTTTTCTAATATTTTTGATGTAAAACAAGATAAATGGAAGAATATAGTTTTGCTCATGGTCTACTCCTGGGCTACTCAACTGCCGGACCGTGGTCCGAATCCGGACCTTTCGAGTATTCGATTCGAACGGCGCCTAATTCTTTATTTTGAATCATGCGCCCCACTTTTGAAGTTTTCTTTTCTAAAATCACTTTTATAGATTTAAATATATATGAAAAGATCTATAACGCCATAATAAACAATCCTAATTAGCTAATATTCATTAGTCGGTCGAAGAAGTCTGTGTTTAAGGATGCCGAAATGTAATTTCTGGAAAGACCAGACCCAAATATTTTTGAAGTTTGTATGCGGATCTTTGGTAAAAATAGTTGAATAGCCTTGATCTACTCTATATCATCAACCTAAATATTCCTGTATCATGCTTCCAAAAATTTCCAACTATAAATTCTAGAAAACCATTAATTTCTGGATAAAAAATTGCCTGTATCAAACCTAATATTAGTATGAATATACATACCTCTTCTGGTCAGCGATATTCCTTATAATATATCAGCGAATCAATGTTTGTCTAGTGAAATTTTTCCAGTAGTGAAGGAATTTCTCTTTACACAGGGATTTATTTATTCCCTGGAAATAATTTCGAATTTATATTTAGATGCAGTGTAATGTGACACCCAAACAAAGGAAAATCAGGACCTATAAATTTTTTGATTACTTTCACGAAAATGAAGATAATTGTCTTAACACCTGAACTTCTATTTGTATATGATTGTACCCAGAAGTTTCAGTAATCTAGGACGCTTTGTACAAAAGTCATGTTCTCTTTTGAATATGTTCTAAATGACCTCGGTTGTGATCTATTTGCGTCACCCTGTGGAACTGTAAAACACTCTCAATGTTAAATAAAAATGATATGCATTATACAATATCATAAATTTTTTCTTGCGTTCAGCAACTTTAATATAAGATATTGATTACTTGCAATTTTCCGTCTTACTAGTAATTTTTTTTATTTCACAGAGAACAAGAAATGCGCCTTGAGAAACAAAGAGCAACTCAAAGATATATTGAGGAGTTTAAGAGAAAGAGAGAGGAATGGAGAAGAATGGAAAGAGAGAGATTGGAGGAAGAGAACAGGAAGATACTTGCGTTTGCCAATGTTCAACAAGTCCGAGAACAAGATCGGATGCTCAAACAAAAAGAGAGAGAACAAAACAAATCTGAAGTTCAGCAGAGAGTAAGATTTTGTGATTATCACTTAAAAAAAGTTGCTAAATTTAGCATCACAAATTTGTTTCACGTTTTCCTATGCGTTTTATGAAAATTTCCTCAAGAGATTGTGTAAAAATCTACTAGGAGGAATAAAACTTGATTGAGTGAAATTGTGGATCATACTATTTTACATGTTTTACCCAAAATAGATTTGTTCACTAACAACTACATTCTCCAGCACTAAGCAGTAAGATTTAAATTCAGGTGTCAATTTGTCTGCATAGAATATTCAAACATATTTTTCATAACGCAAATTTGCACTTTGGAACAAACAAACAAAAGCATTTTTAGGGAAAGTTTCAACTAACTATGCTCAATTTATATATAACTAAAAAGTAAAGAGAGTGATGTCCAATTCGATTTTTATTTTCTCTAAATATAGGTACCGGTATATACCTCTTTGTATTTTACATTAATAATCTCGTACTCGTACATATATGCAATTTATATATTTTATGTCAGCTTGCTCAAAAGATTGCTAGAGAACAGGATGAAAAGGAAGAACGTGAGAGAATTCTGCTTGAACTTTATTTGGAGGAACAAGAAGAAGCTGAAAGAGAGAAAGAAAAGGTTGATAATTTTATTTGTCAAAAACTTGTGTGATGTAGCTCTGTGGTTGAGACCCTAGACTTAACTAGGCTGGCACCATAAGTTAAAATTTTGAATTCGAATCCTGTGCACACGACCTCACTCAGAAACTTGAACTTTTTTGTGTAATATTGTATTGAAAACTTTTAGTAATCTAGGATCCTTTACGCGAAAGTTATGTTCTATCTAGAATATAACTTCACTACTGTTATTTACAGGCTGAGTTGGAACGTAAATTGCGCCAGAGGATTGAACTTCAGCAAACACACGCTGAGCAGATGCAATTCAAGCAAATGCGAATGCAAGCTGAATTACAAGAAGAGGAAGAGTTTAGAAGGTAAATACCTATGTAGTTATATATTCCGAAACAGTGCTTCTAAAAGTGGACAACAATGTCTCCTAGAACAGTGATTTTCTACCAGTGTTCCGTGGAGCACTAGTGTTTTATTAAAGACCTTCGGGTGTTTCACCACAAATTGCTGTTTTACAATCACATTTTTCTTATATTTCTTAATAACAAATTTCACATTCATATTTTTCTGATTAAAAATTTCATAATAATAACAAATTTAACGAAGCAATAATCTAAAACTGAAAATCACATGTTTTGTCTGTATGTATGACAATAAGAATCAACAGCGCGAAAAAAGTTTAATGACATCATAGCAAAAATATAGTCAGCCATTTTAATTTGTCAGTTGTAGTTAGTTTGCCAACACAACACTTTGCCAGACTTCTTCAGACAAGCATTTTACAACTATAACAAGAAACGCAATTGCATGCACATAAATATTGGTTTCAAATGTTGGGTCTGTTTGCGATAGAGAGATATAAATAAAATTGGGACAGTGCCAGAACAATGGGGAAGCTAAGTTTGATTTAAAATCAATAGATACCCCACAGTGTAGTGAGTGACAATTAAAAAGAAAATTAAACAATTTCATGCTGTTATCCCGTAACTCCGACTGTGGTATCTCCTAAGTTCTCCTAAGTGTTCCACGACTCAAAAACTGGTGAAATCACTGGCTTAGAGGGTGAACAAATACAAAAGGGGTTGGGTAGTCCGGGGGATGGTGGGGCATTCTCGGAAAAGTCAGAGTTATCGCGAGATCAAAATTTTGCAAAATATGGCAATCTGGCAAATACCCGCTCATTTTTAATGAATTCAAATCATTTCCAACGTCGTATTTGGTGATTAAAAGATTTTTTCTCTATGTGATGCTATCACTATCAAATTTAAGAAATTATCTTTCCATCAGCAAACTGGGTGATTTAATATTGTATCTGACCAAAATGCCTCCAAATATCAAATACACTGTAAAGATCGCATAGTTCATCCATCTCATTAAATAACACCATAATCTATACCTAGTCTTCTTGTTTAATTAAGTTTGTAAACATTAAGTTTTTTGTATTGTTGGGAAGGGAGTCGATAATGATGTGAAGAGTGCCGTAAGGGGGTGACGCTATGACATACATAAAAAATTGGGAAACCAATGTGCTAAAACCTATATTTGCAGCAAATAAACTTTTCCAAAAATTGGTACATACAAATTTTTTAACATCCATCTTAGAACTCTTACTATTTTTGTATTCAGACAAATGTTGGCTAAATTTGCTGAAGATGATCGTATTGAGCAGATGAATGCTCAGAAACGTAGAATGAGACAACTTGAACACAAAAGGGCTGTTGAGAAGTTAATTGATGACAGAAGGAAACAATTTGAGGCTGACAGGGTGAGCTATTGAACTTATAATACATTTTTTAACTCTTCAGTGCTTATTACCTTTGAATAAAAATGTTTGGTTCATCATATAAAGTAAAGTACACATATTGAATGAAGTTTGTCTGCTGTTGGACTGTCTGGCACATGTTTATAAATCTGTCCATTCAACAAAGTTTATTTTCTTGGGAGTTTTCAAATCAACTTCATCAAGGTGTCTTTCTGGCTTGTTTCTTAGTTTAATTTTCTATCTTTAGGGAAATTTACTGATATTCACTTGTCATGTGATGGCTATAGGGAAATTTTAAATTACTGAGTCAATCCTCAATTGGTGACTGGAATCAAATTTTTTCTCATAAAAAAGAAGCAATGTAATTTGGATTTAAACACTCAAGACAAGTTTTGAGTCATATTTTATTATGCATAAATTATTTCACAGGAACGGGAGTTGGCAGAAAGGCGTGAAGAAGAAAGATTAGAAGCAATGAGAAGACAGATTATTGAAGAAGAAAGACAGAGATTACTTAGAGAACATGCTACTAAGTTACTTGGATATCTACCTAAGGTATGTCATCTCATATTTGTGATGGAATCACCTAAACATCCAGTCGTTCGTGTACTGGACCTAACCATGTCAGGGTTTTAGGTGATATATATGGTCCAAATATAATGCCCACTATTTCGCACAGTCATTATTGGAGTAGGCGAGGCCAATCTGAAAATTTTGTTTCTTCCATTTCGATGGCTGCTGGTTCCAGGTTCTGTTTGTAGTGAAAATTGCAAAGACAATTTGGGCCGATTAATTGATACAATATTGATATTATATGTTCATTCTGAATTTAGTGTTTTTCGCTTGAGGCATTCTACCTCAAGTATACAATGAAGCATTTTTTTTATAAATAATGCTTCTAACTCCCAATTTGTTTGTCAGGGTGTACTGGTCAACAGCGGAGATTTGGACATGTTTGATGATGCATTCAAGAAAGCTTATACCAAGAGACAAGTTGATCCATTTTCTGATGACAACTGGGAATGAAATTCCAATACTTTGTGTTGAAAAGACATTTATTAGTTTTTTATTGTCTGTTATACATGACTTTGTCCTTATTATTTGACTTTGGTCACTCAAGTATCTGCCATGGAATGACCGAGACTTGAAGGCCCATGCTCACTATATCCAACTGTGCTTTTGTGTTACAATTTGATATGTTAGGTTTTTGTCCATTTCATGTTATAGTCAAACGTAAAATGTGGCCGCATTGATTTTATGATCCACTGTTGTAAATACAATCTCACTTCGATAATGTTGATGTCCTTTGTGAATATCCTGGGAACAGAAATTATCTTTAATTAGAATGATATAATTTATGTTTACTCTCACCCATTCACTATACTTGCTCATCAAGATTCTGGCCTGTGATAGCTTCATATATGATTTTATTTATCATTTTACCATGAAGAATAGGAACACGAATAAAGGTAATAATCGGAAAAAGCCATAGCCAGCAATTTTATCAGGCTCTCTAAAAGGTATACAGACCACTCGTACCACAGACTGGTGACGGTTTGTGGTTTCAGGTTAAGGCTATATTCGACTAATAATCGCAATGTACTGGTGCCGCAGGTTACGAGTGTATGTTGCCTGTGTGTTGAATATACCTAAATGTATAAATCTACATGTATTTACAACTGGCTCAAATTTTACACAAACTGTCTTATGCAACATTATGTCCATGGTCCGAGAAGTCCGTTTACTCCCGACAGCAGGACCAAGCAACTATTTATCGCAATGGGCCAAAACAAAATATTATGGTGACTCTGAGACCAGAACATCAAACGACCCATTAATTTTCAGCAACTCAAAGTCGAGCTAGCAGGTGTTCAACTGTAAGCTGATTCCTGAATTTTGTCTTACACAGCGTCTGTTTTGATATGAACTGCTCACAGTAGCATTTGTGATGCCGAAAGAGAGACTTCATTTTATATTTATCATTTTACAGATTCCGGGGATGTCCATACATACAATCAGCTTGTGTACAAATATGCGAATCTATGATAGGCTCGTTTGTTATCAATAATTGTCCATAATTTTGTTCTACTTTGATATTCACCGAGAGATTGTCCATTTGGCGGGTCACTGTTAAATAAGAATACTGCTGAGACACTTTTCGATGACTACGGAATGTTTTATACAATACTGTCGCTTGCTTTGGCAAATTACACTAACCGCATCTTGATTGCATTGAAGAATGAGGTATTCCAGGCACAACTCTTTCAGTTAAAAACCAACATTCCTTTCTACTTGCCGACATTCTAACTTTTTGAATCACAGCACAGCACCAGAAAAAGATATCACCTTTATGTCCTTATTGAATCCTTGTCAGACGAATTTTCCACTTAACACAACGTCGATGGAGCCGTCACAAATAAGAAAAAGCATTCTAAAATAATTGGATACCAATCCTCTTACTGGCCACGCAAATAGGTTGCCACAATCCGGCCCGCGAACCATATGTATCAAACAGCAACGCCACCCTTTTGGCACTAAAACAATTATGACAAGCTTCATTCTACTCTTTATTTCTAACCAACAAATGAATTCAAACATTGCTCACTGTGCTCCTCATCTTACTGATGTAGGGTAAATGTTATCCACAGCTTCAGAATATATATTTGACAAGCAAACAAAATCACATTCTAGGCACCTTTATTACAAATAAAAACATTGATAAAAAAATGGAACAGTAAAACTACAAAGACAATGCTATTGACAAAATTGTCCTTTACGAGTGGGGCTGCACACACCATTTGCATTGGAGAATACAAGATACATAAGATCAGCTATAAATACTAGAATAGGCGAAAATCCCTAAGGAATCGAAATATTTTCATCTCTGGAAAAGGTATTATGTTGAAATTTGAAAAAATCATATTGCCTTATACCAGAAACTAAAGTGTAATGAACGAACATGGGACACAAAGGTCAAATGACTAACAGCAATTGCCAATGTCAGAAACAGAAATCTGTCAAATGATTATTTCCATCAGTATCATCACCATAGCGATTTCCATCTGTGTTAGTAAGGCCTTATCCATTAGCTGAAAACCGGTTTGTCAGTAAATCGACCGATTGACTACAGTATGTGTTGGAGTAAAAATAGTAAAATTTTTTGTGGAACATCAAGTCTCTTAGTTATCACTAGATTCTAGTGACTTCAAGTACTGAAAATGTGAAATCGATTACTGCATTAGTTGCAGAGCAATTCGTAGGTATACCTCATGTTCAATGAATAACATGGAAGACACCAATCCAATCTTGCTCCATCTGCATTTACCTCCATCTCTCTGTGATGTGAATTATATATTCCTAGTCTTTATTGTCTTTATTATGTGCTTCCTTTATTTTCTGTCTATTCAAAGTCCCATCTTTATCCAAATACATCAATAAAACTTGAGATATATCTCTGCTTTCAATTTTAGCACTCAACTGAGACATCAAGTCCGGTACGCTTGTTGATGCATGTGCAAGTTGAGGATGAACCATCTGCAGTTTTCTCAAATCTCTTCGCTTTTTCTCCGCAGCATTTAATGATGCCGAGCGGCCCAACATTGGTGATGATGATGAATTCATTCGACGAAATTTTGCTAATCTTTTGTCCACAAGTTTAAATTCTTTTATTGGTGCATTTGGCCCAGATGGTGGAAGCAATGGTAACACCATTCGAGGTCTATGATTGATTGAAACTTCTTTTGGTAAACTTGAGCTTGTTAGTTTGATTTCTGAATTTGTTGGTGTCCCGGATTCATCATCTGTCTGCCCTAGTGTTAAATACCTGCTTGGCACAACCAAGCTATGTGTTGAACTAGCAGATTTTAACAGTCTACTGACACCTTCACTTACTGGTACATTGTATTTTCCTCGATAATATCGCCTTTCTGAAAGACACCTCTTCAAAGGTTCTGATATTTGATTGTTGTACGATCCACACTGTATTTTAATTCCTGGACAAGAACGAGTTGAGAATGTACGAGGGTGTGGTGTGGGTGGAGCATCAGGCATGGTTGAAAAATTCATCGCTTGTGGGCTGGCAACACTGTCTCGCCTGGTCAATAATATCTGCATAGATGCACGATCTTGTGGTGTGAAATATTTTGACGCTTCATTGAAATTTGTTTTTGTCGCATATGATCCTTTAAAACAGAAATATAAGTTTTGAAGAAAAATATAATATGAATGAAGTATTTAGAGAGAAAAATCGATGTCAATTTGGCTATATAAGGAAAGACCAAAAGAAGTATGAAAGTAATAAAATAAGATTATAAAAATCTGTTCTGACCACTGATGGATTGTGTTGGCATGTAAACTATATATTAGACGCTGACTACTGACTAGTCAGCTGGGGTATTATGCCAGGCATTAGAAAATGCTTGCCATTGCTAAGTTTCGAACCTTATGTGGAGTCATCCTGAATGAGAGAATTGCTGTACCTCTCGCCAGTAGAGGGTTGGTCTTAGACGGTTACAGCTTCCTCCACCACCATGTTTATGCATAGAATATCTGGTTAACTATTCCTACGATATCTGGCATGGACTGGTCACCTGACAAGAAACCAAGGCTTGCCATGTGATTAAATCAACTCTCTCAGAGTTATATATGAAACCTGTATCCTATCCTAGTCGATTGAGACAAACAACATCATACAAGCTATGCAAAATGGAACAAAACAGTCCTTGATTCCTGAGTTTTATACAATTTCTACTAAATAAAATATGAGCAACTTCAACCAACCTCTTCTCAATTGTACTTTATCATCAAAATTAGGACGAACAATTCCTTTAAAACTGGATGAATTTTTCCTTTTCTAAAAATATAGGCAAAATGATATTTTGTGTTTTACTACAGTAGATAAAATAAGAATATAACAATAGTATGTAAAGTTTGAACTATGTCTTCTGTCTCGCTGACAAGCCGGTTATAACAATAGCATAATAACTCCATTTTCAAACCAATAGAGTTGAATGTAAAAGTTCGCAGCAAATTTTTTCCTACCTGTCCAAAATATAATTGTGAAGAACGTCGTCTCATTCCAGTATATTTCATTGTTAAAGATGTAGAATTTAATAAATCTGTGTAATTCTCACCAACGCATTTTGAAAAAAATTTTCTGTATTCATAACGAACCTTAGAAAACATAATTTCTTTTTAATGCATGATTAAAACAAAAGTGCAATTCGATTATTTTTTAACAATAAATCAAAACGATGCAATGAAAGGAGTATTTGAAAAAAATGTGGATCGAAGAAGTTGAAGGGATGAATCACCATTTAAATTTGATGGATAAGTACAAAGGGTTCAATGGCGCTGGAAATAAATCTATATTCTATGTGAGAGATGTATCACTGCTTGATTTTTATTATAAAAAGTATCATTCATTCTGTTTACAACTTTCTAAAATTATGTGCAGCCCGTTAATGACTTGCAACCCTTAATTTTGGCCTCGCGCACGACAAAAGTTGCCGACCCCTGATTTACAGGAAGGATAGTGAATATTAGCTGATATCCGTGAGTTAGGTAGCTATTTTGCCATTTTTAGTTGTATTCTGGAGTTCAGGTATAATAACTCAATAATAAATAATTTTGTCTTCTTGAGAATTTTAGTTCAGTTTCAGTAATCAGAAATGGTGTACAAATTTTCACAGAGATCACAAAACAATCATCTCATTCTTGGAAATTAATCCAGCTGTACTCTCTTGAAAAACCTTATTCTATTTGGAAAATAACTGGAACTCAACTATACCTTATTGTGCATCAAGCAATGAAATACAAATATGTAAACTCCTTGAAAGGCGTTGAATATACAAAATAAATATTGCAATGTAATCATGTTTTCCCACCACCATAAGATGCCGATCACCCATGTTGTTCCGAGTAAACAAAGTAAAGCACAAGTTCCACGAAGTGCACTCCTGTTGATAAATGAACGGGAATTTGATAACAATACAAAATGGATCAGGATGATATATGTTTTATTTTTAACTCAGCTCAGTGGTTGGTGCATCGTGCTAAGCATCAGGAATATGCTTGCTATGGTGCCTCTGATTACGCTGAGTTGGTTTGCAGGTTCAAATCGCATAGGAGATAATTACGTGCAAGATGATTGCTGGATTCCTCACTACCGTAAGGTGGTTCAGTACCACTGTTTGGTTATGGCTCGCTCCACCATTTATCCTCCTGTCATCTTACCTTATGTTCTTTCCCCTTCTGGGATAAATATGAAAATCTTATCCTATCTTGACCCAATATGTTAGAAACTACTGTTTCACAACTGCTTACCAGTCCATACGTGAGTAGATTAGCCAACAATATACCGGTAATTTTTTTAAAAGCAAGGGCTTGAGATAGAAAAGGAAGCCTGGATACCCTCTCGTGTAAAACCATAACCCACAGAATTTAAGCCCAGGAACACATAACAATGGATAATTAATGTTCTTCCTTGTATAATAAAAAAAAAAATCCTATTTAAGTCATATATTTATCAGATCAATTGCTTTCGATGAATTTTTTGATCAACAGTTCCAAATCCTTGGTCAGCGGAAAGATTTGTTCACATGAAATTCTCTTTTTTCCAACTTAAATTAAATATTTTTGCAACACTTGCAATTAGTGTTTTTGAAACCCTATACTTACTTACCGAATTGCGCGTAACTTTGAATAAAATATATATTTCCTTCCATGCCTGTACATTGTGATCCCTGTTAGAAAAAGAAATGCGACATTTCCTACTGCAACCAATGTTGCAGGGACAATAAAAGCCCAGATGAATGGTGTGAATCCACCTATCGTTCCAATTGTATCATCTATGTCAGTGTTGAGCCAACATGCAGTGTCAGTACCATATCCAACGGGATTCAATCCAGCAGATAATGCAACGAAGATTGCAGGAATGCCTAGAAGTAATGAATGGAATTTAGTAATTTACCGTAATTCTTAAGGTAGTGATGAACTAACTATAGCCTATGTACAACAGTATGTGATCTACAGAAATTTATATCCAGAATAGACTAGGGTTAGTAAATCTTTCGTTTTCTTTCGCTTAAATACCAAACCAACCAAAAGTCATGTGAACGAATTAAAAATGACCGATCAGTTTGGAAATGTATATGTATAAGTTTCGGGAAAACTGGCGAAACCTTTAAATAAAGTTTGAAACATGTAGATTTACATGTAGTTTACCGATCTCTTATTAAAGGGGTCACTTGCTACACCAGAAACAGACATGTAGATCACATACTACACCAAAACAGCAAGCTGAGTATACGGTAACTACAGACGTCTTGAGATATGGTTAGTAAAGTTAGTTGTCTTGAACTTGCTTAACAATTTGGAGGGGTTTGAATAATAGAAAATAAACATATTATGAAATTGTGATAAATGCACAATTTTTAACACATAAATTCCAAATTAAAAAGTAAATAACACAAAGAAACTGCTCGACTAGTTCACATATTTGAATTAAAAAAATATACTTTAAAAATATATACACATATTTTGAGCGTGGTAGTAAGACGCCCACCCAATGAAATTTTTAGTTTATAATCCTCCTAGGCATGTTATGTTATTTTCATGAAATTTGGAACAGATATCCACAAAAATTAGCAGTTCGTGCCAGACTAGGTATTTGCACCAAAATTTAGTTCATTGTCCAAAATTTTTAATCAAAACAGATAATATTCACATGTGTTACAGCTTACCATATCCAATTGAATAATACCAAGCCATGTTTGTATTTCGCTCAAATACTTCAATCAACATAACGTACAGTTGAAAACCTTCCAATGCCATCCACACAAATGTAGCAAGAAAACAATAATGCAAAGCTCCTGTAGGAAATATAGAGAATATGATTGTATTTAGTGAATGACCTTCATTACACAGCAAATAAAGATAGAATATCCAATGTTCCATGATTTATTATGTATGTTTGTATGCGTCAAAATGTAGCAGCATCTGCATATTGAATAAACACTATAAAAGACACTGGTCTAAGACACTGTTGTGCGATATGTACACTTCATAAACATAGCAGCAGTTTAGGACTGTTATGTTACAATAGGGCACTATGCATGAACTAATAAAATGGTACAGGAAAAACTAGACGAATTTATGATACAATATTGTTATCTAAAATACATAACTTTCAACTATCTGATCTCGTATAAACATTTTTTCCTAACATTCAATTCAGATTGTTCAAAATTAATTCCCTTAACTATCCATTTAAATTAAAACAATTTTTTAACATTAATTACATAATTTACCTGCCACAACTGAGCATAATATTGGAAATTTGACGAGGTCAATCCCAGCAACAAATATAAGTTGTGACAAAAACAGACAAATGCACAAATTAGTGTGGATTGTTGTTCTTGTGCAATGTAAGGATCTGAAAAGTAATGAACAACATGTTGCTCTTATGAAAACTTGATTGGAGATATGCTCGAAAGAGTTTTATTAGGAATTCTTTTGTCTGTTAACTATTTAATACTCTTCATTTAATCAGTGTGATTTCTGCTGTATAATTTAGCCAAAAATAATGCAATTAGACACAAATGGCACATATCACCAGATGAACAGAACAGACCAAAGTAACAAATTTGAGTTATGAGTAATATCACATAAAACAATTCTGAATTTCAAGGTTCTCGAATATACCCAAGCCCACTCCAATCTAGGAAATAATAAATTGGGTGATGGAAACCATGAAAAATTTAGTCTTTCTAAACATAGTAGCTCCTTACATATCAGTGGATGGTCAAAAACATTGTTGAGCAAAATCCATTAATACTAATTTACACCATATATATCAAAGGTAACAATCTCCACAAGTTGCTTTTAATCTATTTAGCTAACGGATAGTTTTCAATTTAATAAAACAATGTTGAAGAATACTATACCTGAAATACATGAAGGTCACTATACTCAATGCCAGGCAGAACAGTGACATAGAGAGTCCAATCCATGTTAATAAATCTAATATTTCCACATGCTGATCTAATTTAAAACCTTGATGATTGACAAGCACGGCAAAACTGGTCAGGTGATCGCAAGAACATACTGTGTGAGAGGAGTTGGTGCTCACCAAAGTACAGCCATCTGACAACCAATTTTCGGATAAATTCCTAAAAACAATTTCTATATAAGGAAAAGAAATAAAAAATTGGGTCCTACAAAAATGTATCATATTCTTTATGTTATTGGTTTTCAAGTATGTGTAAAATGTGGCCTAGCGCTCAAGGCGTTTGAATAAATTGTGTTGGCATCACAAATTACATAACTAGGACCCAGGGAGTGATAAATTGGGTAGGCAATGGCAAACTGAAAACGTTCCCCCTTCCCCCCCCAAAAATAGGACTTTTTTCATGTCATTAAATATCAGTCACTGCTCGTATAAGGGCTTGTTGGATGCAAAAGGCATCTTATAAAACTATTCAAACACATTCTATAGTTAGTAACATACCAACAATTTTCTTCAAAACAATATCTCAATTTCATATAACTTTTTTTTTAATCATACATTAGAGAAGTGTTGTGTTGAATATGATAAGTTGAGATAAGTACAAAACTACAGATCTATACAGTAAAAGGAGAGAACAATAGATTGGGATGAGTGTTTGTCTAAAATGGCCTTTATTTAATGTACCAACACCTTCAGATATAGCTTTTCCAAAAGTACTATTATCTTGTGCTGTTTTACAATAAAACTTAACATAAAAACTCTGTGTTGTACTCACTTTGCTTTAGTATTCCAATAAACACATACATGACTCTGGTTTGAAGGCTGAAAATAAATTATAAAAGTAAGAGAGGTGAAGCATAATATCATGCATAATTGTAAAATGAGGAGAAACATGAAGTAGCAAGAAGTCTTTGTATCTACCAGTGAATCAATTCTCGTTGGACTCAAATAACTATCTTCCATAGACTCTAGTCATTTAAATAAAATTACTGCAATAATCAATTAGTCCCCAGTCAGACTCAACCCAGTGATTGACTGAATTCAAATTTGACTTCGCTGACTCATGACTCGAATTGCGACTCCAGATTTTACCCTAATATTTACCCTACACAAAATGTAATAATTCAGTAGATTCACTTTTGCTATGCATAACAGTCAATGACAATGTCAAATGATTTAATTCTACCTGAATATGTTCCAAAGTAATTAATGCAGGTTGTTTAAGTTTAGTTGAATGATCAGTGGATTGTATCGTTGCTGATATTATTTTAGAATTAACTTTTGAATAATCTTGAAAATTGTTTTCTTCATCAATGATTGTTCGTTGGCTGATAAGTTCTGCTAGTCCGTTGTACATCGCAAACACAACTTTTGTAGTTCCTGTCAAATTTCAGAAAGAGTCTATTTATCTGGTCCGTATCCATGTAATCATACAGAAATATTTTTTATATTTTGGAAAAAATTTCAGAATTCGAGGGTTTCATGACTGAAGTGTAAATGAAGAATTTTGAAAAAAAACTTCATTTGAAAATATTAAAAAAGCAGCATACACTTTAAGCCAGTTTTTTCCAACTAAAGTAGATCCTTATTGTGCAGAACCTTGTTCAGTGGGAAAGATGTATAAATGTGTTGTAAAAAAGCTGTTGCCTATTTATAGTTTAAGGTAACATTCACCAATTCACCAAAGTATTTCAATAGAAAGCGACAAGTGTTTAGAAAGTTTTACAAAATTGTGTGAAGCCCTCGAATATAATTGAGCCATTTTCCCCGTTTAATAGTCTTAAATATGAATAATCCGTGCTGTACAATTTCTTTGATTCAAGTTAGAAAATAAAAAGAATCAATCGTGTCAAATTGAAAGTTGATCAAATATTGATACAAGATTGAAAAGTTAACTTTAAATATGACAAAACTCTGTCTGAAAACCGCAAAGAAAGTTTTGTACTTCGAACATCTACTACGCAAAATAACAACATATATATCGTAATACACTTTATTCACAATCAATAAATTGATATTCAAAACAGTAAATTGCTGAAAAATGATTGATTCTTATTTTCACAAGAGAAAAAGTGTGTTCTTGTGCAGTGCCTCGTATAGAGTGAAAACCTAAAAAAATTCGTATTTCAAAATTATTTATTTCTTACCGTTGACTTGGTTATTCTCAATATCTTGTGAAGATATTGTGATTGAATCAGTGATATTCTTCCAATCATTTGTTTCATGGAGAAACTTGAAATTCGGAAAAGCAACATCCTGAGTAGAAATGAGATAAAATTTTAGGTAAAAATGAAGGAAAAAGGCAATTTTGACATCACTTTTGAAAACAAAAATGCTTCATTTGGAAATGCATTCAACCAAAAAAATGGTGAATCCCTTTTTTGTATGTATTGTGAATGAATAGCAAGGTTAATGGTCACATTGTTTTTCGATTGAACTTAACTTTCAGTCAGTTTGGTATTATTGATGGACATATGTAACAAACCTAAGATTGCTAACCCACTAAATACCTCTAATTTAACTCCAATATGAACTAACAAATAGTTTGTTTAATGGAACAATGGAGCGGCGGACTAACACGAGCATGCAAGATTGGTAATCAAAAAGCTTGTAGCAAAATGAGTTCGAGACTCGGTGTAGGGATAGTCCAAAAAAAAAATGAAAAATCAACAAAAAGCACCAACCCTGAATAATACTCAAGTAAATCGATAAAGAAGCCATACTCAGGGTGAATGTGGGCTCGGGACACCTGCAGCCTTGGGACAATGATCGATACCTTCAAAGCTTCTAACAGTTCCACATTAGGAAACATATAAATATGGGTAACGGGTAACTCATCATAAAGCTTTATAGTGAGGAGTTGGTGATGGATTATTCTGTTGAATCACAATTCACAATATAACTCCTATACTCACCTTAGTAACCGCATTATTAGATTTATTTTTGATATCATCAATCTTCTGCACTTGAATTTCAAGTAAAATATTATTTTCTTCAGCAAAATGAGAAATGATATTGTTATTTTCGTCAACTTCCAACATTTTTTCATCTTGTATTGCAAGTAAGAAAGCAGTTTCTTCGATACTTTTTATAATAACATTTCCAATCTTCAATTTTTCATTTTCCTCAAGTTCATTCCATGTTTCAGACATGCTTTCATCAACCAGGTCACTTCCAGAATGTAGGAGTGCCTGAAGTTGAATGTAATATTAGATTGATTGAAGTTGTAAAGAAAGTAAAGTTTAGAATAGGTTGCCAATAAGTAATATAGAATCTATTGCAACATATGTGATACATGTATAATTCTGCTGTCATCTAATGTGCAATAAATCATTGAAAATCTCAACTCCACAGCCCAGGCTGAAACTAGACAATATTGAATAACAAGTTATTTGCTGACAGCAGAGGCTCAGAAGAATAAAATAATCCGAATTGCCCTAATTGGCAAAATATAGAACAAACAAAATTGTAAAAACAAATTGTTGTTGTTAGCCACACGAGGGCGAAGATGCACCAAGAAAGCAAATATACCCTGAAACTATAGTCACTATGTAATGCCTCTAACTTTACACAGAGATCAAGCTTTATTACAGCTGACTCTGAGTGAGAAAACATAACCTTCCTTGCTTTGAGCAAGTATCAGGATGTAAAACTGAATTATTCAAATCATAAATATACCTTTCGGATGGATAATGGGTAAAAAATTACGGAAATAGACAATCACAAGATCCATATGGATATACAATGTTTACATGATGATGTTGATACCTGATTAAGTTGTGCAAATTTTTCTCTGTCTCCCGTTTCTATAATTTCACCTGGTCCTTCTTGTGTAATATTAAAATCATCTTCAAAACTTGAAAAACTTTTGGCAATATTTGTAATTTCATTCATGATTTCTGTACTATGTTGAAGATCTTCAGCTGGATAGAAAATGACAATTTGAGATTTTCACAGAGCATTGACTTTTTATTTATTTTCGAAACAACGACCAATCAGTAATAAGTCAATAATGATATTACAATTGAAATTTGTGAAGCCGCTCAGCCTATTTTTAATCAGGAAGATTTTCAAGCATGATTGTAAATATTGGCTCATTTTTGAGGCTTTGCATGCTATATGTCAGATCAAATAATTCAATCGTCATTCAGTCTTTCAAAGAGTTTTAGTTTTGTTGCAGAAATTAAATTTCATCCTGAAAAAGCTTTAGCCATGTACTTTACAATGGCATGTAGTAAACCATTTGGTAAGTGAACAATCAGACCAGCAAAGTTTTTTTACCTCTCAATGGAGGCTGAGAGGGATGCCCAAAACCAAATATCCTACTGTTCTCAATACATTATAAATAATATCACTTTCAACAGACAAATTTATGTATATCACAGAAATTAAGTAAAATTTAATTCCATAACAAACAAAACTCGTTATAAACAATATTAACAATTATTCATAGAATCCTATCATCATATCTTATATACCAAATTATTAATATTATTAATGATTGTTATTAATTAAAAGAGCAACATATATTCACCTCTGAACCGTGTTTCGCGTTGTTTCAAAGCTACAACAACATCTGATAATTGTTGTGCAATTTTATGAACAACAATGGAAGAATTTTCTGTAAAATAAAACAGTTTTACCTAACAGTATCCATAAATTTCAACTTTGAGCATGAAAACATAATTGAACGAATTTTGGATAAACTATAATATTTTTGGAAAATTTTGATTGAGTTCTCTATTAGACCAAAAAAAAAAATTAATACAGTACTTTTGCAAGCAGGGTTAATGCTGTCAAGTAGTTTTCAGAAAGAAAAAAATGAACTAAAAACTTGAGACCAAATTGTGGATAATTCCATATTTCTCAAATAAAAAATGCTCAGAAAATATTAGAAGACAATATTTACTATTTTGAAATATAAACCAATTACTTCAAACCTTGTTGTAGTTGTTTATCAATTTCAATTGTCCATGCGGCACAATTATCAAAACTGGGTCCCCTTTCTTCCCAGTGGCTTCCATTCATATGATCAATCATACAAGTCCAGCTTGACGATCCTTCAATTTCAAATATTTATAGTTATCAGTATATTTTTCTACATCTTTTCTGTATCTTTACCCAAAATGTTATGGTTATAATATGGGCCGTATGTATGATAAGCTGTATGATGTATGTGCAATGCCCTACTGCATGAAGCTCTGAACATAAAAATGCAGGCATAGCAAGTCAAAAATTTCATATTCATATCCCATGCCCATGACCTCAGTCAATGTGTGATAAATTGGACAAGAACTGTCAAACCAGAAGCCGACCCTCCCAAATTATAGTTTATTCCTAAATATCATCAGTCGCTTGTAAGGAGCCTCGTTTGGAGTGAAAGGCAGATGATGGTGATTTTGCTCGCACATAACATAAAAAAATAATAATACATATGATACAAAAGGATTGCTGCGAAAGGATTGCGAAAGGTTGGGAACCACTTCTCTGTTTGTAATGGTCTGTACTGCAAACATGATCTATATTGAATGCATGATTTGTTAAAAAACTGTTTATGAACAAAAAAAATTCAAGAAAATTGCAACCCCTATGTTCCATTTTTGGTTTTATAATTGAAAATACCTCTAGCTCCGTTAGGACAGTAATTCTTTTCTGTTTTCCCTGGTGCAGTTTCAGGCCATAATACATCGTCATAAATTCTCTCTGGACAATTCATGGGTGATGGTTTCATGAATTCATGCACTGGTTCAGTTGGAGCTTTAGTTGACTTTGTAGAATCATTCTTTATCATTGTAGTGGTAGGAAATCGTTCATGATCATAATCATGTTGTATTGAAGAAGATTGTTGAATATTTGTCGCAATTACTGTAAATTTACACAAGGTTAAGTTACTTCAATTATCTTCGACTTTTAAGCAATTACACATACAGGGTGACTTGAATAAACAGAATCAAGATCAATAGGAACATGTGGGTACTAGAAAAAACATAATTTTTGTGCGAAGCATCCTAGATTACTGAAACTTTTGGGTACAATCATGCACTGACAGTTCAACTTCAAGTTTTGAATAAACTTTCTTCATTTTTGTAGAGGTAATTATGAAATTTATGAGTCTGTTATTTTCAGGCCACTCTGCAGTTCCATCTGCAAGTTTATTGGGTGTAAATTGGGCAAGCCACGGGGTTAAACAGGCTACCAGTACCAATTCAGCAGAGACCATGGAAGCAAAACACCCATCTCATTTAACTAACAAAGACAATATAAATAATAAACAATTACAGGGGACTCTGACTGATTGGTTGATAAAAATTTTTGTTAATCGTTAATAATGAAAAAATGAGCATTGTTGTATGCTTCAATTCTGTGACGCAGAATAGTATGCTTGCTATAGGAATACTCTATTATCTGAAATTCATATAATTTTATTTTGTTAATTTGAAATTTGCATCAAACTGTAACAAATTGTGAAGTATTTAAATGTATTGATGCAATAATGATGATCTATTCCAGCCATGAATTTTTGGCGCACCAGAAGTATGTGCACCAAGATGACGCAAGGCTGTGCGCCATCTTGGTGCACATACTTTGGGAGCACCAAATTTTTTGGGCAAAATGTTTTAAAAACTGAATTTCTTATGTGTTAGGATGGGTATATGGTATTGATCGTCATTTTAATGACCTCCCGCTAATATATTAATCTGATATTGTCAACAGGAGGCTTGATTTTGCATAGATTTCCTTCCTACATACCTTCGTTGCTAGTTTTTAAGTCCAAAGTAAATATGATAGCTTGTGAAGTACTCCATACATATAATGTATTATCCCGTGGATTGTAATTAACCGATGTTGTTTCTTGCCATGGTAATGTAATGTTAATATCAGTTGGAATCTCCACTGTTTTACCAGATCCTAAAGCAAAAAAATATCAGAATAGTACAAACCAAAAATAAATTAAGTATTTGCTCAATTGTATATTGCAAGCAAGAATTCTGTATTTTTCCCTCTGTTTTGTTATGATTTCACTGTGTGACCCAACGCAGCGCAGCCATTGACGACATAGCAGATTGTAACATTGTTGGGATTACAAGTACAACATGTTTAGTTGCAAAATATAAGTTATTATGCTCCCACAACAGATAGACTTCCTGTTTGCTAGTTATTAATAATAAAAAATAGAACTATCGCATGCCTTAATTATAGATATATAAACTCAATGCAAACTTGTAAACTTGTATACCATTAAATGAAGGTATACAAATTTGGGAGTAAAACTTTAAAATTTGAAGAGAAACAAGAGAATAAAGGTTGAGAATCCCTGTGTTTATTCCCCCAAGCTTTTTGTCAAACATTTCAGAAAACCTTTCTTCTGGTCAAAGCTTTGATTTAAAAATAAACTCAGCTGAGATATACAAGTTCCATTAAAAGAGAGCATACATTCAGACCCTTAGAAGCTGAAGATTTGTCAATTTGGAATATGTTCAAACTGATTACGGAATATAAATATTACGTACATTAGGAAACTTTGATTTGTGTGTATGTTTATGCTGCAACAAAGTTTATAGATTACCCATTAGATTCTTATCACAAAAAATGAATTTTCATCAGTGCATACCTGTATCATACTTCTTATACATACGTCTTGTTTTGTTATTGATGACATGAAGATTACCACAAACCATGAAAGCATTCAAAACTTCTTTTTTAGGGATATCAGTAATCCAAGTTGAAAGAATACTAAAATAATATAATCGCTGTATTAAAAATTACATTGCTTCTCCTATATGTTGTATTGACATAAACCTCAAAGAAAATTACGTTTTTTGTACCAATCCAGTATTAATTCCAACCCATAATATTTTCAGGGGTTACCAGGGTATTAGGCCGTGGATCGCAAGTCCTTTCTCTGTGTGTATTTCCTACGAGGGATTTATTTTTTATTTATTTATGCCAGACATTTGAAACATAGAAAGTCCACATGAAAAATAAAAAAAACTCAACAAACAATAATTACTGACAAACAAGGACAAGTAAAAAGCATATAAAATGAAAATAAACAGCGGAAAGACTAAAAGAACATCTATAGTACTTTGAGAGGGAAAAATCATGACCTCACCAAAACAATTCAAAACTAAACCAAATTTCCTTCAAAAAAAGAACAGTAACTCACGTCAAGTCATCTGCATCAATAAATGAGATAACAAGATTTCCTTCACTATGATCCGTAGTATATATTGCCCACAATCCCTTTTCATCGATGGCAAGATCTATATCACTACTCCCCATCAATCCTGAATAGTCTATCTCATGGTTATACAATGCATCATCAATGGACTTTTCTGCAATCTAAGGATTATGTAAATAAAGACTATAGATTGAAGTAAAGAATAGAGAGATTCATGAATATTAACATTCAATGGAGAAAGGATTTACATATTTATCGCAGAGGAGAGGAAAGCCAATAAGACGGCTTAACCATATGGCAAACCATGGCCTCTCGTCCGGTTACTTGGGGATTTGATGGTGGAGGAAGCCGTAACCAGCGGGATTCGAACCTGCAACCCACGCAGAGTAATCAGAGGTGCGAGCATATTCCTAACGCTTAGCACGATGAGCCACACCGCCGCACCAAAAGTCTTAAATTTTATACAAAAGAAAAAGAGCTTACCAAGCACTTTTTCAATAGTCTATTAAAGAATTCTTAAATATGCGCAAGATTTTGGTATAATAATTTAAGTTCGGAGTAGGAGTCAAAAATTACTCACAACCCATAGTCAGCAGTCAAAGTCAAAATTTTTTTCAACTTTGAGTTTGGAGGTAATTGTAAATTTTCACAGCTCTGCTTCAAAGCACTAATAGTAGGCTACTTTTAAAATTAAATTATACCAGGAATTTGGTATTCAAAATCATGTCTTTCTGCTTGATTGACGCCAAATACCAACGAAGAACCAAATATGTTACAAATACTAATAAATTTTCTTACCTTTCTGCGATTTTCCAAACTGTATTTTGTGAGGTCCCTTGTCCTATTTTTGATGTAATACAAATAACCTTTGTACGCAACAAGACTCGTACCCGCGGCAGCAACTGGAAGTCGGTAAATACTTGATGGATGTCCCATCACAAATGATTTTAAAGTACTAAATCCATAAACAGCTTTTGTTTCCCCATGTTGAGCCCATGGCATAAGATAGATAGAGCCTGATTGTTGACTGGCATCAAGGCACCATGCAGCAGGTCTGCGATGCAAATTTCTTGAGTATCGTTGAGTACTGATCGCCAAAACTTCACGAGGGCAGGTATTTGCTGGTGAAAACGAAATTTAAAAAAAATAGGTTTTTAGAAAATATATGCTCTATATAGAGTGTTACCATTATCACAGAATTTATGTATTCTGTGGCAATTTCATTACAGAAAAAGATCTAATATATATAGATAAGCAAAGTCAGTAAAGTAATTACATTTAATATTAAATAATTAATATCATATTTGAATGTCACATTGAAATTGGCTGCTATTAAGATGTTCGATCTTATATTATAAAGAAAAAATATAAGATATAAGATATAATATAATGATAATCGTATGTTTTACAAAAATGAACTTTACCTGCGTGATTATAAGTGAAACAAGTTCAAATGATTTAAAGAATCAATAATTTCTATTAGCAGTACAAAAATGCAAATTATATTCATTGCATGGTAGAAGTATTCAATTTATAGCGCTGAAGTTTCTCACAATACCGCTATAATATAATTTTTTGACGCAAAGTGGAACTAGTGATATGGATTTGTCAAATTCTTGTTGAAAAAAAGCACTTTCCACCAGAACTACTGGACCAATCAATTTCAAATTTTCAGTACTCAAAGGTGGTTGGATTTATTACTTTTGTTTTTTTAAATTCTCAATGAGGAGCAATATTTCGCCCAAGATTTTGCTGTTTCACTTTGAGATTTTGAGAGAGCACTTCTTATGCTGTATGGCAACATTTTATTCCAATATATTCGTCCGATGTTCTTTTCATCAAACTCAGTGCTCAGAAACGTGTACGTTTGAGCATTGCTCTATTGTTGAATAGATGATCAATAAACATAAAACTTAAAAAAATAAAAACCAACCTTTCTGACATTGATAGATAATCTTCAATATCTTATTAAATGGCCAATTACAATATTGAGTCAAAACTGTTGATTTTGTAAGAACACAGGTTGAAAGATCGTAACATCTGTAGAAAAATATTGAAACATGTGAATAACAGAATATTAGAATAAATATCTCCATTCTTTCAAAATGCTATTCAAACCATATTTAAAAAAAACAGGTTGTTCGACATTGATGACTAGGCTAATGTGCCAGTTCTAGTGTAAAAATTTGGAGATTAGAGTTGTTTTCAAGTAATTGATTTCTTTTAAAAATTTCAAACATGATTTTGTGTTCACCTTTCGACTACAGAATTGTAGATATTATTCGACGAACAATTATGATAAAATTTTTCACTTGAACCATCTTCTGGCTCGCATTCGAGTCCAGTGGAAATGAGAGCAACACTCATAATATCCAGTTTATGATTTTCCCGACATTTCAATGTCAAAGTATCCCCAGGACACATATTGCTTGATAAAGATAACGACGACTTCACAACTAGAAAGAACAAAAAATGTAAACTTCAAAAACGTTATGTAACGTTATCCTATGCCCACCATCTCAGCGGGGTCTATTAAATTCCAAAAATAGTAGATCCTTACATATTTGTGGATTCCTATACATGGCCTTGTTTGAAGCGAAAAAATCTCACATAATCAATAACTAATTTAAAAGCAACTATAACAATAATAAGTATCATAAAGAGTATCATTGGAATTTAATTGCCAAAGAACGCAGAATGCTTTATATCTTGAAAAAAAGAGACTAATCTAGTTGGTAATACGGTCATAGTATATTTATTCAAAAATTATATGCATTAGAGCTTCATAGGGCAGTGTTTCCCAGCCAGCGAAGAACTCCCTCCCAAAGAGGAATTTCATTGTTTTCAGGGAAACACAGAAATATTACTTTGCCTTAGGTGTAGTTCAGTGATATTGCGTAGTTTATAATATCCATAAGCATTGAACAAATAAATGGAACAGTTTTCATAGACGGCAAAGAGGAAGGAATAAAAAGATTCAAAATAGACAAAAGGAGGAATGTATTGTAAAGAAGGTTGGCAACCACACAATTAGAGGAGTAAATTAAATCAAATCTTAAAATTTAGAGGAATCACTCTAACCCAATCATGAAACCTTATCAGAACAAGAACATAAATCAGAGAGATTAGGTCATATATAGCACTTTGCCTCTGACATAAGGACTCAACTATTTGGACTAGAATCAAATTCATGCAAAATTTGAACTCTTCAGTGACTGCGTTAACTGCGATTTCAGAGTGACTTACGCAACTTGAAAGCAAGAGTTGATGACTCGATCCCAAACCACATGAACAGTTTTTGTTTTATCCCAACATAATGCGAATATATTCTAAGTTCTAACCCAATTCATGACAAAACAAAAAGATAACTCTATCTCAAGTGAAATATCACAACAACTACATAGGATATGATTTTTGTATTCATGCCGATTCAAGGAGGGTAAAGCAGGTAAGACAGCTTAATCGTATGCCAAACCACAGGTTCTTGCCTGGTTATGTTAGGCATGGGAACATGGGAATATTGGGCATGGACTATGGCTAAATCCCGAAAATAAATCCTTAGCCAAATTATCACTTCAAGACCGTGTTGATGATGTTGCACTACCTTGTCATTACCGCATGAAGTACTTACCACAAGATATCAATACAATTTGTAGCAGCATCATTCAAATGTAATTTTTCTTCTACTTCAGAGCAAAAAAACATTGATATATATTATTGCTAATGTCTTCAGATTAGAACGCATCAATTTTTTAACACAGTATATTGTACATGTAATACTTTCACCATTCACTTTAACAAGCATTTCAAGGAACCACCTGAATACAACAAAAATCTTTCTTATATAATATGCAATGATTATTATATGGGATATTTCAGTATTTTCAAATTTTCATGACCCCCTCTGAGAGCTTACAACACTTGTGGTCTTCTGATGATCCTCTATAAAAATACCTAGTCTTGCTATTGAGGCATCCAGAATATTGTTTATCATGTTTTAAAATGAAAACTCGTGAAAGAATAAATTTAACTTGAATTAACGCAGTCATCATGAATGGTGTTTCGTGAAGACCATTGTTCATGGACCTAGAGAACTGCTCTGAGGCACAACCGGGGGTGGGAAACACTGAAATATTCCGCATTATTGCTCCAAACATGGCTCACTGTTATATATACTGATATACATATATACTAAAAACCCGCTGATATAAACTTATGAACACATATTCAAACTGAAGAACTTCCACTTCATACATTATAATACATATTGGATACTGCTGCACAGTATCGAAAAGGCTGGTCACCCGAAAGAGTTAATGACTAATTTTTATAATATTATAATACAAGTCTCATTTTTAATGTTGAATACACTAACTGCCCAAATAGAATGAACTTGAAACTTTGGGAATCAGGGGATTTGGTGTTACACATAACTTCCTAAAACACTGAGATGAATATCTGTCTGCACAAAATTGGCAATGAAGTTATTTGCCATTTATGAAAATTTGATATCTTTGTAAATCACATATTTGTTTTATACAGACAAACCTTTGAAAGGAATATTCGGAAGTACTTGGCGGCATATGCAAAATGGATTAAATAATAATTGATGTTTTGGTGACTCGTTGAATGTTACACAACTTGAATTGCCTGCTGTTTAAGCATGACTGACAGAAAATAAAGTTTTCCTCGTGTTGTCACTAAATATAGATCATGGTCGAAGCAAGTGTTTTTTTTTGTGTGTGAAAGGGATAAAACTGTGATCAAAAATTTCAAAGCAACATCGTAATGATCCAGAGATTAGGATCAAGTAGTCATTTGGAAGCCTTCACTTTTGACGCCATGAAGACGTGGGAAAAATATAAACCGGTAGATACCAACAAGTCAAGTATGACAATTTTAGCAAGTGGTGAAAGTATTGAGTTGTTAGAATGGACTAAATGACTTGCAACATATCATTTTTCCAACTTCCATATGAATTTTGACTCCTTTTGATAATTTGAGACATTGATAATTTGGAAACAACCTATACTTTTTATTCCAAAACACATTATTAAGATGATGCTACATTTCAGCAACAAAAAAAAGTGTATTGAAAATAGAATCGACTTGAAATATAAATCTGAAGCACATTTGTCTCTTGACTGCGTGCGGATAGTCAATATGATTGCAATGTACCGCAATCGCTTAGTATTGACGGTAGATTAAAGTTCTGTCCTACTTCAAGCAAATTGTTTTTTGATTGCCATGTTTGCTAATTTTATCATGCTGACATCAATGAACAACTTAATTTTCAACTAGAATGTAATCGCCATCGAGCCCGAGGACCCATTTAAGCGCTTATTAAATGCAATTACATATATGAGAAAACTGGCGCTATTTAGTTCCTATATATAGTAGAAGTTAATTTCCCTTTAATTTAATAATTATTGTAATGATTTAATATTACAAATCAGTTAGCTGTTTGAACTTTTCATTGTGTAGGTAAGATTATAATCGAATAAAAAAAATATATTCTCAAACCAGGACAATATTTCGAAGCTATTTTTTGAACGAATAACTATTTCATTTTTCGTTATTACGATCATAACAAAAACGTCAAATCCAATATTTTGGTTGCAAAGTCTGTTTATATCACTCATGATTACAAAAATCCTTTAGTATAATTGATAAATTTAGGATCTCAGTTTAAGATAAAAATGCCACAAATTGTAACAAAAAAACATCAAAGTAAGGTTAAGTTTTTAAAAAAAAGTTTTTTAGAATAATATATCCTCAATGTGTATGGTAAGTTAATTACATACCTCTCAATGGACAACATCGTATGGCAATATTGCGGATGTCATCGTAAAGAAAAATTTATCCTAAAACAAGTGCTTCAAAAACTAAACGGTTTACACTAAATCTCCTCAAAACAATTGCTTTTGCTGCGCTTCTTAATTTCGCTGGCAACTTTCGCAACTCAAGTTATTATCCGAAACTGAGCTTCTTACCGTATATCAATGCTAGGCCTATTGATTCTGTCTAGATAACTTTTCCAATTAATGTTGCCTAAAAATGATAAACTACAAACTTTCAAAATTGACTCTCATTGATGCCTGACAAAACAAAACTGCTTGAATTTGATTATTGTTAGGAATCTTCTTGACATAAAAGTGTGAGAGTCGTCTGGAGCCACAAATTTCCTGTAATTAAGAGCATAATTGGCTATAGGATGATGTAAACCACAGAGAGCACATAATTAAGTATTCAGATAATTACTAGGCATTTAGTTTGGTGGTAATTATGCCTATTTCTCAATGATATAATCAGTTTTTTTCACATAATGAAAAAATGATGTATGATGTTCAAAGTTTTGAGCACTCTCTTTGCCTCTTTAACTAAAAATTATCTATCAGATTGTTTATGAGCATTTCAAAATTTTATGTCACAGATGGATACATTTGAAAATACCGCTTTGGCTTAAAAATAAGATACATATACAATATAAATATTGTTATGTTTTGAGAGTAAAACCCTATAAATACTGGGAGGTTTAAATTGAAAAAAAGAGAAAAATATACATACAATCATCGTTTTGATACATCTATATAATTTTGTCAGTAGTGCCAATTCTCCCATTGGCAAATCGATTCTCAAATGGAAATGTTTCAAAAAAAGTACATAAAATACTGAGAATTACAAAAATGTAAATACATAAAATGCATAATCTATTTTGAATATGTCCACATGGGATATACAGTTTACATTGTTTTGATTTTAATAGTGTCAGATTCAAGGGAAAGTATTAAATAAATACTGGTGTTTTGGTACATTATGAGGACATAAACACAAGGATCCAGAACAATATTTTGCACTAATTGGTTGAAACGAAAAAATATTGATATGGGTTAAATATCAAATGTTTGTTCCATAATAAATCTAAATTAAAACGCTACATATCACATTTCAAATATCGAAAATGATTTTTAAAGTTGATGAAGGAGAATCAGGATTCAATTTCAATACCTTCTTAGAATCACATACACATATATTGGAACTAACACAATTTTCTCCACACCGTTGTTACACTTCAGCAAAATTAACGTAAAACACAAACTACAACTGAGCTTTATGCATAACAAGAATACGCTGATGAAACAATTCTAACTTGCACTTTCACCACCTATGTGTGAAAGATAAAAACAAACAAAATTGAAATAGGTAGTAGTTATTAACAACATCATTTACGACATTATGGGTGTTGTTTCGTATCATTTATTCAGTGGAATTGTAGATAGTAATCATCTCATATTTTGTGAATTTGAAATCATTCATGTATTGAAATAATACCATTTTGAAACATTATCTGTATTTAGATAGTACTGTGTTATATTAGTTGTAGAGATGACCACTCACAAGGAGGTCACTAATAAATGTGTTTTTGGTCTGAACATCAGATGCAAATTTACAGATATTAACTTAAATTTAATTTATTATTCCTCACATCAATAACGTACTATAATGAACATTTGATTCACTTTGAATACTTTCTCAGAAGTCACGAAATGTTTCGATTTAAAACTAGAAAATCATGAAATGGTCAAGAAATAATAACTATTTTTAACATGGAAATTCTAAAAATTGGATATTTTCATGTTGAATAGCCACTTCCTTCTTACATAACTATCTTTAAATATCTTTTGTAAGAAACTCACCAATGATAATCTCCTGATAAGGAATAAACAAATATCATGTGAGTAGAATTTTATTCAATAAAAACAAGGAAATGAAAAAGAAACACAAGCAAATACGCACAAAACAGGGCTATACACAAGCACCCACTGATATGTAGAGCTAAAAGGTTTATGGAAATCTTCAGTTCATTATTACTTACACAATTTTATCATACTATTAGTCTCAGCTGTGTTGCTACTAAATATGACATACAAATTAAAGTTGTGACTACGAAATGCAGATTACTATTAGCTAGTCAAACTTGGAAGCAAAATATCGAATTTGAGAAATAGGAACGACACTACTACTAAGGCGCTGCTGCAGTTTGTATTAGAAGGAAAAAAAACTCTTAATTGGATATAACAATCAACCAAAATACATTCTTTTGCATGTTTATGCTCTGAAAAATGACCCATCATAAAAAAATCAACAGTGAACAAAATTTATTTCACTTTATTATAATTGCATCGTTAAAATTAATAATCCGGAATTAATTTTTAAATTTCATATACCAGCAAATGACATCCATAAACAATTTATTCAAATGTGACCTTAAATGGGGTAGATTAACCTCTTGGGGGCCAATTAAACCTGTATTGGAGACAAATTTCACAAGCAAAATGCATGACCAAATGTGACGTTGACCATGCAGAGGATTAAAACATGTACAAGATTACAACTTTCTCTGTTGAGTAATTTATGGATAGGATGGTTGGATAAGATCCATAGCCTTGCAGAACTTATAGAGTATACATGGAATAGACAGTATACAAATTTAGGAGTTAATTTCGCTGCAAGATAAACAAGAGAATAAAGGTTGATAATCCCTGGCACAAGGAATAAACTGATGTTTGAAGTTTTGGCTCTCAAACGTGGCTTTGTGGCAATACATGAATCAACTTCACCATCAAGTGTTCAACAAAAATAAGGAACTTGAAAATCGAAAATATGGTTGTGAGACCCAACAGATTTAATTAGTAAAACCCAGCAATAGCATGCCTTCCTGGCTTAGCGCGTTTCGCAGGTCGGCTATCATCCTTATAATCATCCCTGTCAGAATCATATTCAGTCTTAGTGTTGCTACTTGAAGTGCTGCTTTCACCTGTGCTTCGAATGTTGTTCAAGATATTAGGACCAGTTTTCATCAAGTTTTGTAATGCATTCTGTACTGTTGGATTATTGAAGTCTATTCCTACAGATTTTGACTTTCGATCTGATGAACTTGACGATGAAGCATAAGATGGCGCAGAACTAGATTGAATAGGAGAACTTACTGCTGCAACAACTGGTTTCACAGTTGACTGTTGCTTATTTCTGTTCCCAAACAATTGGGTTATTTTAGCTTGGAGCTCTTCTGCTTGTTGTGTTGATACTAGAATGATAAACAGATTGATGTTAGACACCATAAAACAGTCACACTCTGTGATAATCCAATAGAAATGAAAAAATCAATAGCACATTTATACATATACATATCAATATACATTTTAAAAATGACAAACAATAACAGCCTGTGCATGTTTTGGGTCTGGGTGAGCTAAAATTGATTTTTAAAGTGGTATCATAATTTCAGTTTAAAATCAGACTGGAAATTAACATAACTTGAAAATCCATTATAAATATTATATACGAAAAGATGATATTTGAAAATGTATTCACAATTTTGATCACATTTTATTTAATTAATACAACTCATGATGCGTCACATTTTATGGTTTATTACATCAAGATCTTAAACAGACTCACAGTCTAAGACAGGGTTGGGCAGAGATTTTTTGCATGGGCCACATTAAGGAAGCCTTTTCTACAAAGAGCCACATTGATTGAAAAGCTTAATTTTTTATAGCATAGAATTAAAGGTAGCAACATTATTGATTCATAGATGATGAAAAAAACATGAATATTATTTTAACAATTCGTACTTTCGACATTTTAAGTAAAGTTTAGAGGGAAATTCAAATTTTGGGCGCTCCTGAAGTATGTGCTCTAAGATGGCACACAACCTGAACCCTAACCTGGTACACATACTATCTTCAGGTTGTGCACCATACTTCTGGAGCTCCAAATTTTGTATGTAGTTATTTCACAACTTTTTGCAAGAGCAGGAGGGCCGCACACGTGGCCTGTGAGCATAGTTTGCTCATTCATGGTCTATAAAATGTGATGAATAATATGATACCATTTATATATGTGAAGTCCATTTCAAAGGACTAATATATTGAACAAATGGTTTCAGTAGAGATTTTGATCAAACTCTTCGAAATAATGCAGTAACATATAGGAAGAAATAATGTATTGAGTACTATATAATACTTATGGCTCTTACCTATTGGTGCTGAACTGCTGGGTGGCTGCACTGGCTTGGGTGCATTGGTTGGGGTTGAAGAGGGTTTGGATTGCTTATTTTGATAAGTTGTGGAGATGGGACGTTTGGGGCTGCTCGAGCCTGTTAATCGAGCACGCTTTTGATTAAGAAAGCCAATGACTTTGTCCAGGTCAGCCAACCGCAGATTCTTTCCCTCAGCTAAATTGATGAGCAGAAGACTGAGTGTGGGATCGATCTCCTCGATTCCATGCTTGTCCGTCATTTCTCCTAGAGGTTGAGAAAGTGCCGGATCAGGTTTGGATCCAGCGAGCTTTAGCAAGTGTGCGTCGAAGTTGCGAGATATAAGCTTAAGCGCATCCTCATACGGCATGTTGCGATGCTCTACGGCAGCGGAAAAAAAGCGAAAACGAGTGTGAGATTAGTCAGAAAGTAAAACTACAATAAAATACCTTCAAACTGAAATACATATTGAGGCATAAACGCCGGTGGTATCCGATGGATATTAAAACAGTATAGACTCTTTTAATGAAAATATTCAGTCTTAAACATAAGCTATACCTTGTGGCTGGCCCTGCAGAATATTTATAGTGACAGATTGATGGATTTCATTCTGCAAATTGACACTTGCTGTATATAGTAGTCCGGTGGCTGTAGCATCATCTATCACCTAGAATAAGAATTTATGCTAGATTTTCCACAATCAAAACAATAAAATGCAAGAGTTCAAGGAAAAAAGACATTTCTTAAAAAAACTTGCAGTATTCGCAAAAAAGTGCACTTCTAGGGAACACTGGTGTCTAAGTTATTTTCTTATTATATACAAACTCTGCAAAGTTGTCAAACCTACATGTTATTTTGAAAAATTTATAGAATACCTTATTATCTTGTTTGACATTCAGATTTATGAAGCTGCATAGACAACACATAAAACATTATTTATAATAGCTAACTAATAAATTTGTCGCTAATGACATCCTCATCCATAGTTCACCTGACTTGGTGAAGTGAATTTGTCCAATATTACAATATCACAGATTAATCCTGTTCTTTTGAGCTTGCTTAGAAACATTTCCGCATAGTCACGGCACCTGAAATATAGAGGAAATAGATGAAGTAAAAAATATTTGGATATGTAGAAGTTGAACATCTTGAAGCACAGAAACTAACAAATAAAAAGTAGTGTAGTGTATAATGAGTAGTGAGTGTATATTAAGTAGTGTATACTGAACAAGCAGTACAATTTGACATCAACATAACTCAAAATGAGAAAGTGAAAAACAGAAACACTGACACATTTACGAGTGGGAACTGGGAAGAGACAGAATTGTTAACCAGATGACGTAATAGCTTACAAAAACCAAATATCATCATACCTTCTTTCAGGATCAATAACAATGACTTGTGCTTGTACGGACAGTGGATCAAGACCATGTAATAGCATTGGATCTGTGAAAATTGAAACAAAAAAAAGATGTATAGGGCATGGCAGACAATTCGCATATTGCCGTATCATGTCTTGCTTGGATATCATGTTGTGAACTCTGCTGTTATAATATTTTTCACAGCAAAACATATAATATTTTGAAATGATTTAAAAAAATGATATAACACATTTCATTGCTTAAAATCACACAGCTGAAATTATTCAATTACCAGTATTAATAAAACTTACCATCATATGGATCAGAATTCATGCTAAGTGAATCTCGACGAAGCATGTCTAAAATTGGACCTGACCTGGAAACAATCAAACAGAAGGTCAGAATACTGAGCATGATATGAACATGTCAATTAGAGTACAGCACGTCGGAGCATGTAAAGAAAGTGTGGTTGAGTACTACACAATTATGGGTAACTAAATATGCAAATATAGGTTTAAATGGATATTCATGTTGCTATGCGTACAAAATATAGCTCAATTAAGTTTTCCCAAAGTGATGATTAGGCTGAATAGTAGATGATGAGTGGATTATGTCTGGCTGGTCTATATTTTATATTATTTCATTGTGGAAAAAAGTTTTTCAGTCAAATTTCAAACAGAGGTAAGCATCATGCTAAGCGTTAGGAATATGCTCGCCAAAGCACCTCTGATTACTCTGCCATCAAGTCCATGCTCTCGAAAACAAATAACTAATCCCATACCCGACATGGAATGGTAAACGGACGAGTGGCCGTGGTTCGCCATATGATTAAGCCGTTTTATCAGCTTCCCTCTGCCCCGGGATAAATCTGTAAATCCTATCCTATACATGATGACATGCAATCCACAACAACTCAACAGCAGTGGTATTATTCATACACAAGGGTTAACGCTAGCATATGTTTCTCATCTCATTTTACCATGCCACAGTTTTAAGGTTTCACCCGTTTTCAGGCTTTATAATCTGATTGGATTTTAGCAGAGTAGAAGGACTTAAATAGAGTAAATAATGCAAAGTTATACTAACCTGTATAAATCCCTTTGTGGTCCATATGGTTTTCGTCCTCTACGTTGATTCATCTTGCACTTCGCAAAAAACACATACAGACATATAAATCAGAAATTCTCAACCTAATATTGCACAATTGCAGAACTGCAACTACAGAAACATATAGTTTTCTGGTCCTGCATTTTTTTATAATAAAAGATGGACAAAAATGAAATATTATCGAAGTTATTATGTACAGTACGGTACATACCGGTAGCGGCTTGCAACTTGGCAGAAACATTGACAAAATACTGAGCATCTATTTGGGAAGAAGTGGCATTTTTAGACTATTATCCACTAGCGTCCAAAGTCTTGCACATTCAAAATGTTTTTTAAAAGGACATTCAGACATTACGAAACTTAATGATAATATCATAATTCTGTAATTAATTTCAGATTATCGAATTAGGCCAATGTTCTTGGTTTTACACCATGGGTAGCATTATTTTTTCTAGTATGTCAATGATTACACTAAACTGCAGACCAATACTAACCCTTCCATATTTCTAAGTCTGTTTTACCTAACCCCTATATACCGGTACTCGGTACCGGTACAGATATACCTGTACGGTACCGTATAGACCAGTGGTTCCCAAACTTTTTTGACCATCGCCCCCCTAAAGTAGTTTATACAACTTCATCGCCCCCCCTGTACTACAAAAAAATATAAAGTCAGAAACGAATATATTACTGACCAAATAAGAAGACAAATCATAGTTCAGTAGTTTATAGTGTTTTTTAATGAGATAGATGAGCTTGGTGTTCTTCAGCGAGTTTTTTATTATATCTAAAATTACCCCGTTTACTGATGGAAAGTTGATTTCGTTGTTTTAATAGCAATAGTAGCACGGCTGAAAACCCCCTTTTTATCATATATAAGGTCGGAAATGAAAGAATCCAGGGTTCTAGACTACCTCCTCAAAAACCGCGGTGTACTCTTGCCTTATAGCAGTATAGCATTTCACTTCCTAAATTCACCCCATTTAACATTAAAATAATAAAACCAAAGTTAATTTTCCCAAACCTATAATAATGATTTTCGTACATCTCATTCATTCGTACAGCCTGATGACCTGCACCAAAAAACTTCGGAAAAATTCATCCCCGATTCCTCATCCTATCACGGCCTCCAGTCCGATCACCAGTCCATAATTAACCAGCCATTTGTTTTTGGATTCATAGACTCGGATGTGGAAAAAGGACAACACTAAAAGGCTGAAGGAAGAAACGGATGAAGTGTCGGAAAAACGGAAGTTGAAGTGTTCCCAAAGGTGAAAAATTGAAAAACACTAAAAGGCTGAACACTAAAACGAAGAAGTGGAAGAAATTTCTTCCGAGGTGGCTGAAGTCACTAAAAAGCTGAACACTAAAAGGAAGAATTGGATGAAATTTCTTCCGACAAATAATGAGGTGGTTGAAGTCACTAAAAAGCTGAACACTAGAAGAAAGAAGTGGATGAAATTTCTTCCGACGAATAATGAGATGGTTGAAGTCACTAAAAAGCTGAACACTAAAAGGAAGAAGTGGATGAAATTTCTTCCGACGAATAATGAGGTGGTTGAAGCGGTTGAAGTCACTAAAAAGATGAACACTAAAAGGAAGAAGTGGATGAAATTTCTTCCGACGGGTGTTGAGGTCACTAAAAAGCTAAACACTCAAGGGAAGAAGTGGATGAAATTTTTCTGCTACAGGTGGTGAGGTCACTAAAAAGCTGAACACTAAAAGGAAGAAGTGGATGACATTTCTTCCGACAAATAATGAGGTGATTGAAGTCACTAAAAAGGTGAATACTAAAAGGAAGAAGTGGATGAAGATTCTTCCGACGAATAATGAGGTAGTTGAAGTCACTAAAAAACTGAACACTAGAAGGAAGAAGTGAATGAAATTTCTTCCGACGAATAATGAGGTGGTTGAAATCACTAAAAAGCTGAACACTAAAAGGAAGAAGTGGATGAAATTTCTTCCGACGAATAATGAGGTGGTTGAAGCGGTTGAAGTCACTAAAAAGATGAACACTAAAAGGAAGAAGTGGATGAAATTTCTTCCGACGGGTGTTGAGGTCACTAAAAAGCTAAACACTCAAGGGAAGAAGTGGATGAAATTTTTCTGCTACAGGTGGTGAGGTCACTAAAAAGCTGAACACTAAAAGGAAGAAGTGGATGACATTTCTTCCGACAAATAATGAGGTGATTGTAGTCACTAAAAAAGTGAATACTAAAAGGAAGAAGTGGATGAAGATTCTTCCGACGAATAATGAGGTAGTTGAAGTCACTGAAAAACTGAACACTAGAAGGAAGAAGTGAATGAAATTTCTTCCGACGAATAATGAGGTGGTTGAAGTCACTAACAAGATGAACACTAAAAAGAAGAAGTGGATGAAATTTCTTCCGACGAATAATGAGATGGTTGAAGTCACTAAAAAGATGAACACTAATAGGAAGAAGTGGATGAGATTTCTTTCGACGAATAATGAGGTGGCGGAGGTCACTGAAAAGCTGAACACTAACAGGAAGAAGTGAATGGAATTTCTTTCGACAGATGGGGAGGTGGCTGAGGTCACTAAAAAGCTAAACGCTAAACGGAAGAAGTACGGTAGATGATATTTTGTCCTATCGATTTTGAGGCGGTTGAAGTCACTAAAATACCGAATATTAGGAGAGTTAAAAAGCCAAAACATATCCCGACGGAAGTGAGATTGGATGAAGACCCTGAAAGCGGACTGATGAGTACGCATGCCACTTTTAGATTTATGAATTGAATCGATTCAAATCGCAATTCATTTCGAATCCGATTTACGCGATTCGAAAGAAAGAGAGCCGTTTAGCGAAGAAAAACAAACATTCCAAATAACACCAATTGCCAGACGGGAATGTAAATGAATTTTTCGTTATTTACTTCTATTGATCTGCCTTCGTTCATTTTCATTCGCCGGGCATGTTAATTGACGATCATGTTTTTATCCTGACATTTATATTTATGCTATTTTATTTCCATTTGTTGTACCTCCATTTGAGTGGCGGTAAACGAAATGAGGGGACACGTGGTAGAACACTTCTTGCAGCAGTAATCATAAAAGAAATGTAGTATTTTCTCCTAATCGTTTTCGGTTGGAGGTTTATTTTAAATGGGTTAATTACTTTTTTGTGTTCAAGCAAATTCCTGAAAGCATTTCTTATTTATTGTAATCCAGATGCAATTAAAATGTCTTTGTCTTATTACACTATGCTGCTAGCATGAATATATGCTCGGTATCTCCTTGTTTAGCAAGCTCTATCGCAATAATGAGCCCATATATCACAGAGATGACAAAGATCTGTGTGTACAAAGTTTTCCTTTATGTATAACCCAGAGTCACAAATTATTGTACTAATATTTTAAGGATAAAAAATCTGTAATGAGTCCAGCCTTAATTTAATATAACGATACTGAAATACCACAGTCACATATTCTGGGGTGGGACTGCGGGAACCAATGCTGTTACTGTTGCAGCACTGTTTAAGATGGTACAATAGAATTGTTTCCTGCGCTTATTTTCACAATTGAGTTGCATCAAATTGCTTCAGTCCCAAGGGGACGGTTGGTCAATACCGAATAGTTCACTATTTCGAATACATTCGAAAATATTATTTTTAAATATGAAATTTCGAATACATTCGAAAATAAAATAAAGTAATTGAGGCTTATTTATAGTAGCCTATATACAAGAATTTGCATACAATAAACAATGGAATAACTGTTATCAACAACATGTTGTCTACCATGCATTTCATGTTTGCAGATTACTGCTATATATTTTCATATATATAGTAGGTCGGGGGAGAACGGACAGGCGGGGTAATGCGGACACCTTTTTTCGATTTGATCTCACAGCGACACCATAAGAGCTACGGCCGCGGTTTCACTGCTCGTTTGTTACGTAACTAAGCGTAGTTTCGCTGAAGCGAATACGTCGCCATTGCCGCAAATTTCGTCAACATGCTTGCGGTTTTCTGGCGGGTTCGATTTTAGGATAGGATAGGATAGGATTTTACATATTTATCCCGGGGGAGAGGAAAGCCGATAAGACGGCTTATCCATATGGCGAACCACGGCCTCTCGTCCGGTTATCATTCCAAGTCGGGTATGGGATTAGTTTTTACTGTATTGTTTGTTTTCGGAAGCATGGACTTGGTGGTGGAGGAAGCCGTAACCGACCAGCGGTTACGTGAACCACCCAACGACGGCGAGGAGTCCAGCAATCCTCTCGCACATAACCATCCCTGCATGGGATTCGAACCTGCGAACCCACGCAGAGTAATTAGAGGTGCGGTGGCGAGCGTATTCCTAACGCTTAGCCCGTTGAGCCACACCGCCGCGTGGAGGGGCGAAAAAGTGGGTATTTACTATCATATTGAGTTTCAACGTCAGTTGTGGGACCAAAACACCAACTATAAGGTAATAAACAATTTTATTTCTTTTTTACTTTACCTCATGAAGTTTTAAAGGTGTTTGCATAGTCCGACTGCGCAGATGATTGCTTGTGGGAGCTCGAAATAAACTTCATGACGTCATGACAATTAGGGGGGTGATTTTTTTTAATTTTCATCTTAGGCTCTGTTGTTATGCAATTACAAAGTAAAAAGTAGTCAGATTTATACACTATCTGAGTTGTGTTTATTTGGGATATAAGTTGTTTCATTTCAGTCTACCAGTCCAAAACGATATGCTTTCTTGTTTTTAGTGTCCATTTCACCCCAAAAGTGACATTGTCTCAGATTTTGAGTTGTTGTTCAGGAAATATGCTTCGTAAATGGAAGAGAAGTAGTAAAAGATGTCAATGGATGGAAAAAACATGAAAAAAGCAATTGAAATGGTACAAAGCGGAGATAACTCCCGACTGAAGCACGTACATATTCGGTTCCAAGGGCTACACTTCGCTGTCATGTTTATCGAACACTGAAGCATGCCCCGGGATCACGGAGTCTTGGTTGTCTCCTACCTTGCGCCAGAACGAAAAGGATCTTTTGCAAGATATACTCGAATTTGAAATGAGAGGCTTCCCATTAATGGTTAAAGACATTGGACAGTTCGCTTATGAATTTGCAATGGGGAACAAAATTTCTAATAAATTTTCAGAATCTGCTAAAAATGGCTGGAAAAGACTGGTGGAGTGGCTTTC